AAAAAAAAAAAAAAAAAAAAAAAAAAAAAAAAAAAAAAAAGGAAAACGGAAAAAGGTATCATTGCAGAAGACTGGGTCCAGTACGCTCACTCGCCGTGTATGTCTAGTATCATTTCTCCATCGCGCTCTTTGCCGAAAATAAAACAAAAAACAAAAAAAGAAAAAACTGTCGTTCCCTTCATCATTTGCTCCGCTCGTTTACTCAATCACTCGGCATCCTCACTCGCCTCTCGACGCGCCAGCGCCCGCATCCTGCGCCATGCCGTCACTGCTGCTCGCAGGCCTTGAGCCCGCTGCGACGCCCAGACTGCTCTTCTCGGCGGCCATGCCCTCGTGCACGTGCACGTCTTCGACGAGATCGACGTGCTCGGCAACAATGGCAGGCACCGTGTCGCCCGCGCTCGAGGCAAACGGCGCGTCGTCAATGTTCTCAATGTGCTCGACGTTTTCGGCGGGCGAGGGCGGCGCGGGGATAAAGGTTTCCAGGGGCGCGTCGGCGGCGGGCGCCTTGCCCTTGTTATCGGCCGAGGGCAGCTGCACAATGTTGAAGCCGTAGTCGGCGGCCACGGACGACTCCGAAGGCGTGAAGGGGCCGAGGGGCGTGGCGGCGAGGCTGCCGATCGGGGTCGCGGCGAGGCTCGACAGCTGGCTGATGTGCCCGCTGAGGTCGTGCGGCTGCCATACCGCTTCGATGGTGCACGTGCGGCTGCCGGGCGGGCGCTTGACGCCCAGGAATTTGAAGCCCGGGTCCGTGTTCTGGAACAGCTCGGCGTAGTCCTCCTCGGCGCGCTCCCGGGCATTGAGCAGCTGCAGCATGGTCATGTCCATGCTCCTATTGGCCGCCGGTCAGTTAACGATGCAAGGTGAATCTCGGGACGGAAGACGTACCGGATGATCTTCTCGTCCCACGCGTTCTCGGTCCCCGGGGTGGGCAGGATGTTCTCGTTGATCAGGATCCGGGCGCCTGGCTTCAATGCAGGGATGAGCATGCGCAGCATCTTCTCGCAATACTTGTCCGACCAATTGTGGAAAATCCACCGGAAAAAGTAAACATCGGCGCCATGGACCGGCTGCTCGGTGAAGAAGTCATGTGCTTGGAACTCGATGCGGTCAGCCAACTCGGCAGGGATGTGGGCCGGACCGTCGGCGACCGTCTTTGGAAGGTCCTGCACAATGAACCGCAGGTCCGGGAACTTGGCACCGAGGGCGACGGGCACGAAGCCATGCGACCCGCCAACCTGGCACGCCCATCAGCTATTGTCACGTCTCGCGTATCTGGGATCTCTCCAACTAACATCGACGACGGTCGCCTTGCCCAGATCCGCCCAGGGATAGCCGTTGACGAGATAGTCGACCTCGTAGCCTTCGCCGCCGGTTAAAGACGCCATGGCGCGCCCGAAGCGCTTTGCGCGCGCCGGGTCCTTGCCAATCTCAACAAACATGGGCACGTCAGTGTTCCAGGCGTAGGCAAAGCCGGCGTGCGTGGGCTCCTGCGAGCCCGGCCACTTCTCCATGGCGTCGACGGTCCGCGCCGCGGCGGGGAAGAAGTCGGAGCTGCACAGACCGACCCAATCCTTCAGGGTCGGGTCCTCGAGCATGGCGCGCGACATGGCCGTGTGGGCGACATAGCCGGGGCGCGGCTCGCAGAAGAGGTTGTTTGTCATGGCATGGCGGACGATTCTCTTGACGTTTACCCTGTCGAGGCTGACGGCGGCGGCGACATGGTCGAACGAGGTCTCGCCTTCGAGGGGCACGGCGTCGGCGATGCGAAAGTGGTAGACGGCGCGGAGGCTGAGGTTGTCGTTGTACTGTCGGGGTTAGTGTTGCACCGGGGGGCAAAAAGCAATAATGCTTCGGGACTCACGCTCCATGCCAGCCATCGCAGGCTCTCGGAGGGCCCAACCATTAAGCCATGCAGCTCCTTGGTCGCATCGATGACGGTGCGGCGCGCGGCGTGAATGTCAATGTTGCTCGAGGGCACGGGGAAGTCGAGAGGCGCATCGGCGTCAAAGGAGAGGCCTGGGAGGCCATTGGCTGCAAAGTAGTCTTCGATCTTGCGTGTCTCTCTCGCGATGAGGTCGGCGAGCATGGACAAACGGGCGACTGGGGCCATGGCTGGGATCACTCGAGTGCAGGGATTCGGGGCAAAGACGGCGGCGGCGGTTTTAACAGGGCGGCACGGGCGGCCATCTTGGCAAGCCGGGCCGTGCTGCGGATGGGGATTGTGATGGACGCCGCGGCGGAGATGCACACACCTGACTCGTCCCGCTAGCTTGCCCGTTGAACCCTAACGATTATTGATGATTGATCCTCCTGTCATCCTTCCTCTTCTTCCTCTTCTTCCTCTTCTTCCACCATCCTCCCTGCTGCTGCTCCTGCTGCTGCTACTGCTGTGCGCATTGATGAGAAATTTTTAGATTTTTCTTTTTCTTTTTTCTTCTTCTCCTTCTTCCTCTTCATCATCCACTCTTCGTCATCCGCCCAATCCAGGACCCGCCCTTTCAAATTCAGCCCCAGCCTAACCTTGCCGTCGATCCTCCACCTGTGCAACTGAATTCCTCACGGCCCGTCCCGGTCATGACCACCCATCAACATCTCCTCGACCAGCCCCAATGCGACGATTCCGCCATCGCCAGCGCGCCTGCCATCAGCGCAGAGGAGACGGCCGAGGGTTTCGCCCAGGCTGAAGCCGGTATCGAGGCCAACGATTTCACCTCCGAGGACGATCAGGGCTATGAGTCGGACAGCGCATCGTCGACGTCAGCCTCGCTTGTGTCGTCGGCGCGCAACTTCATCTACGAAAACGGCCGCCGCTATCACAGCTTCCGCGAGGGCTCGTACTCGTTCCCAAACGACGATCGCGAGCAGGACCGGGAGGATCTCAAGCACGCCATGTACCTGAAGCTGTTCAACACCATCCTGCACTTTGCGCCGCTCGACGGCTCCCGGCCCATAAACGTCATCGACCTGGGCACGGGCACGGGCATCTGGGCCATTGACTGTATGTGAACAGCGTGTGGGGATCGTCCCCAAACGAGCGTGGCCCGGGGCCGGGGGTTGTGACGACGTACCTACTGACGATCCATTTCATGCCGATAGTCGCCGATCTGTATCCCGAAGCGAACGTGTTGGGCATCGACCTCAGCCCCATCCAGACGGACTGGGTGCCGCCGAACCTGAAATTCATCGTCGACGACGCCGAGGACGAGTGGCTGCATCCACGGAACCACTTTGATTACGTCCACACCCGCCACACGGTGCAGGGCTTCCGCAACTGGCCCAAGCTGATGCGGCGAGCGCTCCGGTAAGTCGTCGCCGCCTGGCCACGGGGCCTGTCGCCGCCGACCTGGCTGGCTAATAATCGGCGCCACAGGCACCTCAAACCCGGCGGCTGGCTCGAATGCCAGGAGATTGACCATATGCCCATGTGCCACGACGGCACGCTAGCGCCCGACGACCCCATGCTCGAGTACTGGCAGCATGTGACGTCGGGGCTGGCGGGCGTGGGCGTGCCTTTCCGCAGCGCGTCGCTACTCGCGGGATATATGCGCGAGGCCGGCTTCGTCAACGTCACCGAGCGCGTCTTCTACACGCCCATCGGGCCATGGCCGAAGAATCGCCAGTTGCGCGAGGTCGGCCTGTACTGGCGCGCTGTGCTGACCGAGGGCCTTGAGGCTATTGCGCTGGGCCCCTTGACGCGCGGCTTGGGCTGGAGCAAGGAGGAGATTGAAGTCTTCCTTGCTGGTGTGCGAAAGGCGTATATGAAGCCTGAGACACACTCATTCATGCCGTTTTATATCGTGCATGGCCAGAAACCGGAGTGAGTTTGGTATGAAGAGATTTTCGGATGCCAGAGCAGAAAATATTTTTTTTAGACAAGAGGTGGACGTTCAAGCCTGGGCGGGGATTAGCAGTGGCGTTGGAAGAAACTAATTGGTTCACCCGCCGCGGGGGAACTCCATAAGGAGTAGGGATGCCGAGAAAAGTTTTGAATTCGGGCGAAAACGAATTGATGCATGAGACGCCTGCGCAGGGTATACGGCGCGTCTCGCCTCCTTCCACTTACTAGCACGCACCCTCTTTGCTCGTGGCACGCGGTGGGAACACGAGCCTGCGATTGGGTAGAGGCTGAAGCAGGATATGGATGACCGGGCGGTTTGCCTTTGCGGCAGGCAGGGTGTCCTACAATATTTGCCACTTCTCCTATCTTTGCGCGCAGCAGCTACGGAGCTGTGGCGGACATGGCGTTGAGGCGTGAGCCATGAGGCGTAAGAGAAGGCTCAGCTCGGTGCGGTTTTTTGTTTTGCATTGGTCAAGTTTGCGCGTCGCATGCATACATGCATGGATGGGTTGGATCGCTTGGAGCGGCGTAATGGCTTTGTACAGCATCGGTCGTATCGGCAGCATCGGTCGTATCGGCGGCATCGTCATCGTCATCGCAGAGAAAGTAATGCGCGGACGAGGAGTTAGATGGATGACGAACAAGTGGGTGCGCGCGAGCGTGCGGTCTTTGCATGGGCGCGGGCGTATGGAGCGGCTTTTTGCGCTCTGCTTTTGGATCTGTTGACGTTGGTTCTTTGTTTGCGATTGCTTGGTCGCGTGGAAGTAGGCGGTTGGTCGCTCAACGTGGTACGGGCTGCGTCGGTGTCGAGATAATGTTTGATTGAGGTGGTGGCTTTGTTGGTAAAGACGCATATAGGTGGGTGCGAAGAGAGGGAGACGAGCGATATCACCAATGTTGGTGAGGCCGTAGGCTGTGCAAGAGGTTTGTATTATCATCTCTCCTTCCTTCTTGAAGTCTTCCTGCTCTGTCATCCTGCCAACTGCGGCTTCTCTATTCTCAATCGTTCTTTCCCCTGCCAGTAAGAGAGGGAATGTCAACATGGTTGAAGCGGCGTGACATCGGTGCTCGAGGACTTGTTAACTGGCAGCTACCCTAGTCAGAATAGGCAAGGGAGCGAAAGAAAAAAGTAGAAAAGTATGGAGGTAAGGAGAAGAAAAGGAAAAGGAAAAGGAAAAGAAAGAAAGAAAATATCAGTCTCGGAGCCCGCTGCGCTGGTACCTACCTAGGTTGTTGAGATTTTAAGCTTTCGTACCGCGGATCAATCACCTACCTAGCCTGCCGTTCACGGCATCCCCCTCTTCTATGCCTCCAACCCACCCCTTTTTTGCAGCTACGCTGTCTTACCTCCAAAATAAATAAATAAAATGAAATCGAAAAAACAAAGCTGACTTGATGGCCTATCTATCCTCAGCTTACTCACTTGCTCAGGCCCTAGGTCTCAGACTGAGCATTTCTTTTTGCTGATACAAGACCCATTTACACCGCGGAACGTGCGAGGACAGGCACATTTGAGATGCTGCTACTATGCTGCCTTTCAGTTCGCCGGGCTTCCCCAATGCACGCACGATTCTGCTTTTTGCAACGACTGCAGTATGAAACATACAAAAAGAAAGAGCGGAGCAGACACTGGAAGACTTGAAGTGGTACTCGGAGTAGTGGTAGTTCATATCGAGATGGGGAGGTCATTGCTTCATTAGGTGCCGCTGATGTCATGAGTTCAAGTGTACAGGTCGTAATGATGTATTGGCAGATACCTAGTCATAACAAGCGTGAAAGACAGTCGTCGTTAATTCGTACCCAACCAGCCACCCACACGCTAACATTTCGCAAATTTGCCCGCCCAAACAATTAAAGGAAGCACTCTCTTTCTTCTTCTTCTTCTTCTTCTTCTTCTTCTCCCAGCTAGGCCACGCCGACCTACTTCTGGCACGGGTTCGCCGCAAGCTGGGCGTTGAGGTTCGTGCTGATGAGGCCGTTCTCCACCGCACCTACAAGAAGAGAGAGGTAATCAGCAAAAAACACCCATAATAATACCGCACGTACGCAAGCATGCACTCACCAGAATAGCTCCACTGCAGCCAGTTCCCCAAGTCGCGCTGGTCCGTCTTCCACGTCCAAAAGACCCAGCCGTTCGTCTTCTCGTACTGCCACTGCTGGGCCGCAAAGTAGCTCTGGTAAAAGGACTTGTAGTTCGTTTCAGGGCGGAGGCCGCTGCTCTGGCTCAGCGCCATGGCAAACTCGCCCACCACCTTCGTGTTGCCCGGCTCCAGCGCCGTGACGCGGTTGTCGCCGCACGCGTACGCGATGATGCCCGCCGCGTCTTTGCCCGACGTCGGCCCCTCTTGGTAGTTGTGGTCGTCGAAGAGCAGGAACGACTTTTGCCCTGCGGTCAGCGACGAGGTGGGGTCCCGCGACCCGGAGCCCCCTGTCGTTGGCGGTCGTCGTGGTTAGCACGTTTGTTTGTTGGGGCTTGGGGTATGCTGGATTGTTTTGGAGGGGTGGGAACGGAGGTGAGACGGAGAAGTGGGGTGGTGTAACGTGATAGGTATTGCTTACAGAGATCGTCCATTAGCATGATGTGCAGACGGGAGTTGCCTGAAACACCACGCGAGGCCTCTACATTGCGGATCGAATCGATGGCGGAGCCGTAGTAGTGCTCGACCTGGACGTCTTGGTAAGTACGAGTTCACATCAAAAATTGGAGAGATAATAAAGTTGGACAAACCATCCATTTCGTGTCTCCATCAATAGTGTTGAACTTGGGTTCATTGATCACACCGATGGCACCGACGTTCTTGAAGACGGGGTTGATAAGGATCTGCTGCGTCATCCAAGAAAGAAATTCCTAGTAAACTGCCATCAGAAGATGCATCGTCGAACAGAAATAAGATACACACATAGGAACGCCCGGATTGATAGTCGGATTGATAGAAGTAAGCCCTGTCGGAGGACTTCCCAAAGCGGGTCAGCATCTGCCGTTCGGGATAAATGGCTTAGAGTACTCACGTTGCCAGTGAATGGCTGGCGTTCCAGTTGTGTGCCCGGCACACCATGAAGATCTACATGGGTAAGCCAGTGAACTCCTCCGGATGTCTCACATCAGGGTGACACTTACCTATGATGATGTACATGCCAGCATCAGTGGCCCATCTACAGATGTTCTCCAAGTGAGTGAAGCCTCCCTTGGGGAAATATTCCCCGCTCTTGACTAGGTCCTCCTTCATCCACCAACCCAAAGGAATCTAGCTCCTGTGTAAGCCACACCTCCAGCCACATATACAAGGAAAGGGCTTACTCGGATAGTGTTCAGCCCATACGAAAGCATCTTGTTGATGTCATTTCGCGTAATCCAGCTCGCCCAGTGTCTCTGGAACGCAGCACTGGCTCTGTTGATATCTCCACCAAAGTTGTTCTTGACGCATTGGAACTCTGCTTCAGCACCAGTGCAGCCGATGTCGGCCCATGCCTGCCGAGACATCCAGGGCTCAATGAGGAACTGGGATCCAAGATTGACTCCGCGAATTTTGGACGTTTTGGAGCTTGTAAAAGCTTGCAGCGACACACCTCCGGGTGGGGAGGCAGGGAGCCATGCTAGGGCCGGGAGGCCGAGAGCAAAGAAAAGGTACGCAAGCATAAGCATGATGATAGAAGAGATGAGAACGCTGAATTGGTTTGGTTGAAAAACCCATTGTGATTGAAGATTCGCTCGAGATTTTAAACTAGAAAAATGAACGAGAGAAAGAAGCAAAGCGCACTGTAAAACCGTCAGCTGGACATTGAAGGAAACCGCACTGAGATGTGCGCGAGTATGCGCCTTCGGCCTCGGTGAATCAACTTTGGCTGACACTGCAGGCACCTCCTATGAAAAGCGGCCTTTCTACAGCGTTTTTCCTCGAAGGAAAGAGCGGAAGAGGGTCATCCGGAAGCGTACATTATGCCATAATAAGGGATTCATGCTGTCCCTCGTTCTTCATCATACGTGGACGGTAGGATTTGCGCCTTCAAGATTCGATCCCCAGGGGTATCCTTCCATTCGCTCACTCCAGCGGTGGGCGTGATGCCTCTGCGCCATTCCGGACGGGAAGCACCCGAAGGCGCAGCACATAAAGCCCTTGCCGCTGTAAGAAGCATGTGGTCCATCAGCGGAGGTGGGGACTGCCTGCTTGGCTCAATCCGCCGTGGCAAAAGAGCTTGTGGCCTTATACAACTGGCGGCAAATTGAAGGTGAAAACCATGGTACAGTAAGCCACCGCAACTTGTCATCAGGGGCAAAGGCTTGTGGCTGATTGGCAGCATTGGTGATGCTATCCCAGACATCAGCATTGCTTTCTGCGAAGGGAACTGGTGGCTGCGTAGACGGCGGTTTGCTGTTGGCTCTTTTGCCATCACTAGCGTCCCAGTAAGGCGTAGGTCGGCTACCATCCGGCATAGGAAGGAACGTGGCATACGCATCACACAGCTAGTCCGAATAAAGAAGGGGCGCCGCGTTCTGCGAACGCTTGGCCCATGAGCTAGATGTGCAGCCTCATGTCCACGAGGACAGGCGTCAGTGATTTCTGACCTGGCCGTAAGCCATGGTGACGATTATTTGCAGAAACCATGAGGGTTGCCTCTTGGCCGTTGTCTGATTAGTCTCTGTGGCGTTGCTAAGCAAATATAGCGAACCAGATGACGGGAATGCCACACCCCTTGTGATGACTTTGGCCTAACATGTTCGATATCATGCCTGCCGAGGTTCGTCAATTAGGATGAATGCGAGAATCTGGAGACCTTGTTGCTAGACATTTGCTAAGATCGGCTGACCAAGACCAACGCCTCATTTACGCCGCCTCGGTTGGGCTCTGGCGCCACCAGCCATGGTAATATTGTCGGCAGAGAGGATCAAATTGACACAAATGCGATTTGTTGCACTGGAGTGCCTGGTCATAGCAGTAATCATAGGGCTGATATGCGTGTGTTGTTTTGCGGAAGTCGGTCGGTGTGGCCTTAGGGTATGTGGACGTTGTTGTGCCACGATGTGCAGTTGGAAAAAGTGCCTGGGCACATGAGGGTGCACAGGCCTTGACCAAAGCATGAGTGGTAACGGACACGTCGGCCGAGCATGTAAGAGCCATACTCGATCGTAGGCAGCCCCCCCAGTTGATCCACCAACCCAGTCGCCCTATAGCCAAACCACACCCACGGATATGACGGCTATATGCAAGGACCTGCCGTCAGATTGTCATCTTTTGGGTCGGCTGACTGAATCAGGACTCGACTTACCGGGCTTTTGTGGTATGTCCTGCTGGCTTCCCCGCTTTCTGTCTAAGTTGTGCAGCGATGGCCATGTCAGACCGTAGAACTAGCCTATCAGCACACGTAATGAAACCTTGAGCTGCATGCGGCTCACTCGAGAAGAATGAGAGCACGTTTATAAAAAATAAGACAGCCTTATGGGAAGTCCGAGTCAGAATGCCCTCCTCCTAGATGTTATGCGACAGCGATGCACTTCATTCAGAGTTCGAAGTTGTCATTCCGGGTACCGTCTGCACGGCTTGCGTCTGTCTGTGCGTCTCAGAGATCTTTGATATTTAAGGTTAACCCAAAAGTTACCAATCGACAGGCGTGGGTGCTGCCGGACTCTAAGGCAGATTGCGGGGAAAGCTAACCAGAAGCGGTGACATAAGACGTGCCTGCTTGTCATACGTCGAACGTCGATTACCATCGGGGCCACGATTGGCCAGATGATTTTTTGTGTTAGCTTATACATATGCTCATTTTATGGGCACAATAATGTCTTTTTCCGCTTTGCTGTTGTTACAATTCGTGTCGATAGGACAGCAGCTTAGGCCGTCAATGTGACCTTTCGGAGTTTTTCCATGGGGAACAACCTGTACCACCACCGGATCCGTCCTATAGTATTCCTTCTTTTTGCCACAATAGACCCCAGATGACCTATCTTAGTAGTGAAACAGCTAATGCCCAGCCTCGGCTGTGTTACGATGTCTCACCGAATGTTGACCAACGAATTTTCGGTTGCCTGCGGGATGAAAGACCGACAGAAGACCCACAAAAGGCCATAACTGGAGATGAGTCTTTGGAAAGAATTGGTGGCTTTTAACATTATTGAATATTATATTTCAAGACATGAGAGCTAAGTGTTGCGTAAGCAGACTGCCTTAAGAGTCAGCGAAATCGATGAGAATCAAAGCCGCTTCTTGCCAGAAGACCGAGGCAACGATGCAAGAAAATAAACAGACTGCTGTCAGTAAGGTAAATGCTTTAATGATTTTGGATGTCTGAAAAGCGGAATCAAATATCGAATGGGGAGCTTCCTCATTTTGTCGGGAGTAGATTGAGCGCCAACGTTCCCGTGATTCTATTGGTCTCCGTATAGCGATCTCGGAACAACATCTAGATGATGTGAATTCACTCTTATATGTTGCCAGAGCTCAACAAACACACGCATACTGGACCCTTAAAAAGGAGAAAGAACCGGTGATAAAACCAGGGAAAGTGCGTATCCAAAAACTTGCCCTGTAGTCGTGACTTGGTGAAAGGCCCCGTCTTTCTCCGATCAAAGGACTGGAAGTACAACAGCGGGGAAAATCAAACTAACCGATCCGGGAAACAGCAATCATCCATCATGCCATACATCACTGGCGCCAGTCTTGTCGACTTTCTTGCCGTCTTCAATGACAACGTACTCGTCTCCGACCATCATCTTCATCTGGCTTTCGTCCATGAAGTTGTCATGGTCGGTCGTCAGCGCCTTGGAGTCCTTGTCGCACAGGAATTTGGCAAAACTCAAATAGTCGGGAAAAACGAAGGTGCAGATGGCGTCGTAATCGAGGAGCTGAGCCTTGCCCTTCAGAATGTCCTGGACAATGGTCCGATCTCGCTGTAGATGATACGTCTGGCGTCATGTGAGGTGGTGTGCGACATGGCCGCCCTTGGTCACATACCAGGCTGTAGCTGAGGATGCCATGCTTCTGCAGGACCGGGGCGGCCATTTCGGCGTGTTTGTGGTTGTAGTGGGCGACAAAGTCGGCGTCGGAGACGCCCTGCTTCTTCTTGACCATGATGGTGGCCTTGGTGACCTTGCGGAAGCCGACGGTGTTGGGGTAGCCAGCCTCAAGAACCATGGTGATGAGGGACAGTCAACGAGTCGAAGGGATGACGGGAAACAACCCCGCGACGGTTGATCTCCGGGCCCTGCATGCATGTCGATGGGACTTTTGGATGTTTCCAGAGGCCAGCACCTTGATGGACTTTCATCCATTGACATTCCTTATCGCCATCCAACGCTGAACCCAGACTCTCCCCGCCGTTGCGCCCGCTCCTCGGCCACTAGCCCGCTCCCACTCCTCCCCTTGGGTGCGCAGTGCTCTCTTTGTTGACACCCGCATGTCCTTTGCCCTCCGTCGCCTGCAGCTTTGCGAACAATATGCGTACCACCTAGCACGTGGAACAAAGATAGTCCAACGCTCCTCCGCTATTGTCCGGTCGCTAGCCCGCTCGTCGCACTCCGCTTCAAAGTCTCCGCTTTCCCCGACCCACGCCTGGCGCTCCCCACCTCTTCAACGCGCTCCCCTCCACTCCGCCCGCATCCTCGATTCCCCCGCCATGGGTGACCTCGTAAACGAGCGCGCCGCCGCGCCTGAGCGCCTCACCGAGAGCATGGAGAGACCAGCCCTCGACGACAGGAGCTACCGTGTCATTCGCCTTCAGAACAAGCTGGAAGCCCTCCTTATCCACGATCCCGATACAGACAAAGTCAGCGGCGCCATGGACGTCAATGTCGGCAGTTTCAGCGATGCCGACGATATGCCGGGAATGGCACACGCAGTGGAGCATCTGCTATTCATGGGAACAAAGAAGGTTGGTCTATTTAAGACGATGCTCATGCTGCACGGCATGGACCTCGCGTGTCAGTTCTGAGACATTGAAGAACGCTAACACAAACTTCGCACGTAGTACCCTAAGGAGAACGCCTATAACCAGTATCTGACCGCTCACTCGGGTCATTCAAACGCCTTCACCGCATCCACCTCTACCAACTACTACTTTGAGGTCGCCGCCCAGTCCAGCACGCCTTCGAGCAGTGCTGCGTCGTCGGCGGCTAGCAGTGCCCAGGATCTCTCGACTAGAGATGGTTCGCCGCTGTATGGCGCGCTCGACAGGTTCGCGCAATTCTTCGTTGAACCCCTCTTCCTCGAGGCAACTCTCGACAGAGAATTGAAGGCCGTGGATTCGGAGAACAAGAAGAACTTGCAAAGCGATACCTGGCGTCTGCATCAGCTCAACAAGACATTGTCGAACCCCAATCATCCATTCTGCCATTTCTCCACCGGCAGCTGGAAGACGCTGCACGACGACCCACTCGCTCGGGGTGTGAAGATTCGGGATGAGTTCATTAAGTTTTACGAGAAGAACTACTCGGCAAACCGTATGAAGTTGGTTGTTCTTGGTCGTGAGAGTCTTGACGAGTTGGAATCTTGGGTTATTGAGCTTTTCTCGGAGGTCAAGAACAAGGATCTCCCGCGTAACCGCTGGGATCATGTACAGCCATTCACGGAGAATGAGGTGCTGTCACAAGTGTTCGCTAAGCCAGTGTTTGAGATGCGCAACCTGGACTTGTACTTTCCTTACAGAGATGAAGAAGAACTCTACGAATCACAACCCGGTCGTTATTTGAGTCATTTGATCGGCCACGAAGGACCTGGCAGCATCATGGCCTACGTCAAGGCAAAGGGTTGGGCGAACGGACTCGGGGCGGGCCCGATTCCTTTGTGTCCCGGCTCAGCTTTCTTCACTATCAGCATTCGCCTGACAGAGGACGGCCTCAAGAACTACAAGGAAGTCGTCAAGACCGTCTTCCAATACATCTCCATGCTCAAAGAACACGAGCCCATTGAGTGGATTTTCGACGAGCAAAAGCGTATGAGCGAAGTCGACTTCCGCTTCAAGCAGAAGAGCCCCGCAAGCAGCACAACGAGTAATCTGAGCGGTATCATGCAAAAGCCTTTTAAGCGTGAACACTTGCTCAGCGGCCCGGCTACAATCCGTAAATTCAACCCAGAGGCGATCAAGAAGGGTCTCGCTTGCCTCAGGCCTGACAACTTCAGGATGAACATTGTCAGCCAGGAGTTCCCTGGCGACTGGGATCAGAAGGAAAAGTGGTACGGCACTGAATACAAGTATGAGAAGATGCCCGAGGACTTTGTTGCGGAGGTCAAGGCGGCCGCTGCCAGCAAGCCTAATGAGAGACCGGCAGAACTCCACCTTCCTCACAAGAACGAGTTCATCCCTACTAGGCTGGAGGTCGAGCGGAAGGAAGTTAGCCAGCCTATGACGGCTCCTAAACTGATCCGCAACGATGGCATAGTCCGCCTCTGGTACAAGAAGGATGATCGTTTCTGGGTGCCCAAGGCAAATGTCCACGTCACGCTTCGCACGCCATTGGTTTCATCTACGCCTCAGGCTACAGTCATGGCGCAGTTGTACAAGGACCTGATTGAGGATGCGTTGGTCGAATACTCGTATGATGCAGAGCTCGCCGGCTTGTCCTACCGTGTCACCAACACTTCTCTGGGACTCGACGTTTCCGTGTCCGGATACAATGATAAGATGCATGTGCTCCTCGAGAAACTCGTGGTGACGATGCGCGATTTGGAGGTTCATGATGATCGCTTCAACATTGTCAAGGAGCGATTGCTTAGAGGTTTCCGCAACGCAGAATATCAGCAGCCGTACTACCAGGTCGGCACTTACACTCGCTGGTTGAGCGCGGAGAGGGGTTGGATCAACGAAGAGTACCTTGCCGAGCTTCCCCATATCACGGCACAGGACATCCGCCACTTCTACCCGCAGCTGCTGAGACAGACTCACATTGAAGTCCTCGCGCATGGTAACATCTACAAGGAGGATGCGTTGAAGATGACGGCTATGGTCGAGCAGACCCTCAAGGCGAGACCACTCTCTCCTTCTCAATGGCCCATTCGCCGAAACGTGATTTTCCCCGAAGGCAGCAACTATATCTACAATCGCACTCTGAAGGACCCAGCCAACGTCAACCACTGTATCGAATACACTTGCTCGATCGGTGATAACCAGGACCGCGATCTCCGTGCCAAGCTCCTTCTTCTTGTCCAAATGACAGACGAGCCTGCTTTCGACCAGTTGCGTACTAAGGAACAACTCGGCTATGTCGTTTTTAGCGGCCAGACCAGCAACAACACTTGGATCGGCTATCGCATCTTGATTCAGAGTGAGAAGTCGCCCGACTATTTGGAGAAGCGAATCGATAACTTCCTGATCAATTTCGGCAAGAATTTGGAGAAGATGTCGGATGATGAGTTTGAAGCGCACAAGAAGAGTGTCATTAACAGGCGGTTGGAGAAGCTCAAGAACCTGCTGCAGGAGACTACCCGTCTGTGGACGCACGTCATGAGCGAATGCTTCGACTTTGATCTCGGTGAGTCTGCCTTTTACCCGTGATACAAACCTCTGAGATTCTAACCTCCACGTAGTGGACGCCGATGTGGCTCATATCGAGCCCCTCACGAAGTCCGACCTCATCGCGTTCTTCCACCATTTCATCTCGCCGCACTCACCGACCCGCGCCAAACTCTCCATCCACCTGCTCGCCCAGAACTCCGCCGCCGCAGTCACTCAATCCGTCTCGCCTGACAAGCAAACCGAGCAGCTCATAACGATGGTGTCGCAGTTCCTGAACTCGGAAGGCGTCGCCGCGACGCCCGACGGCTTGGAAAGCAGGCTGAAGGATGTCGACCTGGGCATGGTCAGCGCGGACGACACACAAAGCCTAAACCAAGCCATCCAGGCCTATCTGCAAGAGGACCTGAAGCTCGAGGCGGACAAGAGCGCTGATGTGCTGAAGAAGGGCCAGGCTCTGATGGCGCAGATGCTGCCGCAGCTTGGCGTCGAGGTGACGCCGCAGGGCGCAGGCAGCACGGGCGGACTCGCCCAGCCGAGGGAGCCCGTCATCATCACTGATGTGCGCGACTTCAAGGCCAGCTTGCAGGTTGGAAAGGGCCCCAAGGCTGTTAAGGAGCTTAGTGAGTTTGAGGACCTGGAGCCGAAGCTGTAGAGGGGTGGTTAGTGTGAATGGCTGCTGGTGCGGCGTGATTGAGAGATGTTTGGTAGTGCTAGATAAGAGGATAGACCGAAAACGAGGAATAGAAGTATTTTACTTCGTGAATAACGCTGAAGCTGACCAGTTAACCAGGAAATTGCCAAGTCATGGAAACTCACTTGGCGAGTTGCAATGTATGTGATGAGCCCTGTGCCCGCTGGGAGCTTAGGTGCTCAAACTTACAAGTATTGTGGAAGCCGGTTCTGCGAGCTGTAGAGTGTTACTCTCAGTTTTACGAGGGCGGCGAAGCTAGAAAAAATATGTATGCGGTAGTCTTATTGTGATGATGATTATGCAGAGTTGATGCTGCGATAAAAGCCTGTGATGGAGTTTGAGGAGATAGGGAGAGAAACGTAAAGAAAACCAGGAGCGGATATTATTTGACGACTCTACTCCAAAGGGCGTAGGGGAAATTCTTTCACCATAGCTCTTAATGCCAATCTCCCTTGTGCGGTGCGAAAACGCATTTTCGACGCCCCATGGTCTTGCCAACACCTCTTCTGTGTTCAACACCTTTCATGCCACCAATACCGTTCTTATTTCTTCAATCCCACCACAACCAAGTTCCTTGGGCTCATTCCGTAACCAAACACCGGCTCCACCCATGCCGTGCCAACCTCCTCTTGCTCCAGCAGCCACAGCCAGCGATCCACAACAATCATAGCCTCGATAACACCCGCCGAGAACGCCATCAAGCTCCACACTACGCTGAGCTCCTTCTTTCTCTGCGCATACCTCACCTCAAACTCCCTAATCTCTTCATCCGTCATCGGGTACACCCTCTCCCTAAACAGCACCTTCCTCTCCTCGCTCTCCTCCGGATTCTCCAAGATCTTCGCCAGCGCGCCGCGGACATAGTTCACAAAGCCAGAGTAGCAGCTCTTCTTCAACGTGCCAATAATGATCGGCTGGCCAGGGCTGCCCGTCCCAGCGGGGCTGCACGGGGCGCGGCCGTCCTCTGCAGCGGCAACATCATCAGGCGTCTGCGGCGCCTCAATAACGCCACGCTCCAGGAACACGCGCTGCAGCAGGGCGCGGAAGAAGTGCCGTGTGAAAAAGGCCTCGCTGTCCTCCGGGCCCCAGTTCTGCGGCGCCTGCACCGCCATCATGCGCGCCGTGATGTTTAGCCGCACGCCCTCGTCGCCGCTGAGTCCGCTGTTGTCCTCGTTCGGCAGCGGGAACGTCGCGTACCGGGTCGACATGGGGAAGCCGTGCGGGTCGAAGGCGTTGGCCGTCTGGTCGAGGCGCGGGTGGTTCGGCCGCAGCGTCGGGAGCTTGTAGCTCGGTGGGCCAAGGCGCTCCGTCATGAGGTTGTAGCAGCAGCCGATCATGGCTACGGCTTTGACCGTGGGGTTGAGGACTAGCGAACGCAGGCCGTGGTGGAGGAGGTTGCCGCAGGAGTGCAGCGAGATGACCATCAAGTTGGGATCCACGGCCTTGGTCGTGGGCACAACGGCCTCGGTCGTCGTGGCAAAGGGCTGCTCGGATTTGTCGGTCGTTTCCTTGGATACTTCGTCCGCCTTCTCTTCCAGGGTGCCTGCGTCGACAATTTGCTCTACCACTGGAGCCAGATTGCCGTCTTCTAACCTGTGTTCGACGTATTGGATACTACCCTGGCCCTCTTTCGATATCTGCAAAGTTGCTTTCGCAACCTCCTTGGCCAGTTCCTCTACTGGCTCTTGCTCGGGCCCCTCTGGTGCCGGGTCCTTCCAAGGCTCGCTCACAGGTTCCAGGGCAAGATTCTGGAGCGTCTCATCGATGGGCTCCGCTTCCTCATTGACAGCTTCTCCATTTTCTTTCACTCCTGTTGAAGCAACATCCTCCTTCTCAGCTTCGGTTCCATCCACGCAATCCTCACATTTCGCCTCCTTCATCCTCTGCGCTTTCCGCCTTCCCTTTAACATCTTGCCCTCCTTCAGCAGCTCTTTGTCTTGCAGCGCCCTATGCTCTTTTTTGTTCACAATGCGCACCTTCTTCGGCGCCAAGCCTGCAAGGACATCCATCTCCTTTGCGCCCACAATATTATGCGGGCGGCCTTCAATGGCAATGATGTGCTTATTGAACGGCTGACTAGCCAGCGCGCGACCAAGATAGTTCTGTCCAGAGCCGAAATCGGCAATGTGCGTGATCTTGTGGCTAGAAGAAGCAGTGATATCGTTGGTTAGGCGGTCAACGTACTCCGCAAAGTGCTGCACTTCATGCACCTTCTTGACTTTCATACCGACAGCGATATGCCGTGGAAGCTTGGCGGATTTTTCCATGGGCTGCCAATCCCGCTTCAAGCTATGGCGACGGATGTCCTTGATAAACCGAATAAGGTCGCCAGGTGGAGGAGTGTCTTTTCCGGACTCTTCGCCGCCAACTGAGACCGTCTCTGTCGAGTACTGTGCGAGGTCTTTCCTCATGAAAAGATCCAAGATATCCACGATCTCTTGCGTCGCGAACCATTTTCTCCACGTTTCCGGAAGAACCACCGAGTAAAGATCCGGTTCCCGCGTGAAGAAGTCTAGGATATGCACTCCGCCGCACAGCGTGCGCAGCATCTGCGACGACGTGCCGAAATGCAACAACGAGTCGACATAGGCATCCACATCCTTGAACTCGTCCGGTAGTGGCAACGCGTGCTCGGGACCCATTTTGGCTCAGAAATCGGCGTGCGACCGCAAACCCTTGAATACTCGCTCGAATTTCTCCAGTTGTCCTAGCAGCAGTGCTGCAGCTCTTCCAAGATTCTGACGAGGTGAAGTCGCACGCGTCGATGGTCGGCAAAAGTTGAGTCAACAGGCTTCATTCATGTCGCCGAAAATTGCACCAACCGTGGCTCTCACGTGACAACGCTAACCATTTACAGCAACGAGCCTTAAAGGCTCGGTTGACAGCTGAGAGTAGTTGAACACTACACGATAATCATGAGTCAAAGATAAATATGTCGTATCAAACTAGTTGGATATATAGCTATAAGATGCTGCGCCGTAACCAAGAAGACTCGTGACATGCATTCAGCGTCCTATTCAAAGGAAGCATGTTAACCCCAGCTCCAGTAAATCTCATAATCGGCATCGACCACAACGTAGCCCAGATCGTAACCATGTTGTACCCGTCTCTAAACATATACAAAGACACGTTTGAGAAAAACTGCGCGAGCGAATATGGCGGGGGCTCTTGTTGCGGGAAAGAGAATAGTGATGGGGGCGGGAGGGATGTTAATGTTGCGCGCTAAGAAATGTATGCCACCGCAGAAGTTGAACAAATAATCGCTGAAAGCCGGCGCTATGCGATGAAAACGTAAAGAAAACGGCGTAGTAGGGGCTTCTGGGGCCAGGACGCTTTACGGGATTCGCTCCATCTCGTCCCTGGCCCTCAGATACTTCGTTGCCAATTGGTCGCCTCCACGCTTGCTCATCTCCATCCAGTGCTGTGCGACGCACATTGTGACCGGGTCGGACCTGGCAGGGTCCTCTCTCTTCCTGTCCTTTTGCAAAAGTTCCGCCTTGAAGACATCGTGCGGCTTTGTCAATGGCAGGATGGTGCGCGGTAGCAAGTCGGGATGGGTAAGATAGAAGATTGCCAGCTCACGCTCGGCGACCGCATCACCCTCCTTTGCGGTGATGATGAGCATGCGCGCAGCATCCTCCATCGTGAATTTGTTGAGCGGATCGTCGGGCGTCGTGGTCGTTGCTGACGGTCCGTTCTTCTCCAACTCAGTTTGGGATGACGTGGCGCTGGCGTGTAAGCCTGCGGAGCGGTTTTGCGTGTTCAACGCGACAATGTCGTCCGCAATCTCAACCATGACTCGACAAACGTCTTGCTTGAGTCCGAGTGCAGCAAGGCCAGCATCCCAGAAGGCTTTGCCACGGGCGGTCTTGTCAAGCATCGATGCGGGCACAAACGATGCAATATACTGCAAGTCTCGGAAGAGTGTCTTAGGACGGATGTCTGCATCACGGAACAGCCCGGTCAGTACATCGACAATCATGTCAGTGCTGGGTGGTCCAGTGGGTGAGCGGGTGCCCGTGCCGCCTCGGAAGGGCGAGTCTCTTCCATGACCATTAACTTGATCAAAATGTGAACGGCGCCCTTCGCAATTGGCGATGGCCTCCTCCAAATTCTGAGCCTGAAGATGAGCGGCAGTTGGCTCGCGTGAGCTATATTCGGGGACCGAGCCAAGGGTAGGCGATTGGGGAACAGTGGGAAGTGTCTCGCGACGGCTGTAATGACGACCTGAGCGGGTGGTAAGGGAGGCAACGATAAGGAGCTCAAGCTCGTAGAGAGCGTGGAGCTTGGAGAACGGGTTGGGGTGAGTGGCGAACTTGCGCAACAGGCGCCGGAAAGCAATGTTGAAAGGGAATTCGAGAAGACCGGCCTTTTTCGCGGCAGACATGCCGGAGGAACGAGCCGTGGCGTCACTAGCCGAGCTGGAGTGCTCGTTGGCGGAATGATGATCTTTGTCGGCGTGGTGGTATGTAGCCACTGGAGCTGCAGGTCCACTGCGCTCACCACGGCCAAGGGTATCAAGAGGACTGCTACGGTGCTCATGCTGCGCTTTAGCACTCTTGAGGTTTCGCATGCTCTTCTTCCGCGCGGCCTTCTTGCGCCTCTTGTCCTCTTCCTCCTTGCGCTGGATGCACTCTTCTCCAAGATCGCTGGAAAACCAGGCATCAGTCTCGCTACCGCCACTGAAGACGATAGTTCCAAGATCACTAAGCAAAAGACCGGTTAGCGTTTGCTTGAGGTCGAGTAAGAAGCGACGCTTGTCATCGTTGACCGTAGCAGATTGCTTGAGCATGACAGTGCCTCTAGAAGAAGACGACGTTCGAGGACGGATACTGTTGGTGCTGGTGGGTGATGTGGCGAGTTGCGTCTGGAACGGCGACCAGAAGGTGGTGTTAGAATCAATCGACAAGACAGGGCTGGAGCCACCGAAATAATCTTGAGAGTCCATGAGGTCCAGAGGCCTAGGAGCACTCCAGTTGCCCGAATCGAAGCTTTGCTGAGAGCCATTACGGTGGATGGACCGCAAGCTGCTGTTGCTGGGCCGTTGTGCAAAGTCCAGGCTCCTCAATCCGGGTCTTCCTGGCTGTGTCTCATATTCCTCATCCCCAGCAATGCTCAACGTGCCAACTCCGGTGAGGAACAGGTCGCCCTTCTGCCGACCACTATCGAGAATTTCCTTGTCGCGACGATACAACTCGCTGGACCAAAGTACAGGACCATCGAGGATGCCGTCGCCAACAAGCTTGTTGACACACTTGTCAATCTCGAGACAGAAACGATGTATCCTCTCCTCGCCTTTGCAGAAAGAGCTCTCGATAGCGTACTGCTTGAGCCACTTCATTGTCATGTCAGACTGTTCGTCAGCCAGCTTGTTGGGACCTCCGTGGTCCTGTGGCGCCGCCATGAGGTCAAGGACTTGAGCTTCCGTTTTCAAAAGGAAGTTGTTCGCAGATTTGGACAAACTGCGAGGCTTGTGGGGTTGAATAGGCTTGCCATCAGGTGTTTTGGTCGGCTGGCCCATAATTTTGAGCGCGAGAGCGACGTTCTTGGCCTCTTCGTAGCCAGCGGAGTTACGAACGTCGGTGATGTACCACATCTTGTCCCTCAAGCTCTTCATAGACATTGTCATGTCTTCAATGATTGTGTCGTGACGCTCTTGGGACTGCTTCAGCCAGACGAACCACGCTTCAAACTCCTCGATTGCACTCGATGACTTGGCGAGCGAATCGCGAGGACCACGGCCGAAGTAGTTGAGCAGAGCAGAATAGCCATTCCGTATCAGCGAGGGTGAAGAGAGTCTCCGCAAGTGCTGTAATGTTTTGAAGTACAGATGTGCGTTGACAAAATCCGCTCTGGCTTGACATTGGTGCATTGCCGCTTCTAGCATGGTGGTAAGCACCGAGGGCTTCTCCATTGCTGGGTCCTTAAGGTCAGAGCTCGAGTTGCTTCTTGCATGTCGATGCCTTCCGGGAGGTGTGGCCCTCTGGTTTGACAGCATAGTAGCAAGCTGGCTCTGACTCGCGAAAGGATTCTTATCACCGAACTGGACCGAGGCCTTCTTGACTGGGCCCTGAATTCTGGAGTCGCGACGGTGAGTCGAGGTGCGGTTGCTGAAACCTTTCGACTCGCTCTCCGGCGCAAGCTCTTTTGGAATCTCATATTCCTCCACCAACTTGATGATGGCCTCCTTCAGCTGATGGTAGTCATTCTCCAGGTCCATTCCTTCACCGAATCCTTCGTCTTCGCTATCGCTTTCAGTGGAGTCCTCTTCGGGATCGTCTTCCATTTCGGTATCCTTTCGCATACGAGTCCTAAGCTCCTTGCCGTCGGACGAAACGAAGAGCACGGCCCATCTCTCGGCACATGGATGGCAAGACCCCGAGCTGGCGGCAGTGCCGAGGATGCGAGACATCTCAGAACATGTCATCCGGAGTTTGCGACCATAATCCTCGGTAGGTGCGACCTTCGCACTCCGCTCGCGGTAGTCATCGTTTGGCGTCAAGGAACCCCGCGCATCGGCCATCCGTGCTTCAAGAAGCGGCTCCCTAGAAGTGGTATCGCTGGTGACGGACGAAGCGCTGATACTTAGAATGGAGCTAGCATCGCCAGAGATGGAAGGGTTACGGAAGGGCATGGACACGCCAGATATTGAGGAGGCTCCGGATGCCAGGCCCCTATGAGATCCTTCAGTGTTGCTATGACTCGACGACGGGCGACGCTCAGGGAAGAGTGTGTTGACAAGAGTGACAATGTCCGAAGGGCAAACGACAAGGAAAGGCTGGACCTCCACAGTCTCTCGGGGAGAAGTGATAGCTTTGGCCGGAAGGAGAACAGGTTTATGGTGGCCACGAGAACTTTTGAATCTTGAAATGATGCTCTCAATGTGCGTGCGAATCTCTGGAAGGATGGGGACGGCTTGCTTCCTGCATTGCATCCATTAGACAATGATCTCACGCACAGAACGGAAACCCACCAGTTGTAGGTCATGTCCAGAACCTGCTTCTGGGCACGAATAGCAATCTCCTTCAAGATCCGTTGCCGGGCGTGTTCGGTGATATGGTGGCCAGTCATGATGCCTTGACTCTGTTCGACGTGAGCTAGAGATATTTGTCACACCTCCTTTTCCGATGCTTACCTCGGGGTGGATGATGGCATTAAGCAAGTAGGTGGAGAAGAACCATCTGGAGACAATGAAAGTCTCGGCAGCCTTGCGATGTTTCCGTGAGTCTTCAAGTTTCTTTAAGATGGCCATACCAATCTCAAGAATACCCTCCGGGATGCCGCCTGCACTGGGCTCGTCATCAATCACCTCGAACAGCCTCTTGACGGATCTCTCGTAGAACTCATCGGACGCAATCGTATCTTTGGTACTCCGAGTTTCCTGCTGGCCCCTTTGAGTCGGGCGCTGCTCCTCGGGCTTGTCAAGGAGGAACTGGCCGTCCTGAAGGATCTGCATGAGGTAGAGCTCCAGGTTGTGCTTCCCGGGCCACTCCCGCATACCAGCCCAGGCATCCAAGACGCTCTTGATGAACTTGTCACTACCGGGCTTTCCCTCGGTGATGAGTCTGGCACAGGTTGTGGCCCAAATGTCCGTCCGGCGGAGATCCTCGGCCGAGTCCGGGCCGGAAGAGTTTGCAAAAATGGTGTATATGAGAGCAGAAAGAGGGTCATGGCGCTGAAAAGACAGTAGGCGCTCTACTGCCGAGGGGCCTTGTTGGCTCTGGGATTTCTGCGTGCCTCCAACGGATTTGCCTCGGGCTTGGAGGGCCATGACCGAGTCTATGGGGTCCAAGGCTTGACGGAAAGTAGTCAACTGGGCTAGCTCTTGTTGGGAAAGACTGGTAATACGGCTTGCAAGGAAGTCAGGGTTAGTGCGCAACTCGGAAAGAAACTCCAACAGTTCGTCCCGGATTTTGTGGGGTATCTCATGCATAAAAGTAGAAAAAGAATGAATGCGCTCATTCCTCGAACTTTTCGACTGGCCATTCCACTCCAGGTCGGGCTCCAGCAAGGCATAACGCCGGGTCGCGTCACAGGAGTTGCGGACATCGTGGAGCGCGTTGTAGAGCGTCGCGAAGCTCTTCTTCTCGTCGGAGCGGAAGTGGTCGACCAGGGTCCGGTGGACAAGCTCTCCGCAGTGTACCAGACGCGTGGAAAGAGCGCTAGCAACGAGCCATCGGTGGAGGCGGACGCGCGCCAGGCATCGGCGCTGCTCCTGGTACCGTTGCAGCTTCACCAGGTGTGCGAGCTCGGCGAGAGAGGTCGAGGAGGTGGAGACGATGTCGGGGTGGAACGAGGAGTCGGTGTAGTGGGAGATGTCCTGCAGGAGGAGTCGCGGCAGACGGCCGGCGGGGGCGGAGGCAGACGAGGGCATGGACGGGCGCACAGCAGCAGCTAGCTGAGGTTTCTCATGGTCGCCAGCACCCAACCGACTTCCCATCTTCGAGGCCTGAGAGGAGGGCGAGACGGGGCTGGGAGACCGGCGCGCGGCTTCGCGAGAAGTAGGGTCATGGAGGTCAGGAGGCGAGGGCGTGGGACTTCTAGAAGAGACTTGGGTGACGGTAGGTGACACAGCTGCCTCCTGTCAGCGGGTGCCAGCACATCGTACAGAGGGTCGCGCGGGATAGGGCAGAGAGCGAGAGAGAGACACAGAGAGAGACTGAGGCAACAACGTACGCGGAGACGAGTAAGCCGGCCGCGGGGGCGACGAGAGGTGCTGGTTGCGCTTGATCATCGCGGCGCCATGAGGGGAGTCTCGCGGCGGTGCCGGGAAGTCAAGCTGCTGCCATGGCTGGGCGGGGTGGGGGGCGGCGGGAGGAGCGTGGGGAGGCACTTTGGCAGCGGTGACTGGCACGAGAGATGGTCGGGTCGTGGTGGTGGGCTTATCGATAGAGTCGAAGCCGGGAGTTCAGGGGGCGCTACGCGGCCGGGTTGATTGGGCATGTGGGAAATGCGACGGGGCACATATGGACACTTCACAGTGGCGAGCAACCCCGGGGCGGAGGGCCAGCTCATCGCACACGCCCGGGATCCTGCCGCTCTTCTCAGCCTCGTGCATGGATCTCGACCGCCTTGTCCCAGATCGGAGCGGGCGAGCTTGGACGTCGGCTCCTCCAACGGCAGCGGACAGCCCATGTGGTGCCCGTAGCGACGGCGGCCCGAGAAGGGCCAACGACAGCGTTAGTTGCCTGACCGCATCTGCGGCCACTTCAAAACAAATGCTGCGAGCTGCGCAAAAAGGCTGCTGCTCTCCACGACGTTGCGGTCAATCAGTGGATCAAGTGGACCGCCTGCCTGCACGGAGCCCCGATGCGCTGTCAATGCAGCTTTGTCGCTTCTCGCTTTCTGCACGCCAGCCGTCGAGAACGCCTCCAGCCTCCAATCGCCGCGTGCTTCCCGCCGCCCTGCTGCAGTCGGCCATGCGCCCGACCAACGATCCGGAGAAGATGTGGTGCTGCATGCCAGGAACTGCGTACTCAGGCCGCCCGCCCATTGGGTGGCCAGCCCAGTCATTTTTTTCTTGCTAAGTTGCTCGTGAGTCGTGACAGGGGAGCTTTTATTAGGCTCATGCACCTCCCGCAAGGAAGGAGCCTGCGCGTGCCGGTGCCGCTCCTCGGCCGCCAAGCATCCATGCGGTTGCGGCGACCGTTTTGACACGGGGTATCCGTACGAGTAGTAGGTAGGTTCCTTCCTGCCGCTTCCTTCGTGCCACCTTAACTACTTATGCCTTGGGCATCCACTTACCAGCTTCCCTCGCGCCGGCGCCGTGGTTCCCCGGCCTGCAGCTGATCTCTGTGAACGATCTCTGTGAACAAGAAAATCCTGCCTCGGGCCCGACTTTCAACCACACCGTCAGTTCTGATACAACTCGTGAGCCCTATGCAGCTGCTGGATCTAGCCACGAAGCCCGGTGGGCCGTTCGCCAGCCCTTCTGGAAAATTGATTGGGCGTCAGCGTCGAACGCTTTAGCCCAAGGCCTGGTCGCCCGCACGTGCGTCACCTCCGCCCTTGGGCCTAATTCGGCAGGCCACGATGTCATGGGAGCCCATGCTACAGCTTATATTGTCGCTTCATACGGAAATGTGGATTTTTGATGTTCACGACGTCGCCGGCGGGCTTGCTCGTCCCTCGCCCGCTCAGCTCCGTCCTTGCTCTGTCGTCAGACAAATCATTTATTGGCGCATACATTATATGGGTCCCCGTGTCTTCGAAGAGGCTGGAAGAGGCCGTCTTGCTAAAACCTCTTCTCACCAACTCATCATGTGGAGACGTTGAGGCTGGTTTCAGAAAAGGGTACATCTGCACACCGCGCCGCGCAATGGCGAGACCGCTGCACCGAGTACGGAGTATAGCCACCGCGATACCGCGCGCGTCGACGGAACAACGGATACACGTGGACCATTCGGCAAGTTTATGGTGTTCCGGTGTTGCCAACAATGTAACCAAGCTCCCGTTGGCGCCACGACTCTACTCAGCTCATAATCTCGGGGTGTAGTGATTGGTCTCCTTTTCCGCCTTTTCTCGACTCACGGCGCCCGCCGGGAACTTGTCGATCCTGCGGAGTCATCTCATGTTTTGCCTAAGCAATGGGCCAACCTGTTTCCGACTCGCTCCGACATTCTTTTGCCGCCAGACCTTCTTCCAGCCGTTACCGGATTCCGTAACGTGCATCTGCTCCTCCAACTCTTCGAGGTCCAAGTCTTTGGATGCAGATGCAACAAACCTTTCTGCGGGGCCCATGGCCCTATCGGAGAGAGCCCAAAGGAACAACTGTCTTCTGAACTCCCCTTCTGGGCTCGGATACGCCGTCATGGTTGCGTACATGTCAAGGCTTCTTTCTTTAGCAAACCGTTCCACAGCCTCGAAGAACGGCTGGTCTCCGCTCTCCTCTTGTTTGGCCTTGTCCTGCAGGAATTCAAGCGACTTGACCACGGAGCTGATGCCAAGCTTGAAACCGTTTTCCTCCCATTGCTTGTAGTCTTTCCGCAAGATTTCAGAAAGCGTCAGCCTTCCGATGTCCCTTTTTGCGCCGTCAATCTCGGCGAAGAACTTATCCTTGTCGAAGTCAATACTCGTCTTCGGACACAGCATAATCTTTGCCCCAAGATAGGCAGCTGCTTCAAGGTCGTGATCTGTTGTCTTCTTCTTGGCAGTGAGGTTGTTCGTATCGATCAGCAAAGGGGCGAGCGCCAACTTGGCAGCTTGCGCGTCCCAGAGTTTGACCTGAGAGGCATCGTTGGCAATGCCTTGATCGTCGGCTTGCCCGTGAGCAGCACCGGAGCTAAGAGCGCCGGAGGAGATGGTATCCCAAGAAGGGCGACAATAGTCGGTCACCAAGCTAGCACAGCTGCCTGTCTTTGTGATGATACGTGGTTCGTCGCCTGTTTCTTTCGGGACCTTGTTTTCCTCATCGTGATGGTCGATAACACCGCTCACTCGCTCGCCATAGACCTTGCCTAAAGTGCCCTGCAATGCGTTGTGGTCGACCAGTATCCACTTGGTATTTTCTCGCCTCAATTCCTCGCCAATTCGGTCCAATGGCGGAAGATCATCGAGCGTTACGAGGTGCGATGGCTGAAGGTTCGCATGGGGTAAAAGAGCAAGCAATTCAGGCCGTAATTGAACATCTGCAGCAGGGATGTTGGAGAGGGGGATGTAGAGCGGCGTAAAAGCGTTCGCGGGAGGTTTTTGGCTGCGAATATATGCGTACACGATACCGCAAACCAGAGAGTCGAGGTCTGCGAAGGTGTTAGCCTGCGCAATTGATGCGGGCAGAGACTGACTCAATACCAGCAGACTCGTTGCCGACTACAAATGTGACTTTCTGGTTCTCCGATATTGCGGTTCGCAGGGCGCTTTTGGCATGGACGAGAAAATTGCGGATTGAGTTGCGCGGAAAAGCCATGGCGGGAGACGGTACTTTGCGACCAGCTGTTTGTGTGATGATAGTGAGTACTTGTGCGCGGATCGTAGTAAGCTTCCAATTGTTCTTTGTTCACTTGTTGCACTCGGAATACTCGAGTAGGTGGTGGCACCAGTGGGTTGATGTTTTGTGATGTCACCGGTTACAAGCGAGAACGCGTGACGACGCGGGGGCGTTCGGCTCGGCGCGTTTCGCCGTGTCATCAACTCTTAAGAGCGAAATCCTTCCATCTCCTGATCATCTGGCTAGTCATCCTCTCACACGCTGCAATGACTGGAAGTGAGCAAATCTCAGGCAATAACCCTGAGCCCAAGGCTTCTTCTGGAGCCACCGTATCGGCCATGGAACACTTGGAGTGGTTGGGTGGTCGTTTGCACCCACTGGAGCAAAGCATCTTACTGAACAACTTGGACAAATTTATGAAGGATCCTGAAAATATGGTGTCCCGAATACAAAGGGGCGAGCGACCAGCAGACGTTTTCACTGGTCAGGTTCCAGATCTCCGCGGAGAGCCAGCTGAATCCGAAGAAGGAGGGACATCTTTGCAGACGAAGGTCGATGAAAGCTTGCTAGATCAAGAGACTCCCAGCATTGCTTGTCAGCGAGCCAACGAAAGCGGAAACGCCGAGGTCAAAAATCCACGCAAGCGGATACGTGCAACAGGGAAAGGTAAGTAAAGTACGCAGCACTCCAAGTCCATGTCGAAAAATCTAAGCTATTATTGCTCCCAAGTCTCATAGGCTTACACTGCCATGCCATCTACTAATTACGTTCCAGATTAATGCATTAACAATCACCGTCGGGGTAAACTTTTGCCGCCAGGTCACTGATATAGTGAATACTCTTTAAACCCAGATAGTTCATGATAACGTCCTTCACCGTCAAACATTCACCACCCAACGAGATGATAATACTTGTACGGAATAGATATAAAATCCACTTAAGGTTTTTGTAGTATGTGTGCTCTGAAAACTTTTTATACGTTTCAAGGATTCGAGCTTGCGGCTAGGTAACAAGCATTTTATAGGGACTGCTTATATCCTTCCCTATCTCGCCAGACGGTGAGTCTCGCTTGGCTGTGACGGGCGTCACAGGGTATTCTCACATTGGACTGACCTCGCCGAAAAGAGAAAATATGAAAATCTTTCTCGGTTTGGTCAGAGTCCTGCTTAATTAATAGGTAAGGTAGACACTTTCCTCCTATAAGTATCAAATCTGCTTAGGTGAAGACATGGGACATTAGGAGTTGTACTTTTGATCTCTACATTTATTCTAACCTTGCTCTTCTCGAATTATCCTGCAGTCTTTGCCGTCATTAGAATATCAGCCTCTGAAGGCCATCTTAGAAGTCAGATGAGCATTTCGACCGTTGAAGCTCTTCGAGGTGGCGAGCGAAATCAGCTGCATAAGCAGAGTGCAACTTTTTCATCGCCATAAAAAACGAACCACGAGCCAATTGGAAGGCCTAGAAATTCAGCATCAACCTGTGTGGGCCAATCAAATTGAAGAACCGACATCGCCGGCAATAGTGCCGATGACCTCCTCACTTGATTGAAGGATCTCAGGCGTCCTAGCTTAAAACGACAGCACTTCCACTTCGACTTCCATCCTCCATCATCATCCGCATCCCTTTTGTGTTAAACAAATCAGTTGAGCATCAAAATGACACGCCCTATTTTCACGCCGACGTACCACCATGCCCCCTATCCAGCAATAACCAACGCAGTTGCGACTGGGAAAAACGTCGTAATCACCGGTGGAGGAAAGGGTATTGGGAAAGCCATCGCCTTTGCCTTCGCCAGAGCCGGTGCAAAGGGCATCTCTATCATAGCGCGTGGCGAGAAACAACTTGAGGAAACAGCTAAAGAGCTCGCTCGCAAGCACTCCAAGGTCACAATTGACTACCAAGTCGTCGACATCTTGGACTTCGATTCCGTCAAAGCTGCTCTCGAGAGATCCGCGACACTCCATGGTTCGCTCGATATTCTCATCAACAACGCGGGCTATCTCTCAGACCAGTTGCCCGTGGCTACTTCTCCACTACCCGATTGGTGGTCTGGTTTCGAAGTCAATGTCAAGGGCACTCTTCACGCAACTCAGGCTTTCCTCGCCGTTGCGCACTCTCCCGAGGCTACGGTTATCACGATCAATTCGCTCGCTAGCCACGTCTCTTCCAATGTCACCAAAAACTACTCCTCGTACTGCGGGTCTAAGCTTGCGGCTGTGAACATGATGGAGCATTTGCAGGTGGAGGAACCGAGCCTAAGGGTCTTCAGCATCCAGCCTGGAATTATTGCTTCGGATATGCAGGCTAGAGCCAAAGGATTCACAGCAGAGGATGAAATCGGTACGTCAAACCCCAACATACTACTTCCTTTTCGCCATTTACTGACCGTCATTAGAACTGCCGGGTGCGTTTTGTGTCTGGCTCTCTAATCCCGAGGCGGATTTCCTGAAAGGCAGATTTGTCTGGGCGAACTGGGACGTGGAGGAACTGAAAGCTAGAGCCGCGGAGATCGTAGAGAAGGATCTGTTGACAGTTAGACTTAGCGGCTGGCCGACTGAGGGGTCTTTTTAAGGTTAACGTAAATCACGCAGATCACCACGCAGGCCAGTCCTGGGGTGATATGCTAAGCCATAGATGACTTACGGGTCATTTGTCAACGTAGTTCAACGCCCTGCTAAATGAAGCGAGAAAAAAGACAAGCAATTTGACGGTGTTCACCTTCAGTATTCAATCATGAAGCCAATATCAAATTTGTTTATAGCTAAATAGCGAATATACAGCTCGCTTTAACCTTTATAAAAACATGTTCATTGCCAGGACAGACAGACGTTGATGTTATAATGAAACAGGTACTTCTATACCCCTACGAAGCTGTTCGCGAGGCCATCACTGATTTTCAACGCATCCCGTATCACAGTGCCTCATTAAGTGTCAAATCATCAGATAAACGGTTTGATATTCGAATTCTGGCAATATCCAGCTGCACCTCTCATTACTAGTAGTACGTTTAGGCCGGGCCCTCCAAGACCAAGCTGTCAATGTTGCAAGTCACGACATTGTCGCTGACGCTAGCTTTTACTCCAGTCACGGAGAAGGACGCGGCTCCGTTGTAGTTTTCTGGCGAGTCGTTGCACCAGCTGTCATCCGTTCCGGTAGCAGTCTGGAAAACTTAATTAGCCAGAAACTCCCAGAGATTTCCTATTCAACGGAGGGGGTTCCGAAACAAAAAATGCACGAGGAAAGCACTTACAATGACGACGTTCTGGAACTTGAGCTCGCCAAAGTCCCAGTCCCTGTCGTAAAGCTCGATGGCAAAGAGCGCCTGGTTGAAAGATTTTTCGGCTGTATGAAATGTCAGCAAAACCCACACCGCGGTCTTTTTCTACTATATGACTTACACAATGCAAAACTGTCCGTCTTGCTTGTGCCAGTGCTCTCGTGCACGACTGTTGAGCTCCAGTTTGCTCCATCTGCATCCAGCGTGTTTTCAAACTTGACGGTCTCGCCCGCATACGTATTGAATCCACTTCCCCAGGGAAGGCTAGGGTTGGAACAACACCACCCTGTTCCGAACCACCACGTGCCACTCTTACCATCGAGAACGTTTTGGTACACGCCGCTGCCGTCCGTTGGCTGCAGGCCGGGCCATAGGTAGTACGTCGCCGCAGCCGGGAGCTCGGGGACGACCAGCTCACCAGAGAGACCGGTGAACTTGCTGTCGGTAGGCGTGTTGTAACGCAAGAAGTACCATGTTGCCGCAGAGACGGAGCGCGCGCTGAGCGCAATAGGCAGAAGAGTAGCAAGAACCTTCATTATACTGCGAAGATAGGAAGGGTTTAGGAGAACGAGTGAATGGTGATGAGAACGAGAGACTCTGAGAGAATGAAAATTCAGCAGAAGTATAAGAACGGGGATGGAGACAGTATTGTTCTAATAAACAACAGACGACCTTCAGCGGATCAGCTCTCCAGTTAAACAGGACCTAAGGCGACCACTGCATGAAACGAGTAACACATCCCATACAATATAGCACGGAGAAACACCATGGCCTATCCCGCATAGCCGAGCGTGTATGCGTAACCTTGTAACTGCCACCAATAGCCTTTGGCGGTGCCATCTCCTTTTATCCTCTCGCTAGAAACGGCGTTTGGTCTTTATTGCAATAGCAAGCAGCCTTAAGCGCTAATGCGGGAAAAGTAGGGGTCACAGCCGTTTCAGGAAGGAGGATTTGAAACGCAGCCTGCAAAGGAGGCGAGGACGCACGCATGCTCGCAGGGGTCAAGACCGTTTTAGGGATGCGAGACCGACGATCTTCGGAGTCCTTTGCTCATATTCGGCGGGTATTCTCGCTTCTGTTGCGTAAAGATCGGCCCGTCGGCTCTTGCGGTTAGCTACAGTATATTGAGCGCTTTGACCGAGTAGCATGAGCGTGGCATCATGGGAGGAGACGCGAGATTTGTCTCTTTGATCGTCTTTCGGCGACTTTACTTCACGTTAGCATTTAGTCAGCCCAGCTATTTTTATCTTCGCAGCTTAGAGCTCCTCTCGTTCAATCAACTATCATTCGATCCAGTCTCCAACATGTGTGTGTTCTTTCTTCTTGACTGTACCTGACAAGATTTCACCGCAAAAGTAGAAAGGCCCACACGGCATCCACTTCGATTCCTTCAGCTCCGTAGTATAGCTGGTAGACAGCAAATTCAGCGATAATATCTCTATATGATACTCAAGCCTGCGGCACTTCGTCCAACCAAGGAACGGCAGCTTGCGCACCCTTACGCTGTACCGTCAGCGCTGCCGCCCTATTCGCAAATGCAATGGCTGAATCGATATCGAAGCTCTTGCTCTCTGACGTCGCAAGACTCCGTGCAACAGCCACAGCATACGCGCCGACAAAGGTGTCGCCCGCGGCGGTGGTGTCGACGACCTGGACCTTTTGTGCAGAAATGGTCTTGCCGGGCTGAGACTGAGACTGGCGGGAGGCAGTTTGGTAGAAGACACCCTGTGGAAGGCCGATATTAGGGATGCTGCATACATTTTGGAGTGAATTTGTGTGCTTACGCTGCCGCCCAGGGTTATGATCACGTTCTTTACGCCGCGCCGGATGAAGTCACTTGCGATGGCAGTGAGATCCGACTCTGGGGTGATTTCCTCGGCTGGCTTTCCCGAGAGAAGAGCGGCTTCGGATTCATTCATGACGAGGTGGCCGAGGCCTTGGTAGACTTCCTCTGGCAGGGAGACTGCGGGTGCTGGATTGATCACAACCTATGCGCTGCATTAGACATGCCAATATCGGAGGGAAGAAATCTAGGATGCTCACATCAACTCCCTTAGCCTTAGCCTCCCGGATGTTCAGCCAAACCTGCAAAGCATCAGCTCAGTATGTACCAACACGCTTCAAGAAAATCTCCACGCACCACCTCATAAGGAATCTCCAGTTGAAACAGCGCCAATGTCGCGTCATTTGGCACCAAGTCTTCTGCAGGAACCCGTGCATTCGCTCCTGCAGCAACCATGATCCTATTCTCGCCGGTTCGCTCCTCCACCGTAATGACCGCGACACCTGTCTTCTCATCCTTGATGCGCTGCACTCCCGTCGTGTCGAGCCCGTCGCGCTCGAGGCTAGTAATGAAATCTCCAGCAAATACATCATCTCCCACTGCTCCGATCATGCGCACTTCTACACCGCCTTCTCCGGCGGCAGCAGTTTTGCTCCCTGCGCTGGCCTGCGGGCGCGAGAGCCGCGCGCACGCCACGGCCTGGTTGGCACCTTTACCTCCGAAGCCGGTGTCAAATGATTTTGCCATCAGCGTCTCACCAGCGGCAGGCACACGCTCGGTGCGAGTAACGAGGTCGACATTGAGAGAGCCGATTACGACAATCACGGGGTGTGTAGATGGCATGGTTTTTCTTTCTTGCTGCTTATGCTGAGACCTGACAGAGGAGAAGTGAAAGGAGATCAACTTGCAAATGCACACCCAGAAATGAATAGAAAGGAAAGAAGGGAAGTTGATCTTGCTGGTCAAGGATGAAGTCCTCCGAGTTGTCAAGGTGTTGGCTCTTGCTGGTGCAACGTCATTCGTCGCTCTTGGAGTCGGCTAGCTCTGTTTTAGGTTTAGCGCCAAGCTAGCCATGCCCACCGGACTCCAGGACTCCCACGACTCCCTGACTTACAGCAACAACCAAACATCAACCAGACGAAAGCTGATCGACCACCATTGGTAAATAAGTCGACATGTGCAGAAATGACCTCTAGACGCCACCTTGCTACGGCTGTTATGGCTGTTCGTTCATTTGGCTGGGCCCGAATCGAGACACCTCTTATGCCTGAAACAGCGTCCTATGGATATGAGAACGCTTATTTCGCTGTCATGTAGGTTGTTTTAATATTAAGATTGACATTCGTCTTGGCACAGCCTAGTTCAAGTCCTGTCTGGTCGATGATTGGCGGTGGTGGTAAGTGTACGGGGTTTTCCAACCGCACGCTAACAGCGGGTGAATACGTCCTCTATGCTTCTTGTTTCTTGACCACCACATTCTTCTTATCATTACGAGTCTTACCCTCAGCGCTCCTGTTTAAGTTCTAGAGTGAGTACACTTACACTTGTCGGGCTGAGTTCTAACCGAAAAGGTCGTAGACTGCAGAATGCATGTAGATCCCCACGTGGGTTCAAGGATATATTGCTATATTATTGTCTTTAAGCCTCACCACAGATACATTTAGAATATGTGTAAGGCTGTATTTGCATGTCATTTTGTATGCACATAGAAGACAGGGATGCTTCAAAAGGCTGGCTCGAACAGTACTATATGTGATGTGTCTTCAGACACGAATAAATTATCATAGTAAGTCTTTCCTATTTCATAACATTATAGCGTGGTCACTGTCTCAAGTCGTTGTGTTCTCCCCTTGGCCAAAATGCCAAATTCTCATCCTATTATGCACGCCAGCGTTCTGGAGCCAGCCGAGATCCAAAAATACAAAGGTGATCGCTCACCTGTTTTGCTCCTTCACAAAGTCATCTAGACAAATAATTTGGTCTCACTGCTCCGAGCGACCCGTTCTCGCCGCATTCTTACGACATTAGTTTGAATTCTGGGGGCTGAAATCATGTCAATGGCTTACAGTGGCCACAATCCATTTCGGAGAATCTTCCTATCTGATAACCGCCAAGTAACAATTAAAGCGAAGGAGCATGGAGCGCACCAATTTCTTCAAGCATCAGCACCACGTTCCAGCAAAGAGTAATGTGATTGGCTCCCTAGCATCGGCGGGCTTGGCAGCGGTCCAGCTCTTGGCACCCGCTCGGCGACGCCTTCGATACAACAGAAGCTGCCGCATCACTTGGCGCTGGACCATTCGTGTGCCTGTTTCCGCTCCGCATAGGCTAGGGTTTGCGTACTCTCGCTTGTAGCGAGGCTCCAAGAGGCTTCCAAGAAAAATCCAAGACTGAGACCCATCCAGAAGTACCATGGTCACGCATGGTTTCGGGACTCACCGTTGATGAACCCGTATGGACGAGCACGTTTGATCGTAATGCCTCTCCATTGGAAGATAGGAATGGCCGACTTGGTACATGGATTTTCAGCCTTGAGAGGCGTGCTGCAAGGCCTTGTTCCTATAAAGCAATCGAAAATATTCCTAGTCGTGTGCTCTTCTCTCCAGCAGCAGCCTTTCGATTCAGAAACATCCAAGGCAACCCTGTCAAGATGGGTGTTCTCTCTCAATATGACTACCTATTTGCTATAGGTACCATGTTTGCATTTTTGGATGCTTTCAACATCGGTATGGCACCCAGTGACAATATTAGCAAACAGCGTTCAAGCTAACCTTCTCCAGGGGCCAACGATGTAGCCAATTCCTGGGCTACCAGCGTGAGCTCGAGGAGTGTGACAATGAAACAGGCTATGGCCTTAGCCACTGTCATGGAATTCAGCGGAGCCCTCGGTGTTGGAGCTCGCGTTTCCGAGACGATCCGCACGAAAGTCATCTCCACTGAGCTTTTTGAAGACGATCCAGCTGTGCTCATGTTGGGCATGGTCTGCGCTGTTGTCTCCTCGTCGATTTACCTTACCTTCGCTACAAAGTTTGGCCTTCCGGTCAGCACGACTCATTCGATAATGGGTGGAGTTATTGGCGTAGGGATTGCGACAGTCGGAACATCAGGAATCGATTGGAGCATAGACGGAGTCTCCTCAGTCTTCATTGCATGGGTGTCGGCTCCCGGGATTTCTGCGTGCCTGGCAGCCATTATTTTCCTAATCACCAAATACGGGGTGATGCTGCGGAGCGATCCGGTCAAGAAGGCTTTCTATGCGATCCCTGCTTACTTCGCGCTTACATCAGGGCTGCTCACTAGTAAGTTTTGGAGATATAGCATAGTGAGCTGCAAAAGCTGACCATATATAGTGCTCATTGTATGGAAGGGAGCCTCTTCCAGGATTAAACTTTCCGGCGGCGAGATTGCAGGAACCGTCATCGGTGTTGCTGCCGGTGTTGCTCTTCTGGTCTGTGTTTTCTTCCTGCCATACCTTTGGCGCAAGATCATCCATGGCGACTGGCAACTTAAGTGGTGGCATATCCCCTATGGTCCACTATTACTCAAGCGTGGAGAGATTCCTCCGCGCCCTGAGGGTGTCTCTGATGATATCAAGGATTACTCGGCTGGCCACGGGACAAGCGACGGGCAAGAGGCGCAGGCAGCCCAGCAGAGCAACAGCCACGGCGCCGACGACTTAGAGAAGCAGACGAACCCGAAGAGCGACTATTCCGACTCGATTGCACCGACATCCCCAGAAATCCAGCCCAAGGCTTCCAGTCCGGCCGAGACGGCTGCTAATAAGCAACCTGAGGGCAAATGGTACCAGCCTGCGGTTTTCTTCTATCTGGCCAAGCGGGCAATCTTTCACGGAGTCGAGAAGGACGTGATCAGCGCTCAGTCAAAGCGTAATCTTCTTTCGGGAGATGCGAACGAAAGAAGTGTCTTATCACAGCACTTCGACAACAGAGCCGAGTACATGTATTCCTTCTTACAGGTTTTAACCGCATCAACCGCAAGCTTTACGCACGGCGCAAACGACGTCAGCAATGCAGTGGGTCCGTACGCCTCTATATTTTTAATCTGGAACACGGGAAATATATCCTCAAAAGTTCCTGTGCCCACCTGGATTCTGGCTTTTGGCGGCGTGGGTATTGTAATCGGTCTTTGGTCTTACGGCTACCATATTATGGCTAATCTGGGGAATAAACTTACCCCTCACAGCCCCAGCCGTGGGTTCTCGATGGAACTGGGAAGTGCTATCACCATCATCATGGCTACGCAGTTGGCTCTTCCTGTCTCAACGACACAGTGCATCACGGGCGCTACAGTCGGAGTTGGCCTTTGCTCGGGTACTTGGAGGACCATAAACTGGAGAATGGTGGCCTGGATCTACTTTGGATGGTTTATAACTCTTCCAGTAACGGGAATTGTCTCGGGATGCTTGATGGGCATAATCATCAACGCGCCGCAGTTCGGGTACGCCAGTCGGTGAAGAAAGATAATCGTATGTATTTAGTTCTAGTTCTGCACAAGATTTCGTGTATCTAGGCAAGAAGAATGAGTTGGTGATAATGTCAGTTTGTGAGGAGGTTTGTTGATGAGAAGGCCCGTGCATCGTGGTGTTGAGAAAATGGCACGTGATAACTGTTACACGTGCATAATCACATGATGTACCGCCTTCGCAGAGCCTATATTGGGAGCAGCTGCAAACAATCATCTCATTCAGGTCAGGATAAAGACCTTTCCGGGTTCTTCTCAACTCTCATCATGACCACAGCTCAAACGCGCTCTGTCCAGTTCACACCAAACACTCGACATGGGCCTGAGTCTTTTCACAGCCTCACAATGGAGACGGACACCGTTAAGGCGCATGACCTCACTCTGCCTACAATAGCCGCACCTACGTGTCAGCCAAAAACCACTGTCGTACTGTTGCTACCGTACGACTTGCTTGTGTGCGGATAGTGTTTCCTCCTGTTATGGTGGATACGAAATATTGGTCGCCAGCCCGGCACTGACCGGTTAATCGTGGCCGATGTCCGACTGCACGATTAACTTCCTAGGGAGCTAGAGGCGTCTTTTTCGTGAAAGTCTTGCGACATTAAAGTCAGGATCCCGATATAACCTGTATAAGAGTTGAGATGACTTTTATTCAGTCGGTGTTTGTTGCTTGCTATAGGTCTGGTTGTCTATAAATACAGCCTGGAGGCGGACACGAGTACTCCGTGGGTTGACTACGGCCCGTAAGTATAGCAGCCTTGAAAATCCTGTCTTAGCGCATGTTTCTCTGGATACTTTCTAAAACATTTTTTGTAACTACCTATGATATTATTAAGCGAGGGCATCAAGCCGTGGACCCAGCCTGGCAGCCAAATAAAATTCGACCCGGAAGGTGTCCTTCCAAACACTACAGTCAGGCTTGTACCTGAGGCATCGGTACAGAAAGAGCAGGAGCGGCTATCCTACATCCCCGCTCTCGGCGCCATGCCTACCACCACTGCGCCCGTTTCTGCACCGCCGCCTGCCGTACCCGTCTCCGCGCCTCCCGTGCCCGTCTCTGCGCCTCCCGTGCCTGTCTCTGCGCCTCCTGTGCCCGTCTCCGCGCCCGTCTCTGCGTCGACAAGTGCTCCGCCGGCCCTAGCGCCTATCTTGCCTACACCTGTCTTGTCTACGCCCACGGATCTCAACCAGCAGTTGGTGGAGATATTGGACCGGGATCTCCCGATTCAGCCCGCTGGATTTCCAGCGGGCTTGAACTACCCGGTTCAATATTACCCGAACGACCCCTTGTATCCGATCGCATTGAGAGCTTTATGCCTCTATGAGTCAAACAACAAACCATGCCGAATACGCCACTGCAAACTGGTCCATAGATGCGAAAACATCTATGAGCACGGGTCTTGCTTCACTGACGACATCATTCATCGCAAGGAAGACACAAATCGCGAGACCAAGGTCGTTGTTCACACTCTGAAGACGTGCCTCTCTGTTATGAAGAAACAACCTTGCAAATATATGTGTTATTAGGGACTGTGTTAGCAGCAGTCTGTTAGCTCTGTTGCTGCTCTGCGTGCTAAGTATGCAAGATACGCGTGGTCGAAGGCGTTAGCATTTTCCCTGCGTTCATCCAATGCATTCTCCGCAATTACTGTGTAGGGAGAAAGGCATGGAGATCAGTAGAGACACTTGATTTTCTGGGGTTGGGATGTTACCTAGGATTGCGATTTCTCCTGATTGCTGAGAGACCGATTCTCGGACAATGACCTGAACAGTGTCACAAACACTTGCCCACGTCGCCCCAGCCAAGGCTAGGTCCCTGCTATCGGCCACAGATATGCCGATTTCGGATGTAATCATGTTGTCGGGGTCTCTGGGGTCTTTGCAGAACTCAGTGTCGAGAGCGACGAAGACACAGTCCTGTAGGCGATTGAAAACAGCTGAGTTTTTGCGAGCCTCCTCGCATTTGAGGCGGAAGGTTTCTCCCGTCCTCTGTGCATCGACGGAGGCATTGTGCATGCCAGCTGGCTTAATGAAGACCGTGGACTTTCCCTTCTTCCGAGTTGTCCTTGTATGTGTCTTGGTCTCAAGACCATGACGAATAATGAGATTTGCTAGGGAGTTATCGTGAGAGCCACCAAATTTATCAATGAGATATTCGAGTGAGGTACATGGAACATCAGGCGCCTCGGAGTGATTGCTTTCATCTCCTTTCGCGTCAGTTCAGGGAGCGTACCTGGCAATAATTAGCGGCCCCGGATAATTTGCCCACCCCTTAACTACATATTGAGTTAAATCTACTATACCTATAGAGTACTCATTAGGTAGTTATAACTAGACTATAATGCTACTGCAGGTAGGCAGTATATAACTATATAAAAGTAAAGGATATAAGGTATAATAGTAATCAAAAAGATATAACGATAAAAATATATACGAGCTCCTAAGTATTATTTAAGGGTATAGAGACCTAAAATTTTAAAAGAGTAGGAAACACGTTATATAATTCTGTAGATACTATCACTTGGGGTGGGCAAACTATCCGGTGCCGTAGCTAGTATTATCTCAAGGCAGCTTGGGTTTGGAAAATCATCATCATTACCGTTAACACCGTCTATCTACACGGTCGTTGGTGGGTCGCTCCAGCATCGGGTTGGCGAAGACATCCTGTGACTGCATCAAAGCTATCATAGTTGTGAACGGAGACGATAATGTCCTTTAAGAGAAACCGAGTGAGATTGAGCCAGTCGAGTTGGAAGGATGAGGAAGGAGGTGAAGGATCGAGCTACTCGGAAGGGGAGGAGGGTATTTGAGAAGTTACGAGCCCACGCGAGTCGGACTTCTCGTTGGAAAATGCCTAATTAGGTAAAGTGCTAGATAGAAAGTTACCTTTATAACAAGTATGTCGGTTTTGACATAAACCAGCTTAAAGCGACCTGAAAAGCAATTTGCGAGGATCCACCCGAGTTTCACAAAGCCTACTCCGCGTATGGCCTCAATCTCCAAACAGAGAAGGAGCTGTATAAGGCCAAAGAAACGGCCATCAGATTCGCTCCTTTTGCCTAGGCCTTCATGAATGAAGCTCCAGAATACTGTTCTTACTCAGAACCGTACCTTGGAAATGTATGCCACCGAAAACCTGATGTCTGTGTGTATGGCTTAGAACCGTGGTATCAACTGCACCGTGGTACAAGTAGGTTTAAGTGGGTCGACGCGGAGGTAGATTTAACCGAGCGAGAGGGGTCAAAACCTCGCAACTCCCTCTCAATTACTTGTCAACAACACCATCGACAAACTCTACCTCCTATCTTCCAATATTCTGTTTGTGTATGCGCCTAGGTATCCTAGCTACCGTGTTTGTTTCGCTTCGGTTCCGTCGCCGTTTCTTTTCACCCCATTCCGCATAGAAACCCACTTGTCATCCCTGTGGTGCCATAGGGCCTCCTTTTAGGAGGGACAAAGTTGGTGGATGGCCGTTTGGGTACTGGATAGATTCCGCAGATACTTCCGAAGTTTGTTTTATTCTACGAGCCGCCGTGTCTGGTTTTATCAGATCGCCGTTTCTTTTCACCCCATTCCGCACAGAGACCCACTTGTCATCCCTGTGGTGTCATAGGGCTTCCTTCCAGGAGGGACAAAGTTGGTGGAGGGCCGTTTGGGTACTGGCTAGATTCCGCAGAGCTTTACAATCAGACACGACGTGCAAGTGGCCGAGCTACCATTATATACAATTAGAGTCAGGGCTGCTCGCAGCGTCGAAAGCCCGGGTGGGAGGGAACACCGCATATGCGGGGATTCAATTTCATCAATATAATTCATTGAGAATTGAGATGCTGTCTTACTGTGTGGCTAACATTTTGGGTATAAAATGATGCTACGGTGATATTCATCACGGGCATGGCTGCGATCAAAGCTGCGCTGGAGTGATATGCCCGCTAAACATTTGAGATACACAACTTATCTAAATTGCGTATCTGGTCAAGACGTCCGATGATGTTGAGATAACGCTAGTCGAATATAGCAATTCGAGGTGAAGGTTTTGCAGTATGGTCGGACGGCTCTTCGGCGACATAGAAATGACTGTACTCTTCATTCATTTAACGTCCGTCACTACCAAGCGAGATTCACCGTCCAGCGAGACAGGGAACGATACAAGCAGACCCTACAGAATACTTCTTGTCTATTTTTATAAGCCTGAGTTCTGGGTATGAGCGGGAAGGTTTTAGAGCATACGCATACTATCTTATTTGGGTTTCTTCTTCTACTCCGTATAGGCATCATTGTCTCGCAAGATGATGACGGTAGCTATGTACTAGACCATTCGTGTAGAGTATAAAGGAATAGTGGCTACTACAGTTTATTAGACTGGACTGGTCCCAACCTGATCTCCGGGTAACTTGTGAGCTCTCGATAGCCAACGTCAGACCACAACCCACACAATAGCCGGGTAATTCGCCCAACGTACTTCGACAGAACATGACCACATGTAGAGTTGAGAAGAAGTTGTTTGCCCAAAGACTGTTCGGCCAGCACGTGATGCGCATTTGATCTCGCGCTTCAGCCCTACACATTGTTCCGCCGCCAACATGAACCCCGCGCTCGAGGACGAAATCACGTCGATAAACTCCATCTACGACCCGGACACCGAATCCACCCTCACCGTCATCTCCTCGGCGCCGGAACAGATATGCGCTTTGCGCCTGCCCTCGCTGCCCTCGGTATCGCTACGCCTTGAATTTCCGCCCGATTACCCCGACGCTCCGCCCTCCGTGCTCGGGACGCAGACGGTCGGCGACGATGTTCCCAAGGGCTTTGGCACGCGCGTCGTCGAGCTGGTGCGCCAGGTACTGGCCGACGTGTACCAGCCCGGCGAGCCATGCGTGTTCGGGTTGGTCGAGGACGTGGGCGAGCTGGTGGAGCGCGAGCGCGCCGCGACGCTGGAAGAGCAGAGTCGCGCGCGAGAGTCCGAAGAAGCTACGAAAATTGGTTTGAGCAGCCCGGCCACGGCAGGACACGACGCTAGCAATAATGACGGCTTCTCACGCGACTCTCTTCACGCGCAGGGCGACGACGACGATATCGGCCCAGACCCGCCCTGGATCCTCTCCGAGCCCTTCGTGGAGAAAAAGTCTGTCTTCCTGGCGCGTGCGGCAACCGTCCATTCAACCGCCGAGGCGAAGCAGTATGTGCGGCATCTACTGCTGACGGACAAGAAGGCCGCAAAGGCGACACACAACATGACGGCGTGGCGCATAAAGGGCGAAGGCGACACTACGTTCCAGGACTGCGACGACGACGGCGAGACGGCCGCGGGTGGAAGGCTGTTGCATCTTATGCAACTTATGGACCTTTGGGACGTTATGGTGATTGTTTCGCGCTGGTATGGCGGCGTGCAGTTGGGTCCAGACCGGTTTAGGCTCATCAATTCATCAGCAAGAGACGCGTTTGTCCGGGGCGGTTGGGCAAAAGACCCCAAGGAAGCTAAGGAAGCGGCTGGTGGGAAGAAGAAAGGAAAGAAATAATCAATAAACGGCCAACACGTGCTGGCCTCCTAAGGTTTTCAGTGACCTCGTCTCGAGAAACCTGTGAAAGCTTTCAGTTGCCACGGTGCAAAGGGTTAAGAGGGTGACTGGTTGAGTACGTGCCATATGGGAAGTGAATGTGAAGTCGCCCAGACCTTTATAAGCGTCCTCCTTCCCCCATCTCTTCCTTTCTCTCACCTTCCCCTTCCTCGCCCTTCTTCCGACGAGACGTGGATACTCTAAGTAGCCACGATGACGGGCAAAAGGTCTGCTCTAGATGCTGCGGACATGCCTCCCAGAGGTAAAAGACCCCGTACTGGTGCTGAACAGGTAAGCTTTTATCTATAAGAGCTCCATACCCACGTTCAAGTTGACTTCCTCAAAGGCACTAGCTACCAACACCAAGTCGCAAGGTTTTCCTCTTCTCGAACTTCCACCTGAACTGAGGAACATCATCTACAAAATGGTTCTTCATACGGAACGCGTCAACGTCAGCATGCTAAAACCAGCAAATGTCCACCGTATCCATGTCAAACCCTCAACGAGACTGAACCCGAACCTACTCCTGGTCAACAAGCAAATTCACTCCGAAGCAGGCTCGTTTCTTTACAGCAACGACTTCTGGTTTGACGAAACTCGTTCTCTAGTCGTCTTTCTCTTCCAACTCAAGCCAGGGACGAGGTCATGGATTACATCAATCTCTATTCACAAATTCAAAACCAACAATTTCACCAAGGTCAACAACTACAACGCCTTCTGTCTCCTCGCTGAGTCCATGAAATTGAGACACTTGAACATCCCCAATGCCTTCAGCGACGAAACAGGAGCAATTAGTCAAACGAAGGTCAACACGGACATATTCCGTGACGCGAGTTCCTGGATTAAATCAGTTGGTAACCTCCACGGTAACAAGTATGCCGCCTTGGGAATCATCAGTATCAGGCCTGCAAGCCAAGACCCGCTGTCCGGTTGGCCGCCGGTGAAGGCCTGGCTGTTAGAGGACAAAGAATCAACGATACTCAACTACAACTTCCGCCATTGTCTCAAAGAGGCGTTGGACAAAAACGATGACAAGGGAGGACCTCACTGACCCAAAAACAAAAGGCAATGATGCTTCATCCTTCATCGACGATCAAACCTACAGAAAGTCAACGATTTTCTTTTTGGAAGTGGTAGAGTACTGACAGGAAATCATGAAATTCTTTTTTTGGGCATGGTAGACTTGTAGACATCAAGTCAAGAGTTTTGATGGAGGAAGTAGATAGACCATTCCTCGACTTTCTTCTCACTTGGCAAATTCGACTACAGGTAAAATGCCTCTATATCACAGTTAAAGCTGTAGCTAGCAATGTCATACAGCTTGAGCCTTTGGAAATACAGTTATTTCGAGTGATAGCCTGTAAGGCAGTTCAACAAATGCTTCTTTTAATATTCTTTCCCTGCGCCATCCCTAGTCTTTCCTCCTTGAGGTAAGGGTAGACTGTTGTTTTGGTTTTACTATAGACATCGTCACGGATGGCTGGTATATACAGTGCGCCTGTATAGTAGTAGTGCCGTGTTAAAACTACAGATTCTCCCACCAGTTTTCAGTGTTAAATGACCGATCATACACAAGAAGGAAGATAGTGCCCTCACACTTTTTTACCATTTATATACTAGAACAATGCGTTCACACGCCCTACTTCGCCCTGGTTAAATAGTGCCTCTATTCTCCTCTTCCCCTCTACCCTTCCTCCCCCATCCAACTCACAAACATCAAGCAAGCAGCACGCACGCTCAACACAATGGCCGACACCGACAGAGAAGCAGCACGCAGAGAGCGCCTAGCCCACATGCGCGCCGACTACGAAGCCTACATGGACGTCCCCCAGCTCGTACCCCTGATTGTGATGCGCCACCGACGCGCCCACAGGCTCCGCCAGTTCGGCTTCCGCGACGAATCCATCCGTTACACCCTGCTCGCTATATCCCGCCATGAAAAAGACAAGTTGTTCCGCTACAAGCTCTGCAAGTACGTCCGGTACTGCGCTTTGACGTTCATCATAGACTTTAGCGTCGTGGCCGCGTTCTGGAAGAACACTGTGCTTGCCTATGTGCTCCTGGCCCTGCTTGTCCTGCTCGTGCGCCTGCTGTTCCATATCGGGGTGCTCTCGTTCCGCAGATGGAAAGGCGGCCTCTGGCTTGCTAACTATTTGCTCTCGACTTTGCTTCTGATGCGCCCACTGGTTTCTGATGACCCCCGTGACTTCGACCGCCAACTCTTGATTGCGGTGAGTCTCGTAATGCTACTTGCGCTGCTCATGATGCGCCGCCCGCTTAGGATGATCCGCCTGTTGGCGCCTGTGCTGTTCTATGCGCCTATGTGGGAGTGGAAGCGTGAGGTCAAGCTCTTCCGGGAAAGCCATGGTGATCTGTTTGGCACTTGATGCGGGAATGGCGCATAGCATGGGCGAAAAGTGGAAGTGAAGGAGTGGCTGCCAATAGCCACAAAAAGGCGTCGTCATGATTAAGCTCGAACGAGAAGAAGTGCAAGTAAACTAAGTAGTAGTGTAAGGTTAGCAGCGTGGCGCGCTCCAGCGAAGAAGAAAAAGAAAAAGAGGAAAAAAAGAATGAGGACAGCCAAAAATCCAAAGCTACCTTCCATCCGTCATGCTCGCCTTTTCAGACAAGTAGACCAACCTTCCAGCACTCGTGTACGCCACCCCAAACAACAAGTCTAATCCACCAAAAGCAAATCAAATAAAACAAAGCAATCCTCCTCAAAAAGCGCCCTGCCAATTACCCACCACAAAATTTTCCACGCACAAAGCCCATCCCAAAAAGAAAAGCAAGAAACAAGTCTAATCGCACTCCGCTGTTGCTCCGTTGCCGTTGTTGTTGCCGTACCAGTCTCGCATAACGCTCACAAAGCACCTCCCATATGGTATAATTTCCCCGCCCAATCTACTCTCTCACAACTCCCCTATACAACACCGTTCCGCCTGTTTTTAAACAGGCTTACGCCTTCTTCTCGCGCTGGATCGACGGTCCCGCTGATAGCGCACCGCTCAACAGCTTCGTTAGGCCCATGGTCGTCGGACCCCTGCCACTGCGCGTAGGAACTGTGGTCAAGCCCGCTCCGGCGCCTACGCCCGCAGCGGCGCCCTCCTCATCAAACGCCGTCATGACGCTGGCGCGGCGATTGAATGTCGGCTGTCGGTTAAAGGGCGCGTTCTCGCCGCCGCCAAAACCGCCCTCAGGCTTGCTCATCACGCTGCCGCGCCGCGTCACGCGCCGGCTCAGCTCCTCGTCTTCTTTCTTGTGCAGTGTATCCGAGGGCAGCAAGATGGCACGGTCGAGCGCGTAGGGCAGACCTCTGTGGCGTCCACGGATCTGCATCGCAATGATGATGAGTTTGGAAAGCGTCGCGAATTCTGCTGAGAAGGAGGCGTTTATAGTAGGGTATCCCAGACTAAGGCCGACGGTGCCGTAGGCGGATACTATTTCAAAGAGGACGGAGAAGAGCTCAAAAGAGTACTCGTTGGTGTTTTGTAGGCGGGATCCCTCGATAATGGCGATTAAGAAGAATCCCAAGAAGACAAACCACAAGTCGAAGGAAAGCTGGCGACGCAAGTGAGTACTCACGTAGCTTTGCTCCACACCTTCATCCTCCTCTTCTGCATCTGCGTAGAGGCCAAGCGACTTCTCTTCGTACACGTTTGTCCGACGCAAACTAATGGCGATAGGAAAAACGGAAATGTACATCATGATGAGGTAAGAGACCTGCACGGCCGGATGCAAATCGGAGATATTGATGCACGTGAAACCGGCTGTGCGCGTGCTGAAGGCCACGAAAAGACCATTGAGCACACGGATACCCGGTGGCAGAGAAGTGACGGTACTATCATTCAGATCGAGAACGACGAAGAGAATCAAGTCGGTGCCGTTCAAAATCACCAACACCCAGAACAACCACCATGTGGCTTTGCTGGGAAAGAGAAGAGTGAAACAGCGTCTCGGGTGATCCAAGAGGAACTTGAGCTCTTGGAAAACTCCACTCTCATACGGAACACACTTTGCGGCGACCCAGATGATGAATCGGAGCATGCAAGGAAAGCCGGTGTTGCCAATGACGATAAGAAAGCTTCCCAGGAGCAAGGGAAAAATTGCATCATGATACGATGTCATTGAGTCCGGAGTCAAGGTGAATCCGAGATCGTTGAACATTGATGCTGGCGTAAAAACACCCCTGATAGAGTCAGTGACCTGACGCACTCTTTTGAGTGTTTTCACTTACCACCAAGCAGCGCTGACTTTGTCTGGCTTGAGAACAGAATTCTTGTAGTGCGTATGCAATGACCACGGAAGCAAGCACACCATTCCGAGAAGATGAAAGCCAACGTAATAGCCTACACTCGCGAGTTAGCAATGCGACTAAAAACTCCTTTCCAGTTACTCACAAACTAGGATGAAGGCCAAAGTCTTCAGCGCCCGGTATTCTATTCCTCCCAATTCTTCTCTCTGGTCTTCTGTTAGATCCACAAATGCCGAATTGCGACCAATGGTTGGCGTCCAACTCAAGTACGGCATCGGGTCTCGATCTTGGCTCTTCGAGGTCAAGAAGCTTTTGAAAGTCGCAGTGCGATTGCGCTGGCGAAGTCCAGACGGTGGGTCCTCCTCATCTTTCAATGTGATTTTGCGCTTGAAGGCGTCGAGGCCTGTCCGTATCTTTCCAGGTTGCCAGGGCTCCGAAACCGAAAAGGTACGGTGCTTCTTGAGCTGTTGATCATCTCCATTCATACCAGGATCGACGGCATCCGCCGGCTGATTGGCTTCCTCATCCCTGCCACGCTGGCTCGAGTCATTTGTCCGTTGCCGTCCGAGGCTAGCGCTGTTATCATCTTCATCAAGGCGCTGAGGCTTGTCGCCGCGATCGTAGTCTCGTGGGCCTGGGATCCGCAACCGCCCTTTCGCCTTGGGTCTACGCTGATTCTCGACAAAGGCGATATGTTGTTCAGCAGTCCGCCTCTCGGGGAGACGCTCGATATCGGTGGTAGTGACCCGTCTCGGAGGTGGTTTGACGTCATCGGCAAAGGTAATGTCTCTTCGAAAGGGCTGGATGGCATCAATTTCTGCGCTGGGTTCTCTGGCCAGCGGTGCAGGCACTGCGGGCTCTTCGCTTAGTCCTCCACTGCTCTTGCTGTTGGATGACGGTCGTATTATTGATTGTTCCTCAGCCTCATTTTCCTTCCCGTCTTCTTCAATTTCGCCTTCCATATTGCAGTTCGCACCTTGCGCATACCCTTCCGAATCGCGCACGACCGTGATTGGGCGTCCACCGACCCCCAGCTCCTCGTGCGCAATGTCCCTATCCTCTCTCATTTCGCTTTTCCTTTTCGAAAACGTGCGCGAACGATTGCGCGCCGCTTCTTGTACTACGCCTTGAAAGCGCTTCTCGAACCAGTACAGTCTGACAAACACGACGAATGTGTTGATAAATATCGGGTTGCAGACGCAGGCGATGAGCATAATGACAACTTGCTGATATAGCGTGATTTTATTGAGGTCGATGGTGTTCAGGCCGCTCTGGGTAGCGGAACCGCTGGAGAAGAAGAGCGCATCGATGTACCGCATGCCACCCGCGGGGTAGATCAGGATCGAGCCGAGAATTGTCATGAGAATAAGGTACAGATCTGCAAGATTAGCATAGGATCAGCGACTGCAACAAAAATCTGCTGCGGTAATATAGGTGGGTTGTATCGCGTACAATGCAGGGTGATAAAGTTGAAGCGCATCATAGTAAAGTGTATGCGCTTTGGAAAGCGCTGCCTTATCCAGGCGGCCGCCTCGATCAACGGGTCGAACATTGTCTCCGATTCCCGGCAGCGCTGTGTTTTCAGGTTGGTATCGACGGATGGAAGTTGTGGAGGTAAGCGGGCGGAAGATGGACCCGGCCGGGCAGAAGTAGTGTGAGGTGAACACGTCGTCTGTGGTTACGGTAGTGGCACGCCAGCGGTAGGTCAGCAAGCCAATGGCTCCGGGAGGCTGCGTGTTAGCAGGCCGGTGAGGTGATTGCCAGGCCGAGGTCGGGAAAAGGCGTGGAAAGCACGCGGGCGAGGCGACTCGAGGAGGACATCAAGCTTGTTGGTTGCGACGCATCGTGGGAAGAAGAAGAAGAGGGAACGAGGCGAGAAACAGGCGTCTGATATGGTCGGGATCGAGGGTGGTAAGTGCGCGGACGTGCAATGGTGCCAAAGCTCGAGTGCTGCTCGCAGCTCTTTTGTTTGTCTCGAGCGCCGAGCAGTGGGGGGGATGGCGCAGCCAGACCCAAAGTAAAAGGAGAGTCGCGCGGGTCCCGCCATCGTCGCGTTTGGCTTGCGGGGGACTTCGACCGACGGCTCTAGGCCCCATTTGGGCGCCACGAGCACCGCCGCGTTTCATCGTCCTTCCGCATCCCCATCCACCTTCCCACTCCCTCTGTTCGATCGCAATTTCTCAATGAGAAAAATTTTGTGCTCAGCCGCTCGCCCGAGACCTCATCGCCTACGAATGCTCACTCTCGCTATTTTTTTTTATACATATGTACCCCGAAACCCAATAGCAAAATCACCAAAAGCTCACTGGTCGTACGTTGTAGGTGCTAGGAAGAAACATCGAAACTCATGATTATGCAGCATGCTATGGTCCAATTCGACGCTTGACCCCGCCGCAACACGTTTCGCCAAGCCTTCTTCAAGCTCACCGGTGGAGAGACCCATCTCTCGACATGCAGGGTCCAAAACTACCCCTCACGCTAAATGGCTGCCGCGGCTTCCGCGGTCATCGCATTGCGCCATTATGAAGTCCCGTTTGCGCCTGCGGGAGACATGCCGGGCGACACTCCATCGGCGTGCTTGGCCTTCGTCTTCAGCGTGAGAGGGAACGGGTATTCGTCGGGATCTTCCTCCTCACTATTGCCCCGTATTAGCATACGACTTTGCCTCGGTGGCGGTGTACGATTGTACTTACGGCAACTTCCATGCGATGTAGTCCTCTGTGGAAAGACCCTCCCTACCCTCTTGCAGCGAAGCAAAGTCTCCGGGTGTCATCATGCCGGAGCGGTCCCTGGGAGATCCGGGTTCCGAGAGTGGGCGAGTGATCTTGACCTCGGCTGATCCGAAGAAATCCGGCTCAGCCTCGCCATCGTAAGCATCCGGGTAAGCTGCAAAGTCAAGTCAGTCAAAGCAAGAAATCAACAGGATCATGAGCATCGACTTACCCCTCCGAAGCGCCAGCTGACGGGCCTTGACGTACTCCATGCCCATCCTCTTCCAGTCAAGCAGGTCACTCAACCTCTCAGTCCTGTTGCGCTGGTTGATACGTTGACGCCTGCTCTTCTTAGAGAACTCGAACATGAACTCAGACAGCTGATTGACAGAGTCATCAACTCCCTTCATCCGGCGGTCGACGATGTAGATACCGTAGTCCTGCGCGTTCTCAATTAATTCCTCCATGTAGCAGCCGAAACCGGACAAATTCGTCGTGATACTCGGGACACCCATCACGGTGCACTCGGCAGGCGTGTAGCCCCAAGGCTCGTAGTAAGAAGAGAAGACACCGAGATGCGTACCGCGGACGAAGTCGTCATAGTCCAGGGGCAAGACGGGGTTGGCGGAATTCAGAAACTCGGGGTGGAAGACAATCTTGACACGGTCAGACGGGTGGTTGAACAGTTGGCACCGACGGATCTGGTTGAGGATCGGGTCGTCATGATCGTTGATCATGTTGTGCGTAACGATAGGTGGGAGGCTGTGACGCTTCATGGCGAACAGTCGCCGACGGAGCATGATCTTGTCGGCCGCACTCAAAAGCTCTTTGTCTTCAGGAAGCTCCGCACCCTCGTGCCATGCCAGAGAGCGCTCGAAGAGCTTCTTGCCAACATTCTGCGAGATGACGTTAACCGTGTCATGCAGAGACTTGATGACTGCTTGCCCCTTGAGTGCCTCTACGGTTAGCGACTGTGTTTGTGCTGGCATGATAATGAACGCGACCACAGTCATGTTCGAGCCTGTGCTCTTCATGCGATGGTTCAGCCGAGCCAACGACTCGATGAACATGTCCACGCCCTTGTTCCTGTACTCATAGCGACCAGCCGTGAAGAAGTATAAAGTGTTCTCCGGATCGAAGTCGTTGTGTCCGTAGAAATGACCGCGGACGAAGTCATTGATCTTCGACTTGGCCTGTTGATGCAAGTTTTGGAACTCGTGAGTGGCGGAGAACTTCTTGACGTTGAGACCGTTTGGCAAAACGCCGTCTGGCTTCCGCTTCAGCAAGTGCTCGCTCTCGTACGCTGTAATGTGTGAAACAGTCGTAAACACATCAGCGGAGTGTGCGGCGCCCCTCTCAATGCAGTATCTGTGATAGATACCGCGCTTGCCCGCCTCGGCATCCACATCAAAGTATTGTAGGTTGTTGTAGAAATCGACCGAACCAGCGCAGAGATACCGACCAAGCAGCGTCGCGTGTGTCGTGAAGATTGTGGTCACGTCGATACGCCTCTTCTTGCACAAGGGCAGCGCCACACCAGCAAGCCATTCGTGGAACTGAACAACAATTGCGCGCTTCTTCTCCTGAGCGGCGTACTAGACAATAGTTAGTACCAGAGTCTGTGGCAGCCAGCTTGTTGATCCCTACCTCTCCCAGGAACCAAGCAATAAGATAACCGAAGACAATCGCCTCGTTCGTCTCCGAGTCACCTGGCGGTGACGGAATGCCGGCTACGGTCCAGAGGTCGCCCTTCCATTCGTCGAGAAATTTGTACGCGGTGCCCGTGTCAAAAAGCAGAACGCGAGGCGCGCCATCAATCAACCATCGACCGTAGAGTGTAGCGATGCCGCGATCATTCATCGACTTGATGGTCTCGATCAAAGCCGGATCCCTGGGGACGAGTTCTTCCACCTCAACATTTGCCTGGTGCCAACGTTAATCTCAGCGTATTAGCTTCATCGCGCGAAGGCAAGAATACTTACGGAATTCCGGTTGAGGGGACCCAAGAGCGTATAGGCCGCGCCATACTCTGCTGTCGTGACCTGCGCCTTGGATTTCAAGACGGAGTAGATGCCACCAACTAAGTACAAAGCATCCAGTCAGTGATGCCAATGCGCGCTGGAGATACGTAGACTTGCCTCTGTTTGCGACCTCGGTCGCCACCTCGAAGAGTATGTGATTCGTGACATCTCGTGGCTGGGGCTGGTCTGTCATGACGGGCGTGTGCAGAGGGGAGGGGGAGGCGTCGGGCGGCGAGAGACAAAGAGAATTGGGTGGGAGTGGAGCGACAAAAAGACAAGAGCGAAGCCTCTGACGCAGGGAAGAGGATGTTGATGTACTTTCTCGGCAAAGGGCACGAGCGTTGTGTGGAGAATCAAGTGAACGTCTGGAGATGGCTGGCCCCGTCGCTTAAAGCTCACACAGCTTGCGACGGACGTCACTGGCTTCCAGGGCAAAGCAGCACGGTGCCGCGCTTTTGCCCCCCCCGTCTCCTGATCGCGGCGCATGATCATAGGCGCCGTCTCCCACGCATCTTGCATACGAGGCTTGCAATGGCTAGCTAGCTCACAAGCAAATGCGTGCTTCTCCTCGCGCGTCGATAGCCCGACTGGCGGCACGCTGCGGCCGCCCCGGGAACCCTGCGGCACAGGCGGCTCTCGAGGTCACCATGGCCACGAGGGTGCTCTGCAGTGCGAAATGCACAGAGCGGGCTCGTCAATTGGGCTCTCGGACACGGTAGCAGCTCGTGCGAGGGCAATTGGCCCACGAGGGAAGCTTTGTTGGGAGAGTCGATCCTCCACCACCGAGCAACGTCATTCCGGAGCTCTCCACGCCTCTCCACCAAGACGGTGGAAAATGCGGGGTGGAGTCAGCGAAACATCGGCCCGATGACGCCCGCACAAAACAAGAAGAAGCCCCTGCTTGCTCTCTCCCACAGCTTCCCCGACCGTGCTCCGTCCTGGAGAAATCCTCGCGTGCAGATCTCCCTGTCGCTGTTCGAGCGAGCGAAGAAGCTTCTGCCCATCTCGCGAACTGTGCCGCCTCAGCCGATCATCAGTTGTTTGATTCGGAGACGGAATACATACGTGCGAAAGGATCTCCGTGCCCACTTTCAACGCAACCATCATTCGACCACGTAGGTACCCTCGCGACACACAGAGAGGATACGCACCCGCTTCTTTTGCCTATACATACCTCCCTGGTCCATATGCACTCATGCATTGACTCGTGTCGGCCAATGTCGTGTCGCCCTCAACGTTTGATCTGCCTGTCTGCTAAACATCCGTGGTATTTTTCTCAAACCCCCAACCAAAAAGCCCCAGTCCTCCCGGCTTGCAGAACGCACAACGCCTCATAAACCATGCGCAAATCGTCTGGCCCACCTTCCCAATCCCTGGACAGCCTCAGACACCGCTGCGGTGAACTTGACTACCGCCATGCCTTATCTGTACCGTTTCCCTCCTCTGCATCACCACCAACGCCCTGTTGAGAGCTTGCTCAGAATAGCCCTTGGAATCCACAAACTCCCTCTTCAACGTCGCAAGACTCGTCGTCCAGCCAATGGGCAGACGCCTTCTAAGCTCCTCCTCAACCTTGTTTACTTCCTCCATCAGCTCGCGGCTGCCCTGGCCTTCACCCTGGGTGACGGCATCCATAGTGGATGCCAAGAATAGACGGATCGCCTCATCCACATGCGCCTCGGTCGCAATGGGCGAAAGTGTCATCTTCGCCAGCGACTCGGTTATACGAACAATGGCTTCCAATTGACGTACAGTGATGGGGATTGAGGACCGAGCATTGGCGGTCATTTCGGCGGCGTGAACCTGGCGACGGATGCTGACAAAGTGCGAGGAAAGCTTCTCCGCCGCTTCAGGGGAAAGACGAGGGGCGCATTTTCTGCTATCTGTCAGCCGTGTTCAAGAATCTCATGTTTTGGACGGGGACTTACTGCTTGCAGTAGCTGATGTACCGCTTCATCTTCTCCACGGGAATCTCAGCCTGCACCTGCTCTTCGACACCACGGCCACCCATGTGGATGCCCATGACGTGCTTAGCTATCCTCTCGTCACGGCCACGCTCGTGCTCATCACGGACAATGAAAATCATGTCGAAACGCGACAAGACGGTGGTCTGGAAGTCGATGTTCTCGCCCGGCGTCTTAAGATCATCGTAGCGACCAAAGATGGGGTTGGCAGCCGCGAGAACGGAGGTTCTGGCATTGAGAATGGTAGTGATGCCTGCCTTAGCAATGGAAATAGTCTGCTGCTCCATGGCTTCGTGAATGGCGACTCTGTCCTCGTCGCGCATTTTGTCAAACTCATCAATGCAGACCACACCGCCGTCTGCGAGCACCATAGCACCCCCTTCCAAGTAAAACTCCCTAGTACTGGCATCACGCTGTACTGAAGCAGTCAAACCAGCCGCTGAAGATCCTTTACCAGAGGTATAGATCGCAATTGGGGCAACTTTTTCGACAAATTTGAGGAGCTGAGACTTCGCAGTACCCGGGTCACCCAATAGAAGAACGTTGATATCTCCTCTCAGTTTCATGCCGTCTGGCAAAATTTTCTTCGAGCCTCCCATCAAGAGACAGGCAATGGCCTTCTTGATATCTTTGTTGCCGTAGATAGATGGCGCAATGCAATCTGCGAAGATATCGTAGAGGTCTGGCCTCCTGCTCATTTCCAAGAATTCTTGCTCCTCTTCCTCTGTGAATGTAGCGTTGCCCTTCATAGTGTGATCGACGTCCGAGTGGATACCAACGGCGCGCATGTATGGATTCCTGATAGCGACCGCTGCGTTTGATGCTCCCTTCGATCCCTTTGATTGATAAATGGAAAACACACCCATTACTGTGCACCGCGAGCCGGGAACAACGCGGTTACACAGGTAGCGGTCGGCCGAGATCAGAATGTGGCGCGGAAGCTCTCCTACTGGAACTTGGTCCGGTGCTTCTTGGAGCTTTAGCACCTGCTGGTCGATGAACTGGCACTTTTCGTGTACGACAAAGTAAGGGTCTAACGGGCATTTGACGCCCTCATCGTTCTCTGTGCTGGGTCTCCCACAAGTCCTCGGCAACGAAATGCCTGCAAATCCGCCCGTCACAGGAATTTGACTAGTGTGCTGGCAGTTGCGGCATTGTATATAAAGTGTAGTGGCTTTCGAAGAGAGAGTCGAGGCGCCAATGATGATACCTGGTATCCGGACAAGATGCGAAACGTTGTCTGCATTGAGGTCGCGTATAGAGATTTGCGATGCTGAGGAGTGCAGGAGAAGCTGGTGCTCGGGGAGCTTGATTTCCTTTTGCGAGGGGTATACAATCCGTTGCGTGCAGACTTTCAGCGCCGCTTCGAAAATAGGAATGATATCGGTGGGATTGCTCGTCAACTTGTGCGCAAGCTCTTCGTTGTAAGATATGAGGTGCGCGATGTCGATATCGCAGTAGTATTGCTTGATGAGGGCGTTCTCTCGAATTTGGTCTCTGTTATGTCGTCAGTTTCGTCAGCTTCCGCATGCGCCGCTAAGCATACCTATAAATGAAGATGTTGTCGATATGGAAGTCAAGAATGAAATTCACCAGCTGCTGCCGGATCTGAGAGTTGCTGTCTTCGCCATCCTGGTTGTCTTGACCGCCAAAGAGGCTCAGTGAATATGTTGATTGCCTGTCCATAGCAGTGACGTAGAAACTGGAAGCAAGAAGGTGGGTATCTGTAGCGGATAACGTAAACAAGATCAACTCCCAGCTCTTAGAGGCTTGTAGAAGTTGACGTGGTGGGCGCGTGAACAGGCCTGAGTGAGGAAGATTGTGATGTTGTTGTTCCCGCCGTCGCCATGGCAAAAGGCGAAGAAACCGCCGAAGCGAAATGGAGCCGGCGGGGCGCGAAACGCGTCAGGCTCCACGCGACGCGCTGCCTCGCGCAAAGTGTTTTCTTGGCGCGACACCCATAACCTTGCTGTTTTGGGTATCATCTACAGTCTTTCACGGTACGAAAAAAGGCAGCCTGGGTTCACAGGACATAGCAGATAAGACATTGGGGCTCAAAGAGAGAGTGTGTGCCATTCTTTACATCCAATGTAATTTAATAATTATCCTTCTCTCTAATGCTATCATCACTGTTTGGACGCCAACTCCTGTCTCCACCAGCCTTTGAAATCTACTGTCTGCAGATCGATTCCAAGCTCCCTGGTTTCCTTCGTATCCAAATGGCAATCGTAAGGCCTCTTCACCTTGCCCTCACCCTCATCCTCTGGAGGCTTGAATTTCTCCATACCATCCAGCGTGACGCCCAAAACCTCAGCCAGGATCTCGCATATATCATATTTGGTCATCTTATCTTCAGACGAGAAATGCAGTATCCCAGGCAGACGACTCGAACCAAACCCAGCCGCTGGGGAAATCAAGCCGCGATACAGTGCGCAAATGTCGAAGCATACGCGTGCAACGTCAGCGATGTTGGTTGGGAACCGCTGAGCATAGTCATCCATCTGGATCCGTGGCTCATCGGCCTTCAGGGCTACCGCCTTCTGAATCTGCTGGACCAGAACGTTTATTGCGCTTTCTGCCGGGTTGGAGCAGGACCCGTAGAGAATGGGCACGCGGAGGACGGCTGCGAGGGGCAGACCCGTACCTCGGTTACCGCTATCCGCTGCCGCAGTCAGGACTGCTTTCTCTCCTTCAAGCTTTGTCTGGCCATACATATTCGGTGGGGCGGGGGTGGAGGATGGGAGGTACGGCGCTTCTCCAGGAAGACCAGAGAAGACATAGTCTGTACTGATATAGAGGAGGAAGATGCTGCGGCGGCTGGCCAGACTTGTTAGCGTATGGGAGGCAGTTGCGTTGAGGGCGATGGCCGCGGCAGGGTCGGCATTGCAGGAGTCGGGAAAACGGTTCGCTGCGCCTGTTCGCGGTCAGAATCGCAGGCAGTTGAGACGGTTTAGGAGCTAGACAGTATTTGCGATCAGCTCGCATTCGGTGTTGAGGTACGTACAGTGCACAACTACGTCCGGTCTTCGACCATTGTCAGCGTGAGGTGATGAGTCGCCAAACAACTAAGACATACTTGATTTCATCCAAAACCCTTTCAATATCCTCGCTGTTCAAGAGATCGAGCTTGACAGTCGAGGGCGGACTTGCGCGCGAAAGGCCGGTGCCGACAGCCTTCCACCCGCGTGTCGCAAACTCCTTCGCGACTGCCCGACCAAGAAGACCGGTCGCTGCGGCAGTCAGCGCGAGGACCTAGCAGCAGGATGATGAACAACGAGCATACCGCCGGTGATGAGAGCAGTGTTGGGCATGTTGTAGTAGCGACGTCACTGGTGAGACGTTATAGGTGGTTAGGAGTCACTGGTGAGGTGTTTCGGTTTGAAATGATTCTCTTCTTTGGAGACCCGCGCAAGGCGAGAGCAACAACGAAAAGACCAAGGTCTGAAAGTTTCCAAAAATTCCCTGCCGATCACGAGGACCAACAGGAGCGGTCATTAGTTGTAGTTTTCAACTAGCAAAAACGCAATCTCGGACGAATCCTCACTGATATGCGTAATGCCCTTGCACCAAGATGCGGGAGGAAAAGGGTCGAGGGGGAAGGGAGAATTTATAGGCAGCCGCTGGCAGAGGCCATGCCTAAGCGAGCCAATCAGAGTACACCGCTGTGTGTCACGTGCTTTGAAGGCAGCAGCTCGCAGGTTCTGTTTGCTATATCATGTCGTCATTTGTGAGTCACTTTTCGCGGCGTGGATGCTTCCAGCAGTTTCTAGAAGTTTCCAGTTCTACCAGGTTCCAGCAGCTTCCAACAATTTGCCAAAATTTGGAGAATTCCGATTCTCCGGGTAGTGCTTGTGAGCCTGCAACTACCCATTCCATTGGTCAATGTATCAACTACACCATATCCGAGCGTCGCAAATGATTTTCATTTCCATGTTGAGATGTTATAACGGAGCTTTGTCATAGTCTTACCCGCTAGCCTGAAGTACATAGATTCACTGGCAGCAACAAATTCTGGACGGCAAGTTGGCAACGCATCAGCGACCGAACTTGCCTCACTACCATACCGAACTCTGTGAAGTAGTGACTTCTACAGTGCTTATTTTGGTACGAATTTCAAAAAAGAACAAAGAAAATGCCACGCATGACGAGGAGAAGACAGATGGAACCTTGTTGGTCTGTGAAATTTGGTAAGAAGTGAAGTGAAGTTTGTTGAACTTCTGATATAGGCATGCAAAGGTATGACCTCTTTCACGTATAAAGTAAAGTAAAGCTCAGAAAAAGGTGACTGCTCAATATGGCAGCTACAGTCAGGTGTGCCAGGTGGTCTAGTGGCTATAAAAGCTCATTGCCCGTCCGCCTCCTCTCCTCTAAACCATCACAGGTACATTGACTTCAACGCTCTTTCTTTGCCCTTGGCAACTAAACTCGTACAAACGACCATTGGGTAGATGCATAAGAGCTTTCTCTCTCCTCTCTATATTTCACCTTCACCACCATATCCGTTCATGCCGTCAGACAAGGAATGATGAAGCGAAGCCGAGACTCGGGGTCTCCGCCTCGCAAGAAGCAACGTCTCAGCGATGAGATATCGCCCACGCAGGTAAGACATTAGAACATCCTTGAGCTCTTCCGTGTACTCTTTGTTTCTCAAAGCTGACCTCGTCACAGGAAGAAGAAGCAGACAGCTCGCTGACCAGAAATGGAAAACTTGGTTTTCTCGATCTGCCCGGTGAGATCAGGAACATGATCTACAAACATGCCCTCTGCAGGAATTACCTACAGATATCATCATTACACTCAGGCTTCGAGACTGGACAGGAAGATTTTCAACAAAAGACACATTATCTTTCTAATTGTTGGGTGGACGAAATAACAACGAAGCTTTTGCTGGCCAACAAAACCGTTCATGCTGAAGCCGCATCACTCCTCTACGGAAACAGGTTTGATTTTTGTGAACTAGAGAGTTTTTACTCCTTCATCGTGGACTTGCGTCCCGAGACTAGATCCAGGCTCCGGCATATCCGCATCGTTGACTATCACGAAGAAACACCGCGACCTCGGTGTGCTGGACTCGCTTTCGATATCCTCAAAGATGCCCCCAACCTCGAATCTTTGACTCTTAAGTTTTGGTATTTCACTTCCTTCTCTGTTATCAGGGATTTTTGCACCGTCTTCTTTGAAGATAGCCGCACTTGGCTGGAGACAGTTGCGAAAAGGAAAGGGAGCAACCGCGCTGCTGTAGAACTTATCCGGACAACTTTTCGGGATGATTTTATCATTTGGTGTGGACAAAGACACGAAGCTATGTCCCACTCTGAGGAGAGGGAATATGAGGGAAATCAATATTTCCACAAAGTATTCCTCGAAATGCTGGAAAAACCACAGTAGCCATCATGATCCGGACCTCCCTCAACAACACCTCTCCACTCAAACTCGTAGTTACCGAGTACCAGGGGACACGTTACGGTTTCTCCACTACAAAAATTTTGCTCAAATCCTTTCACCAAAAGAGTTACACCTAAAGTCGGAAGACCTTTCCGCATTTGCTCCATAACCGACAGCTTCTATTAGCTTGCACAACAACACCCGATTCCCAGTTTGCATTCGACACAAAAACATCACTACTATAGCAACGTCTCCCACAACACGTCGGCATTCAAACTCCAATACGCGTACAGCCCGCGCATTAGGATAAAATACACTTCAGCATTCATCCACCCACAGCACTGCCAGCTCACCACACGACGACGACACTACAGTCACTGACTAGTTCTGGACAGCAAGGCTAAGGAGGACAGTGGAGAGTACATGGTATGGGAAGATTCAGGCAAAAGGATATTCAGATTGATACAAAGCACAAGAAAAACGGCGTCAGTGAAGTCTCCCCCTGCTCCAACGGTTTTGCATTCAAAAACTCCATAGCACCCCGGTAGACAGAGCCTAGCTCGTCAGTCTATAGGGATCTATATCATGAATTGATTTTGATTTTACTGCTTCTGAGCGTGTTTGACTATCATGACATGAATACCACTGAACAACCACCCCAACTCCACCTCTAAGCACAACACCGCCTCCACACCACCTAACCATCTCAACAAGCAACTAGCAGTTGTCCTGCATCCAGCAAAGTATGCTAGATCCATTTGCTTTACATCAAGAAACCAGATCTAAAAAGCGATCCCAGATCGATTTGCCTTGTCATTGTGACACCAAACAATCGCACACGATCCCCATCAACACTGTCTGCTGTCCACGCAAACCGAACCGTCTCGCAAACACAAACCCCAAAGGCAACGCCAGAACAGACGTATAAAGAACTGCTTCTTCTTCTTGTCCTGCAATTCACATCCCACAACCTGTGTTCCAGAACCACAACCACAACAGTATCACCAGACGAACTTCCAAACACCCTTACCAAAAACAACCACAATGGACGATTACGACATCCCAATTTTTCTCCTGCTTTTCCTCCTCTCCGAACTCACAACCTGCTATCTCCTCCCCTACCTCCGCACCCAGCTACGGCGCCCCCCAGCACCATCAGCACCACCACACCAACGCCAGCAGCCACACCCGCACCAGCAACCACCCCTGCACCCCCGACTAAACCAGCGGCTGCTCGACCCCATCATCAACCGCCCCAACATCCCCTTCTTGCACAACCTCTGGACCGCAGAAGAGGCATTAGAGATCCGGCTCCTCGCAACCGAGCGACTAGCCGCGTTCAACATCGTGTTCGCGCCGGAGGCGGACATGCCGCTGCTATGGGACGAGGAGCTGTACGGAGACCTTGGAGAAGAGTGGGAGAGGCCTGGGTGGGCATTTGGGTTGCTGGACCCGGCGCTGCTGAGGGGCGGTATGTATCGCCGGCGAGCGGCGTATGCGCCGCGTTATTATCCAGCGTTGGCACGGCAACCCCCGCCTCCGCCTCCGCCGCCCATGCCGGGGGTCGCAAATGATTTAGCGCGGGATAGGGAAATTGGTGAATGGTCACTGCCGTAGTTGTATCCTAGGCAGATGGAGTTGGGGGGGTTGAGGTGGAGTGGAGTGGATCGTGGCTAAAGAAACGGATGGGAAGGGGACAGGCTTCATTGAAAGGGGCTGGTCTGGATGATGCCAATGGACTGCTTAAATTCGAATGTACCGGGTTTTGGGTGTCTTGTTGCTTGCTTTGATGACCACAAATAATGCCCAACTATTCAAGAAAGTCCTGAAGTATTTCGGCTTTGGACTGCAAAGACTTGCGATCTTGGGGTCTTTGTCGATGAACAATGTTCGCTGTTCGAGGAGTGATGGTTCGAGGCGGGTCGGAAAAACGTTGCGTCTGTAGAGACCCGCGTGGACGACGCTGCATGGCTAGCTCCTCCAATCCTTTTCAAAGCCTTTTATCTTCAACAATGGGACCATGTGCTCATAGTCATTCCTCGGCTGAGCGCATAGTCGAGACATTGCTTGTCATATGAGGAACAAAGTCTTTGTTGATAAAAATAGGTGACTGAAGGATCGTAAAGGGTAAGACTATAGCGCCGAAGGGGGTCAAGTTGAGTGCGCAGGCACCATCCATGAGTTATGGGACAATTGTTTTCGTAAATACCGTCCATAGCGCTGTTTTTTTCATGTTCCAATGAAGCAAGTTCGGTCCGGGAATCCGCAGTGGTCAATGATGCTCAGTGTCCTCGGGGCCAGCTGTTTATGCGTACCACGCTGCAGGTAGCCGATGACCGGACATGGCAACGTGGATGGCGGACTCGGTCCATGGCAGGAAGGAGAGGGTCGGAAGGCAGTAGCAAATAGCCGAAGCTGACATGACACCTTCCGTTCTAGGTGCGGGTCTGTTGGAGGCGGTGACTGACGGTGCTGCTGTGTGAGAGAGGAAGCAAACATGGGGAGTCGCACGAAGGACTGAATGGTTGCCTGACGGAGGGGGTAAGTGTAAGTATCTCGAGGGAAAGACAAACCCTTTTCCACCTCTACCACCGGCCAGTTTTGCTTTCCAAACTTTCAACCGCCTTCAGACGCAAGCACAGCAACCATGTGCTGGCCCTTCTCAGAATTGGAGCTCGAAGACGTATCGAGGCGCAGGGGACCGAAGAGGAGCTGGTGGTTCTGGTCGGTAAGTTGGCATCCATTGGCGCCGTCAGCCGCATCGTCGCCAGGTTCTGTCGGCCGGGTGACTCCCTCTTTCCCTCTCTCCCTCGGCACCACCTACTTCCCGCGCCCTTCCACCTGCACAAAGCCCACCTTCCTCCCACCTACTTCATCTCACCCAACACCAACTGCAACTCAACCTCTCTCTCCCCAATGCAGATAGACGACGACTTTCGCAGACGTCACCCCTTCGCCGGCATGCCTCCTCCTCGCCCTAGGAATGACGAGCCGCACATCTACGTCTACGACCATCCCGTTCGCATCGTAGATGACAACAACCCGCCGCCCAGGCGCGAGCCGCGTCTCCACCCAATGCCCTTTGGTCCACCCATGTTCATGCCCGGCGGCTTCATGCGCGGTCCACCATTTGCTTACTTTCCTGGACAGCCTCCCTTCTACGGCCCTCACCCTCGTCCCCGCGGTCCACACGGCATGATGTACCCCGGCTACTACCCGGGCTATTACGATCGTGCTATCAACCACCCCGGCGAGCGTCAGCACGTCTGGCGCGCTCGTACCGAGCGTGAGGTCAGGATAGACAACGCCCGCATAGCTCACATGGAAAACATCTTCGCCCCGAACGCAATGGGACCGTACAACCCTCGTCCTGACCAGATGTTCGACGTCAAAGAGCTTGACGGCTCCCACAATCCTCGCTCATACGCCGACATTGAGGCCACCTGTCAGCCCGGCACCTGGCGCGTTGGCCCCTACGGTAACGCCATGTTTGTCCGCAGACGTCCTTGAAGCAACCTCACTTGAGTACGTTCCTGCATTGACCGTGTCATTCGTCTTACTGATGTTCATAGACTCCTTCATCAAGGCTCTCCACAGGAGTACGAATCCGCTTCAATGAATGCTTTCAAAAACGGTCAGACAAGAAGGTTTGGACACCCACTTAGCGCTTCATCGAGACGACTTTCATGAGACCAAAACTTCGACCTTTCATGCCCAGCTGTTTTCCTTTTCTTGACGACATTTCCGAGCTCTTCTTTTTCTTCCAGCAATTCTATCGACTCGACCCTTCTTCTTCGAGTTTCAACGAGTAAGCGAACAAGCGAGCGACTGATTGGTCAATTATTGAGTTTACTTTACTTTCCACTCCGATGTAGGCTTTCATCAGTTTTGATGAGTGGACGGAACTGCAGTTTCTTTTTCTCTCTTCAGTACCATGGATTTCTGCTTTCAAGCACAGCTGGGCAACCAAAATTGCAAATCGAGTCAGGGTATCACAAATACACAGGTAGCAAATGGAAGCCTGTCTCTCCGATAGCGCGCACGTTGTGTGGTTGCCTAGGTGTTCCCCGCCTGTCGTGCAGTATAAGTTAGAGTCGGTGAGCCACGACGTTGCAAGAGGGAACGCGCCAACGGCAACCAACCCCACCTACCACACTGCCCAATGACGTCGGCCGCAAAACATGCCACTTCCGACGGCAACAGCATCGTCGAGCACGATCTTCCTATTCGTCCTCATCCTCGCCTTCTTCCCCGACATCTTCTTCGGCATCCTCAAGCTACCATTTAAGCCGTTCTTCAACTCGACGCCGCCAGTCCCGACGCTCGCGACGTGCGCCTGCTGCCCGCCGGCACATTGCTACAACAACATCCTCGCAACAGCAAACCCACCAACCCTCCCAACAACACCACCAGCACCGCAACCCGCCACAATGTCCTGGTTCCAGAAGTCGATCGCGCTGCCGCCCAAGTCCAAGGGCGCGTACCTAGTGACGGACCACGTGACGAACGCGCTGCCGGAGCTGCGCGAGTACAAGGTCGGCTTGCTGAACCTGTTCGTGCAGCACACGTCGTGCGCACTCAGCCTGAATGAGAACTGGGACGAGGATGTGCGCGACGATATGTCGGATGCGTTGGATCGGATTGCGCCCGAGGACCGCAAGGGCGATCTGTATCGCCATAGTGCCGAGGGGTTGGATGATATGCCGGTGAGTGTTGGGTGTGGGGTTTCTTTTGCGTCGTCTTCTGCTTAAGTACGCGGTGGGACTGAGGGGGTGAGGGGATGTATGGGACAGGGCGAGAAAGGGAGATTTATTGGGATTGGGTACGGTGGTTTTTTGTTTTTGGTCCAGTGGTGGCTAACAGGCTGCGTTTTTTCTCTTTGCAGGCACACATCAAGTCGGCGCTCGTGGGCGCGTCGGTCACGATTCCCATCTCGAATGGCCGCCTGGCGACTGGCACGTGGCAGGGCATCTGGTACCTGGAGTTCCGGGCCTCGAAGCACTCGCGTAAGGTCGTTGCCACGATCCAGGGCGAGAAGAACTGAGGGCGTTTGCTTGTGGAGGAGCGGTTTTGAGAGGGGAGGTGTGTGTGCTGGATGAGGGTGGTTGCGACATGGTGGCTATGACGTGATGATGCTGGCTAGCTGGCTGTACATGACAGCGCGAGCAAGGCAGCTTGGAATGCCAATGGCATGCGTGCATGATGGGTAATCGATTGGTGCCTACTTCTAGGTAGACAGCGGCGAGGCAGAGAAGTCCGCGAGCTCCGCAAGGACAAAAATACAACTTCAAACATTCGACGCATATGTACACAGCACACTCTCTTTCCAATGCCGCATTTCACACTCTACAACTAGCCCGCCCGTCTACCTCTGCCCGAGCGGCTCGTTGGTGATGCGCTGGCTGAACTCGACCTCGCCCTCCTGGCCGGTGGGCTCGAGGGGGTAAGGCGAGGACGGCTGGGCCTTGAGGTGCTCTTTGTGGTGCTCGTGGGCCTGTCACGCATTGCGAAAATCAGCAAACGCCGCTTCTCGAGACGGGTGTGTGCGGGGATAGCAATTGGCACACTTACAAAGGGGAGGCCGCAGTACGTGCACATGCAGATCTGCGGCTTGTCGACGTTGATGAAGATGCGGGGGTGGCCCAATGGCCCTCCGCCGCCATCGCACGAGACGGTGCGCTCCTTTACCCAGCGGACGGGCTGCTTGTGGATGAGATCGATGGCGGCATAAGGGCGGGGCTGGCCCGTCGTCAGCCATTGCGTTTCAATGCCAAACCCCCCAACAACAACAACAAGCACAACGTACCTGGTCCTCCATGATGGTCTGCTCGAAGCGCGGGCCGACCATGGCGCGCTCGCGCGGCTGCTGGCTCCTCGACCAGATGCCCTGGCGGTTGGGGGCCTGGGCGGTGCGCAGGGCCTCGCCCTTCTCGACGCTCTCGACCAGGACCTGGTCGAAGGAGCCCTCGGAGCTGGTGGGCACGGCGTTGGTGGCCGAGACGTTGGGCGCGGGGGCCTTGGGCGCGGGGTTGTTGGCCGGGATGGCGTCGACCGACGGCGTGGGCGTGCTGCTGCTGCTCTTGTTGGCGACGGTGCGCACGAAAGCGGCGCTGCTGCGCTGGACCGGCTGCAGGCTGCTGCGGAGGCGCGCGGGCGCGAGGCGGAACATTGTCGTGGTCGTGAGCGGGAGGTGTGTGTGGGAGGAGGTTGTTGGCTGCTGGTCCCGGACGGCCGTCGTCGTGCTGGTTGCTGCCGTGATGGTGATCTTGAGGTCGGTGGTTGGTTGCTTAAGAGTTGGCTCGTGCGGCCCGCGACGTTTTGATGTCCAAAGTTCCCAAGTCTGTCGCAACCATTATCAAGTACATAATCACAGAGTGAAGAGCTACCATCACTTGAATAACAACATCACTCCAATCCCTCACTAACCAAACAGCATCACACATACCCCTACCACCCACCATGGCACCCCCAGACTCTGGGAAAACGGCGTCCTCACGCCTCCTCACCATGAAGGTACGAGCAAGCTCTCCATTCCCACTCCACTACCTCACCGCTAACCCCAACCCCACAGTTCATGCAACGCGCCGCAGCCAAGCCGTCCAACAAGCCCAGCAGCGCCCACAACAGCGAGCCCAGCACGCCCACCGGCCCGCCCTCCAAGCGCCAACGCCTCTCGCAACAAGGCCAAGAGTCAGCCTCGACGCTCAGCGCCGTGCAAGCCGCCCTCGCCGCCGAAGAAGCCAAGCGCAACGCCGCGCTCGACCGCGCCGCCGCCGAGGCAGGCGAGACGCGCTGGGTGCTCTCGTTCAGCGCGCCCGAGGCCGATGCGCCCCGCAACGCGCTGCGCGTCGTGAGCGCGGGGTATGGCGAGCTGGACGGGGGCGCGTATAACGACGAGGACGGCGACGGCGACAGGGACATGGACGACGAGAGCGACGAGGACGAGGCCGCCGCACCGCTCGTCACGGGCCGCATGTCGTTTGGGCGGAAGCCGGAGCCAGAGAAGAAGGCCGAGAACGGGGAGGCGAGCTCCTCGGACGAGAGCGAGGACTCAGAGCGCGAGGACGACGAGGACCCCGCTGCGCGCGAACAGCGCAGGGCCGAGGTGCGCGCGAAGCGCGATAAGAAGCGGCAGGCGGAGAAGGCGCGGCTGGCGCAAGCGGCGCGTCAGCGTGCTGGAAAGGTCGTCAAGCTCAATCAGCTGTCGAGTATTTCGAATTCTGGTGGCGGTGGCAGCCCGCGTGGCAGTGGGCCAGACTTGTCTAAGACAGAGTGCCATTCGTGTGGGAAGAAGGGGCATTTGATGAGGGATTGTCCGGGAAGGAAGAGAGGGCGGGCGAGTCTGGGTTGAGCTATGAACTCCGTTTATGCGGCGCTTTGGGCTGGGACTTGAGACTTGGGATTGCTGAGTGCTAGAATTGGGATTGGGGCAGCAGTGGTGCGCGAGCGTTGGTCATGATGTTGTTTGCGCAGAGGGAGCTTGCAGGTGCAGCGTTTGAGCTATGCCGCGCCCTGACAGAAGAGGCTGCTTGTTTGCATATGCAGGTGGGTAGGCTTGCCCATCATGCTATCTGCATCTATGGCGCTGCGAGGACGGCAGCAGGACATGCCAGGGCATAGGTAGGGAAGCACAGATCAGACTACGGGATCGTCTGCTAGCGGACTAGATGACGCTATTGCACGCAGCCAGACAGACAGAGAATAGCGCTATATACACACACGAAGAGCTAGACGGCGCTCTCTCCAGGAGTACCAGTTTAAGGCTCCGTCAGAACAAAAAATAAACTGCAACAGAACCAAACAATCAATAGACATACACAATAAAGCAACAGTTCGGCGAACAAACGTGCACGTGTCTCGGCGTACAGACCACTGCGCCGCACATAAAAGTCACCGATTTCAGTAGCCGACAAAGTCTCCGAGTGAGTTTGAGATCGGAGACCGGAGCTCAGAGTTGCGGATATGTGCGACTAAGTCTCCGAGTGCGTTCGTTGTTGGCTTGTTGTGTGGCGCAGTGTGTGTTGTGGGGAGAGGTGCGGGAGGATGGTGTCTGACAGTGAGGGAGGGCTGCTTGATTGAGCTACCACTACACTGTGTGTTGCGTTGGTGGAGTGAGCTTTGTTGTTTTGGAGAAAATGGGAGATGATGATTGTATAGCGTCTAAACAGCAAGTCATAGATACAACGTAGGTGTAACACCATTCGCTTTACCTACTCAGAGTACTCAGAGTAAAGGGATTCCAACTGACAGAAAACAGGGAAAGAAGAAAAGAGCCACTGCCTATGCTCCGACACTCCCTCACTGGTCAAAAGCGCCAAGACAGAGCGCAACAACACCTAAAACCTACAGAGCATGCCTTTCCAATCCCATATCATCCATCGGCTACCAAAGCGTCCAGCACGACACACGTAGCCCAGAACGATCCTAGCTTCTCAATCCCTGCGCACCTAGGCGCCAACCCCGTCAGCAGCTCGCTCGCCCTCGCCCTCGGCACTAACATCCTCAACGATCAAGGGCCCATGCCTGCGCTTCGACGGCGGCTTATGCCAGAGCTGTGTGTACTTGATGCCGTAGTCATCGTACAGCGGGTACGATGCCTCGCGGGTATCGTCGGACACGGCCTTGCCGTTGACCACGGTGGGCGATTCCTGCTTGCTGCGGCGCCGGAGCGCAGACGGGTCGTTTTCATGTTTTTCCGATCCTTCTTCAGTCGATTTTATTTCCTTCGGGGCTGCATGCTGGTACTGCGAAACTACGTAGTCGCTCAGCCAGGTCATCCAGTTGTCGTGCTTAGCGGCGGTCGCGTTGGGGGGGAGGTGAGGCGTCTCCAGGGCGCCGCGGCGCTGGAGCCAAAAGTCGTCGTCGTCGTCGTCGTATTCTTCCTCTTCTTCTTCTTCCTCTTCTTCTTCCTCTTCTTCTTCCTCTTCTTCTTTGTTTTTCTCGGCCTCTTTGTTGATCTTCTCTGCTACCCTTTTGCCACCGTCGGCGACTACGAGATTGATGTAAGTGTCTAAAAAGGCAGCCCCGCCTCCCCGCTTAGCCAAGGGCGCAAACAGGAACGGAGTGTCCTCTGTCTCCTCGGCGGGGACGACAGGCCCGCGCTGCAGAGCTGGCTTGCTCGGCTCTGTCTGCACCTTGTACATAGGCCGGGCGTCCGACTCGTCCGTCTGGAAGTTGCTGGCCGGGGCCTTGATCACCATGTTGTCGAGGAGCTTGGCGATTGGGGCATCTTCCTCTTTGGGGGTATCTGTGGGCTCTTAATCGCGGCAGGCTGGTTAGCAGAGCGATGAGGTGCAGCTGTGGGGGACTTGGTGCGTACTTGCGGAGCGTTCTGTCTTGCCGTTGACATTGATAGGGGCGGCGAGGGCAGCCGTGGCGCAAGCGGCCACGATAACAGAGACGACCTTCATTTTGTTCGTGATTAAGTGATGGTAGATGTGAGTGTTGGGGGACGGTGAGACCAGACAGGTCTCGCGGGATGCTGCACTATTTATCCTCCCGGCGATAGTTCGTACAGCATGGTATAAACACGGTATATCAGACAAAAGAGAATCAGCTGGCACATGGCCCACGGTTGAAGCCGTATAATTTTATGGGAGACAAGTCCAGCCCACGGTTATGAAAATGCTATGATGTCAGAAGCTCTCAACTACGCCAAGATGCCACGAACGCAGAAGCAAGACAAGTGGATAGAACCAAAATAATTGTGACTTCCATGGTCGAGACTGAAGAATAGAAGAAAAAGCTAGATCCGCCTCTGAAGCGGGGTTACCTACATACACGGTTTACCGGTCAGTGTTGAAACTGTAAATGTCCTACTCTATGATATGAGTGGAAGCGATGTATGGACCGCCCGCAAAACGCCTTTCTACCCAACCCGGTATGTTAAACGCCGAAACCGCTGACTGGAGGGATTTTTGTAATCATGCGCGCAATGCGCACACGTGTGAGGCTTAGCGCCTGTTGCCAAAGACGAGGTTCAGGAACTCCTCCCGAGTCTTCGCCGTCGATCTCATGCGCCCAAGCATGCAGCTGGTGGTAGTGGTAGAGGTGGTCTTTCCCACGCCGCGCATGACCATGCACAGGTGGCTGGATTCCATGACGACGGCAACGCCCTGCGGCTGGAGTACCTCGGACAAAGCGAGCGCGACTTGCTTGGTCAGGCGCTCCTGGACCTGCAGTCTACGCGCAAACATTTCGGCGATGCGCGCGAGCTTGGAGAGCCCAAGGACGCGGCGGTTGGGGATGTAGCCAATGTGCATCTGAATCGCAAAGTTAGCTAAGAAACAACACTGGCTTGGACGTCACAGTACCTTGCCCATGAATGGGACCAAGTGGTGCTCGCAGAGGGAAAAGACCTCAATGTCCTTGACAATGACGAGCTCATCGTGGTCTTCGTGAAACACAGCCCTGTTGACAATATCGAACAGATTCTCCTCGTATCCCTTTGTGAAGAACAACATGGCCTTGGCATAACGCTCCGGGGTTTCGAGGAGGCCTTCGCGGTTGGGGTCTTCACCGAGACATTCCAGGATGGTCTTCACGGCGCCGGAGAGCTTCGCAAGACGCTCCTCCTTCTCCTCCTCTGTAGCTTCCTTGCGCTCGCGCGTTCCGAGACCTATATGCTACTGTCAGCACCTGCAATGCCACCGGGTATTCGGACATATGGAGCTTGCTTACTAGGCCAGCTGAGCCCGTCGAAGTCGATGGTCGGATGCTGCGTGAAGGGACTCTGAGGGCGGCTCGTGGCCAGCGGAGTGGGAGGGCCAGCCTCGTCCCGCGGGTCGCGCGCATGCTCTTCCTCAAGGCCGTTGAGAGGCGCTTTGCCACGGTGAATGGTGGGCTTGGAATAGGTGCCGTTGGGGTGGCGCAAGTCAATAGGCTGCCTGTCAGTGCTGGAGGACTGGATAGAGGAGAAGAGGTTCTCGCGCTCCTTGCGGTCCCTGGCCTCGGTGTAGCCTTGGGCGCCGTTGTTGGCGGAGCTAAGATGCGATGGTATGGCGGATATGGGCTTGGGGTGGTCAGAGTCCATGGTGGAGGGAGCTGTGAGCTGTAGCTGATGCGTGCGGGATGGAAAGCAAGCTCGGACGGATTTCAGTACGGGTTACGAAGGACGCGGAGAGAAGACCATTGTCTCTAGCGATATAACATGAGTAGTGAAAAGTAGGGCGCTATGACACATATCGGGGAGATTTTGCCAGTGACGCCTTGCGACAGGGAACATGTTAAGGCCACACGGCTGAGATCCCTGCAGCGTCAGCCCGCGCTCGGAGGGTCGCGCGCACGTGACCAGTCTCCGCTTCAGTGCGACGGGGAACCCGCTCTGCGTCCTCCTGCCATCGTCAGCCAGCCAGACACCACCACCCTCCGTTACTTCGACGACGCCGGTATGTATGTCCCTGGCTTGCCGCCGTCGACCTCTGCTACCGCCTGCGCGCGCAAGGCCCCCGCCCCGATTGATCGTGCGCTACTCGGTACTCCGCTCCACCCTCGCCGATCCGGCCTCCCTCTCACGCCCGCAACATATACTTGACCTTGCTACGTGTCGCGTTGGATGGGCAACAGTTCAGTCTTGTCTTAGAGGCCCTATGTGGACGTGTCATTCGCTGCGGCGTGTGCGCGGAGGGGATGCCCACGGAACGGAGCTTCCGGTGTTGGTTTCGTAAAGCAGAACTTCCAGGTCGATGTTGGCATGCTGCTTTTTTGGCCGTCCCCGTTGCCTGGCTCGCTGGCAGGGCCTGGCCGAGTGATGGTGTTCCCGGAGTGTTTGTCGTGTCCGCCCTCCGTCCGGGGGTCATGATATCAAGCGGGAGTGATGGGATATTTGGCCTTATCCACCAAAGCAGCACCTCATGGGAAGCACGAGGAACCGTCGTTCAGTTGTTGCACACGGCATACATACGGTCACGGATCACAGCATTTTCAGAAAGCAGGTCGCGTCTACTGACCTGACCGAGTCGAGCCTCCTGAGGTCTTTTACATTTCGTGTGAAGGCCACAGGTGTCCTGACGCCGGGCTCGCACTCGCATTTAGCCGCTTCAGCGGAGACATGGCGGTTAGGCGGACGGAGATTGAGCGAACAAAAGGCTGCCAAATCTGATGCATTCGCCGCTTACCAACCACCAACCGCCCCCTCTCTCTCAGAAGCCCGAGGGCAGGAATGGGGGACATTTGGAACTCCAAGCAACAAGTTACAACGCTCAAAACCGGCCGTCCCGCTCGAAGGCACGACAAGCGAACTCGAGGGCCAGCCAGCCTCTGCACCAGGGATGGGCTCGATGATGCAGCTCGCGGCGTGCCTTGGCTGTGCGTGTTTTTGTAGATAGCTTGGCCCGTGAGACGTGTGCACTGCGAGGGAGAGGAGATCGGACTAGGCGGGGGGCGGCGAAAAACCAAAGAGGGAGAGCAAGGAAAAACGACAGGCGAAAAGACTCGAGTCGAGTGGCGGCGCGCTGGGGTTGTCACTGCATGTCAGTCGCCGCCGCTTAGCTCGACCTAGCCGGCTTCGGGACGGGAGAGCCTCAGTGCATTTCGCGCGTGCGCTCTCCACTCCTCCCAGCTTGCATCATTGACACGCGCAGGTCCCCGGCTCGTCCACCCAGGCCAACACTGTCGCTGGTCGCGAGGCTTTCCCGTTTTCTGCCTGCATCTCCTTCTGCTCGTCGGGGGTAAGTGAAGAGGATCAGTGGATGCCTTTCTTCCTTTCGCAGCTCGCGTAGCGTGCCGCCGACACACCTGCACCCTGCTTGCGTGCCCACATGTCTTCTTGCCTGTCTCTATGGCTGGGTCAACGCCGTTGATAGACCAGTGGCGACCCGAGGAATCTTCAGCTAGGATTAGAGACCGGCCAGCGGGTGACGGTAGTCTGTCGCGCGAGCGGGGACGTTCGCCAGCTTCGGCGCGACGTGGACGAGGCCACGAGAGGAACGTCCCAGGCCGTCAATCACCCTCTGACGACACGCACCCGCCCTCACATCCACCACCAGTCCGGTCGCGCGATAGATCCCGGAGCAGGCCGCGCCGCAGGAGCCGCGACAGACGCTCGCCGTCGCCAAGAGATCCCAAGGACGACCTTTACCGACCCTCCAGGAACAGAGCGCCGGGTGGAGAAAGACCTGCGCGACCTCACCGGCACCGTCACGACGACCCTCCATCAACCAAACGTCGTCGAACCCAAACCCCATCGCCCTCCAGAGAGCTCGCCAAGCGGACGAAGCGCCGCAGGAGCCCGAGCGTCGAAGCCTCGCCTTCGCGTTCCCGACCTGCCGACAGGCACACGGACAGAGCATACTCTCCACGTCCCAACCGTAGCGATCGCACCGCTGCACGCCGCTCCTCGCCCGACACCTACATTCCCTCGTCCGCCCGCCGCCGCTCCAGGTCGGTCGACTCGCGTTACAGACCCGCTCCCACGCCTTCCCGGCACCGCAAACGCTCGCACACGCCCGAGCGAAGGGAGAGGCCCAGACGCGCGGATTCACCCCGCCGCTCACCCACCAGACGCCACACTCATCGCCGGCGCACCCCGTCGCTTGAGGGCAGGAGGAGAGACTACAGAGAGCCTGCTGAGCCGGCACCGAGAAGGGACAGAGACGTTGACGCGCGCGCACCCCGCCGAGCCAACAGGTCGCCGACCCCGCGTTCGAGACGATCGCTGTCAAGGCGTCGCTCTCCACCCCCGAGACAAGAAAAAAAGGACGAGCCATCCCGCTCTACCCCTCGCCGACCCCGGTCTCGGTCTCCTCCGGCTTTTACCACAAGGATCAAGCACAGGACCGACTCACGCACTGCTCCCGATCGTCAAAGGCCACCTCGCGATCATAAGCCTCATTCTAGGCCCAGCACACCGGAACGCAGAGGCGATTACGATTCGGATACCGCAAGGTCGAAAGACGGGGAGGACAATATGCGCGACTCATACTCTAACCAAGGGCGGCCACCCCGCCCTCCAGTAGATACTCGCAGCTACTCGCACACTCCACCTTATACCACCACTCCCCACCACGCCTCTCCGCAATCTCAATCACCTTACCACAGCGGGAGAGGAGGATGGGGAAGTCAACCTTATTATGGCAGCCATCATGGGTAAGTTCGATATTCGCCAAAATATTTTTTCCGGGTCGAAAAGACAAAGCGAAAAGCTGACATACGTGCGTCAGATCACCACCGCACGGATACTCACCTAACCAATCGCCATACCCTCCAAACTACCCCCCGTCCCAAGCATCCTACTACAATCAACCACAACAATATGGCGGACCGCAAAACTACCAAGCTCCACCGCCTTCTTACCGGGGGGGACATGGCGGATACCGCGGTGCTTCCTACAATTCCTCCGACAGGCGTTATCCGCCAGCTAATAGCTATCCAACTCCACCCGCTGCAAGGGGACGCGGTCATTACAGCAATCTTTCTTGGACTCCAGCGACGGGGAGCCGCGGCGGCCGCGCGCCTATTGACAAACACCGCAGTCTCATTGCCCCCGCTGCACAGAATGCTGTCGCAAACCAGGCAGTCAGCCAGGTTTCTCAAACGACATCCGGGCCACCGTCTTCGGTGGACGAGGAAGACAACCCTTTCCGGCCTTCAAAAGATTTGAGAGTTGAGGACCAGGGCTCGAAAGACAAGGAAAAAGAGAAAAACATGCCACCTCCAACCAGCAAGGCAGAAGGTGCTCAGGCTCAGACAGGACCCAAGATAAGCTTTGCTCTCAAGACCAAATCAGGGCCTCCTGCATCTGCAGCACCAAAGGTGGAGCTTACTGCCAAACCGTCTGTTCTTGAAAGTGCGCCTGCGAAAAAGTCCAGTGCTTTGCCTCCTTCGTCTTCGGCTTCCAGCTCAAAACCTCGACCGGATCCTCGACCGGATCCTCGACCTGATTCCCGGCCTGATCCTCGTCCTGATCCTCGTCCCGATCCTCGAAATGACAGACGTTATGATCCGCCATATGACCGCAGGTCCGATTACAGGTCTGACGATCGTAGATCAGACTACAGGTACGATGATAGGAGATCAGATTACAGATACTCGGACCGTGATGAGAGAAGAATGGATTACAGGAGCCGGGATGATAGATTGCCGGATTACAGGGCAGATGACAGAAGAGGCGATTACAGGCGCGGTGATGACAGAGATAGAAGGCCTGATTACGACGATCGAAAGTCTGATTCCGGGGCATCTGCGTTCAGGCCACCAGACTTTAGAGTCTCAGACTACAGGCCTACTGACGCCAGGTCGGCACGTCGTCCAGAATCTCGCCCGATTGAAAAGCGTCTAGAAAAGAGGATCATGAAGCGGCCTAAGCCTAAGCCAGTCTTGGAGCCGGATTTTGCGGCCTCAGACTCTGTTTATTACCGCAAGCCTGGTAACGAATCAGTTGTGGGGTCTGGTACGTACGGAAAGGTCTTCAAGGCAATCCACGTGTACACCAAGGACAAGGTTGCCCTCAAGAAGATTAGGATGGAGGGCGAACGCGATGGAGTAAGTACTTGTAAAGTCGGCATCTATCCCAGCTGCTAATTTTCGAAGTTTCCGGTTACAGCCATTCGAGAGATCAAACTTCTTCAATCCCTCAACCATGACAATATTGTCAAGTTGCAAGAGGTCATGGTTGAGAAGAACGACTGCTTCATGGTCTTTGAATACCTATCCCACGATTTAACGGGTTTGCTCAACCACCCCACATTCAAGCTCGACCACTCTCAGAAGAAGGACCTCGCCAAACAACTTTTCGAGGGACTTGACTACCTCCATCGACGCGGTGTGCTCCACCGAGACATCAAGGCCGCCAACATCCTGGTCAGCAACACTGGGCTCCTGAAGCTCGCTGATTTTGGTCTCGCCCGGTTTTATGCCAAACGCAAAAAGCTCGACTACACGAACCGCGTCATCACAATCTGGTACCGCTCGCCCGAACTGTTGCTCGGCGAGACGCAATACGGCCCTGCGGTCGACATATGGTCAGCTGCTTGCGTGCTAGTTGAAATCTTCACGAAACACGCCATCTTCCCCGGTGACGGTGGAGAGATTAACCAGCTCGACAAGATTTACAACGTGCTGGGGACGCCGACACGGGCCGAGTGGCCGGGGATAGTGGAAATGCAGTGGTTCGAGCTTCTGCGGCCGACCGAGCGCAAGGCTAGCACGTTTGCGGAAAAGTACAAGGAGAGAGTGACGCCGGCGGCGTTTGATCTGCTGTCGGCCATGTTCCTGTACGATCCGGCAGCGCGGCCCAGCGCGTCGGACATTCTAGAGCACCCGTACTTTACGGCGGAGGAACCGTTACCGCGGCGCGCGCTCGAGTTGGAGCAGCTACAGGGCGATTGGCATGAGTTTGAGAGCAAGGCGCTGCGCAAGGAGCGCGAGAGGCAGGATAAGGAGGCGCGGCGGCAAGCGCGTGAGGATGCGGCGCGCCGCGAGGGCGAGAAGAGGCGCGCGGAGGGATCGGCGGCGGAGCCGGAGCGCGATGCCAAGAGGCAGAAGGGCGGCGGTGGTGTTGATAGTGCTGGGGGGATTGAGAGCGGCGGTGGTGCGGGGGGCGCCAGCACGGGCGGCACCAGCGGTGGCGAACCCATGGCCTTGGAGTAGGGGTGGTCTGTGGTGGTGACGATGGTATGGTGGTGTGAGTAGGATCGACAGCGCGAAGGAAGAAGAGAGGGGGAGGGATGGTGGGGGAGATAGTTGGGCCATGGGGAATGGGGACGGGGTGGAGGAGATGTGGTCCGGACGGACTGGACGGACTTGATGGACTGGACTGGATTGATGATTTGATTTCCTGCGACTTAACACATTTTCCTGTTCCATCTTTTTGAACGCCGCGCGCTGTGGCGGCGGCAGGGCGCGTTTCCGATCATCGTCATCGTCATCTGCTTGCAACAAAAGCGGCAGCAACATCATCATGGGCATGGGCATGGGCATTACTATCGCCATCATCGTCATCACCACCGTCGTCATCACGCAGCGCGGAGAGACGCACTTCCGGTACAGACATGGGCAACGACCAGGAGGACCTGCGACAGCGAGTGCCGCGGGCCGCGTGGTGGGCGTGGGCGCCTAAGTCGACGACCTTATCCATACGTACTCGTACATGGGTATATCTTGATACTCGGCACATACGCCAATGGCAGCGGGTGCGGCGGCGGCGACGGCGGTTGCGGCAGACCTAGAGTTAGGTACTGTACCTATGTTTAGGCGGCTGCACTCGGTGGGTGGCTAGGTGTTTGAGCCTGAGTCCGAGTCCGAGGCCTGCCGTGCTGCCGTTTAGGACGTTAGGCCCGCCGGCTCTCGGGCGCGGCCTACCGAGATTGGAAGGCTGGTGCTGGATTGGGCGGGCGGCTGGCCGGCTGGCTGGTCGGCGCGGGTTGGGTTGCTTCCGTCCGTGGGTTTTGTTGTCTGCGATGGGAGGAGGTGTCTGTGGGTGTGGTAGTTGTGGTTGTGAGGTGTGGGATAAGAGGAGGGCGGTGGTTGGGTTTGTATATAGGTGCGGTTTATATCTGTATTATTGTTTGTTCTATCGTTCTCATACCTACAATTATCCACGTCTTCTCCCAGCTTCTCTTACTTCCTCGTTCACTCGCGCGCGCGCGCATTGTAACGTACGTATACGCACACACATACACATAAACAGCATCCTCTACTCCTACGGGCGTACGTAGATCAACACAACCCATTCATAAACCTACCTATTTTTTTTTTTTTTTCTGCACCATCACACCACCTACACGCCAGCCGCGTCTGCTCACATAACATATGCATACATAACTACGCACCTACACGGAGCACAGCACGCCCACCCTCCACATGGAAGCAAGCGGAGATACGACGCATCTCCAATCTTCCACGGACGGAAGCCAGGCGGCCGGGGTAAGGGATCCCTGCCACGGCACCTGGCTGGCGCACGCGCGTACCTGCATGCATGCCGCGTGGGCGGCCGGACGGCTGGTTGCCCGAAACGGTTTCGTCCTGCCTTGAGTGGTCTGGCCTTACGTATGTAGCAGCAAGTAGCCGCGCTTGCCTGCTTTGTCCAAGACAAGACGAGACAAGAGACAGATGCCTCGGCTGCCAGAGCTCGTTTGCTGCGACGCCGTGCTAGGCCTGCTGGGTTGGTTCGCGGCGGGGTGTTTCAGGTAGGGAGGCTAGGTCGTAGCGCGATGTGCGGGTAGGGATGTAATGATAGAGTAGGTACTCTAGGGGTGGGGGTGTTTGCGTGCTTTGGTAGGTACTCTAGGCGGTTGACGTTAGGTAGAGTACCTGTGCTGCCAGATACGATACGTATGTAGTAGGCAGATGGTTTGGTAGGGCGATGTCATTTCCCGTCGATCCGTTGGTCGTGCTTAAACCTTTCTGCTGTACAGTATAGCCGCTCTAGGTAGAGTGCGCGCGCAAGCACGCAGCCGGCGCCGCGCCGGCGCAGGGCGGACTCGTGCCCGTCGTCCACTCGCTCTGTCCTCGAGACCAAGATTGCGACTGATGAGAGGGAGAGAGAGAGAGCGTGTGTGTCGACGAGCAAACGCCGTCCGCGCACCCGGTCTGGCCCGAATTGGATGCCTGGTCTGGCCCACCGCACGCACGCAAGTGCCTACTGCCTGCCTACCTACGTATTTAGTCCGTCCTTCTTCCCAGCCACCACGTTGACCGGCCCAGCACTGGCAATAATGGGCATGCAAGCGGGACCTACGCTCGTAGGGCGGCGGATTGCGGGAGTGGCTGCGCGCCTTGCGCTCGCGCAGACGGGCGTTCTACTCGTAGTGCCGACGATGGTTGGCTGGGAGGGCGCCAGCGCAGTCAGGGGGCGCACTTGGAGGGGCGGAGGGGCTGGTCGGGGTCCGCTGAAGGAATGTTTTTTTTTTTTTTTCTTCTTCGTTCTTCTTCTTCTCTGGGCCTGGCTGCCTAGTCGTTACATGCTACATACGTAGTAGGCGGGCGGGGCTAGCATGGTTGCGCGGGGTATGGAAATAGATTTGTTTGCCTTGTTTGGGGAGGGACTGGCCTGCTGCCTGCCTGGGCTGCTACCTACTAAGTGCCTGTGTGCCTGTGCCAGCGCGTGTCTGCCAGTCCTTGCGGCGGCCTTGACGTCCGCTGCGGTGCGGTGCGGTGCGGTGCGTTGCGGCGCGGCGCGGCGCCGTCGGTCGGCCGAATGCGAGCGAGCGGGAGAAGGATGGATGGAAGGATCGTGGAAGGTTGTTGGATTCGGACTAGGTTTGCGAGGGAAGGATGCGTGCATGCGTACATGCAGGCACGCGCAACTCACTGGCCATGCCAACACGATCATGTAGGCAGTCAGAGGTGCGATAGGATGGGAGAATGCGATATATCAGATGGGGCAGGGCGATAGTATTATTATTATCGTGTCAGCTGGACGGGCTGGCACACGCGGTTCCTGGCTTATTGGCAGGGGTGTGTTTGGGGCCAAGATGGCGGAGGGGAGTTTGGGGAAGGTGGATGGCACGATGAGTGGTGGTGGGCATTGCCAGGTTTTTCGATCGAGTGATGAGTGCGTGTGCTGGTGTTGGAGGGATCGATTGGATTTGATGAGGTGGGTTGGTGGGTTTAGTCTCGAGTTTGCTGCTGCTGCAAGCGCCGAGGCGCCGCCGCTAGCTACTACCCACTGCGCACGGTGTTTGGTGATTATCGTCGCTGACGATGGGGGCGAGACAGCAGGGTACCTGGATAGGGGTGTTGGAGTAGGAGTGAAGGATGGATGGATGGAAGGGAAGGGTGATTGGGTCCCTACTGCGTACTCGGTACTCCTACCCTACAGGGGTTTGAGGGAAAAGAGTATCCGGATGAAGAGGAAGAGAGATGGGTAGGGACGGTCTGGGGAAGGGTCGGAAAAGGGTTTCGTCAAGAGGGCAGATCGCGATTGATGGCAGTAAAGAAGATAGATGATGGAAGGTGATGGCACGGGCGCACAATGCAAGCCAGGGTCTTTCCGGAAGCAGAGAGGATAGAGAGATGATGTCGACAATCTCGCATGCAATCAGCGTAATCGGGCGCATGAGACGGATGATTGCGATACGCCGTGGTGGTTGATGCACAGGCACGAGCTGCACAGCCTCGTCACGGCCTCCGGCACCCCGGTGCTGATCATGCCCGGCGACTCTTTCTTTTTTTCATGAGGCGTGCGGAGAGGCCAATTTCCGCTCGTCCACTCATCACAAACCCCAACGCTGCACGACTCGACATGCACCCATGACAGCTGCAAGTGTAACCAACCACCACCAAAGAACAAAGCAATGGATGGAAACATCAAGCAAAGAATATGTGTGCGGCGCTCCGCCGGCGTTCCAACAGCCAGTGCGGCGGCGTCGGCAGCGGGCCATGGTGCGACCGTCGCTGGGAAAACGCACAGGGTCCACCGCAGCTCAAGCCTCTCATCCTCCTCCCCCATCACCCATGTCTCTCGTCTCTCGTCTCTCTCTCCCTCAGCTCGCGTAAGAAGGAGATCAGACGGAGCGCGTGCCTCAGACAGACTGCGCATCGTAGCGATAGCGTCATGTGTCAGCCGACATGCGGGCTGACAACGATCAAACGGCTCCTCTGGCGCAGGGGCGGGCTGCACTAGAACGCTTATGCCGCTCACCGCTGCACATCCCCTCCGCACTCCCCTTCTCGCCTGCGCCTGCCCCTCGTCCGTCGGATTGATTGACTTGGCAGCCGTCTGGTGTACTTGAAACCCTCCATGGCCGCACGGGCTGCCGTCAGTTCATCCCAATATAACCGTCTCCCGGCCACCCATCCCTGGTGCCCGCTTCTTCACCCAAGCCCGGGGACGCCTGTCTTGCCACGAACAAAGCCCGCCTTTATCAACCAGAGCCCCGCCTTGAGTCGGACGAGCCAAAATTCTTCCCCCCCCATTCAAGAAAAAAAATATATTCCCCCTTCCCTTCCTAGGACCCTGACTGCGAGCGGTCGTCCCTGAATCTCCCCGGAAAATGGAGGACGTGCAGCTCCAAATGCAACAGCCCTGGCTGCTGGAAAAGACCTACCACCGCCCCCAGCACTCCGACTCCGCCGCTACTACTCCCGACCTCGATGACTCGGACAGGATTCGCTTACAGCCTTCATCACCGTCCGCCCTCCCTGACTTGGATTCTTCAGAAGTCATGCTCCAAGACCGCTACCTCTCCTCCGAGGAGGATCTCTCGCCCACCGACGCCGAGTCAGGCGACAACTTCGACGACATCGAGGACGAGGAGCCTGTCATCATGGACGCCTCTGCCGTTCCCACCACACCAATTGCCGCATCGGCAGGCCCGAAGCCCTGCAACCTTGCCACTGCCGTCTCATACGTCTCTGCTGGCCGCGCCAAGGTCGTTGACGTGGCCGAGCTGGCCACCATACGGGAGCGGACATACAGTGTGCCTGCCGTCGCCAATGCCGTCCCCATCCTTCGTTCTCCAGTCCCTCGCATGTCGAGGCTATCATTCAGCGAGCACAGGCAGCCGGTGTCTGCCGACAGGGCCTCGTTCCTGCACACTCAGAACTCGCCCAAGTTGATGACCATTGAGAGGAATAGGCGCAAGTCATCGGCGCCCAGCGCCCTGCGCCCGCCTCTCACGAGATCTCCGCTCTCCTACGATGCTGCTTCGGCGCCGCCTATTCCCTTGACGCCCTCGACGGGCTCTCTGCGCTCCCAGGTCAGGATCAACAGGCACTACAGCATGGCCACCCCGCCCTCTCACATGCTCGACAACAACCGCCCGAAGCTGCAGAGGTCCACGACCGATTTCCGCAGCCAATTGACGCCTACGCCCGAGCTCTCTCCCTCCCGCTCTCCCTCGCCGGCCGTGACCGAGTCTGAGCTCGAGGTGCTCACCCCTCCCTCGCCCATTGCCGAGACCACTGCGCGTCCCTCTTCCGCGCGCTCCTCATACTCGCAAATCTCGCGTTCGAAACGCGCCTCGACCATCCACGCCAGGCAACGCTCAGGATCCATGCAGCTCCCGCGCTCCAACCTTTCGTCGTCGCCAACGGCTCCGCCAATGCCTCTGGGCGCGCCTGCTTTCCTCAACTCGGATCCCTTCGCCAAGAAGGAATCGCCCAAGAAGGAAGAGGACAGCAGCAAGCCGGCGCACAGGCGCCTGCGGAGCATCTCGAGGACGCTGTCGCTCGCCAAGATCGCCGTTCTGCCGCAGGGCAAGCGTGGCAACAAGAACAAGAGCAAGAGCATCATCGGCAAGGATAGCTTTGACATCCTCTCGCCTATCTCGCCTATGACGAACCCGGCCGGCGTGTCTGCGCCCAGCCCCATGATGCCGCCCACGCCCATGACGCCCGGCTCGCCTTCGACCCCCGCCTCGTCCACCATGTACAGCCCGCGCTCGAGCTCGCGCATGAGCGAGTCATCGCGCTCGGGAAGCATTGGCGAGTCCTACTACCCGAGGCCCAGCACGGCGAACCGCATCAAGATGGAGGCGCGCGGCGCCGCCGAGCGGGCGCCCGTGTTCGAGCTGCCGCCGTTCCCCGACGATTCCGAGTACCAGTACCCTCCGCGTCGGAGGCTGACCAAGAGGAGGAGCATGCTCGGCGTGGCATAAGGGCGACCAAACCCACACGACGAGACGATCACCGCGCCTTCGGAGCGCCAATCAGTTACATTCTTGCGGTGGTCTTGTACAGCACCCCGCAATTCATCACCTTCGACCCACAATTTCCACCTAGCAGCACGGTTCCTGCAATTCCGCACATGCTACCAACGACCGTTTCAACATCTTCTCCTACCAGCATAGCGTTGCCATCATCATTATCATCAGCATCATTATCATACCAGCGTGTTTATCGGCAAGCGCAACTCTCCTCAATCTTCTCCTCATCTCTTCTCGATCTGAGATCTCCGCCACAACGCCCTTGACCTCTACATTCATACCCGCGCCGCCGCCACCTTTCCAACTTTCCGTCCTATCGCGTAGAACGAGATACCACCAACAGTCGTTTCTTTGAGCATCTTTCCGATTTCCTCTGTGCATAAAAAACCTCATTTCAGCTTATCCATCATCTTCGGTTTCCTTCGATCCGGCGGCGCACTTCATTTTTGCTTTTTCCCAAACCCCACCAACGCATTTGGGTGGCTCTATTCGACGTTTCTGGCAAAACGCTCGCCCCTGCATGTCAGCGGCTTGAGCTGGGTCTTTTGCTTTTTTTATCACCTACAAGGGCGTTATCCGGGATACTCGGTCCGAGAGACCGTGTGGCGTTTTGCTCATTGGCTTGATTTGTGCCACCATCTTCTTCTTTTTCTTTTTCTTTTTTTCTTTTTTTTTTTTTTCTTTTCCTTTTTCTTCCTTACCCCCATCTCTGTGCCTCGTGGCTCTTTTTCACCTCTTCTTCACAAGTGCAAAAAATGACGAATCGACACGGCTAGGCTGATATTTGCTTTTCTATATTCTTACCCTTTCACCACGCGCGATATTTTTTCTTCTACCTATTCTTACCTCGCCGCGGTTTCTTATTTTTTTCGATTCTTCCGGGTTTGGCCTGCCCGCACGTCTGTATTGTTTATTGTGTTTTTTTCGCGCGCCTTGGTCCGTCCCTGCAGACGGGGCTTCGGACGAGGCGCGGATGGAAGGACTGCCGAGCCATGCAGCAGCAGCAGCAGCAGCGAGCAAAGTGTCTTTGCTTTGCTTTGCTTTGCTTTGCTTTGCTTTGCTTGCTTGCATGTGCGCACGCAGGAACGGGGGTGCGTGCCATATAGTAGCAGCTACATACACACTCACACACGACAAATCGAACAGCAGCGCAGCGACGAGCGGCGGCGGCGGTGGCGGCATTACCTACCTAGGTATGTATGCTGCCCCGCCGGCGCGCACCGCGGCGCCTGCTTGCTTGCCTCCGTCCACATGGTATCCATCTATGTTCGGAGCGCGCGTTCTTCCTTCCAAACCACTTCCCAGTTGCCTTTCGTGCTTGTTCGTTCGTCCACCAACAGCGTCGCTGCGTCGCCCCCTTCGCTTGACGTGCCCGCCCTGCATTGCATGCGTGCGTGCGTGCATGCGCGCGCGCGCGTATCGACATACCACGGTACAGTGCGTAGCCGAGCTGCGCGGCCTGCCCTATCCCGTCGCGTCGCGGCCGCGCAGGTCGGTCAGAGGCCGTCGGTCGCGGGCCGCCGGGGCCCTTGTCCTTGTGCTTGTGCTTGACTTTTTTTTTTCTTTTAAAAACTGGAGTCGAAGTCTTGGCCCTTGATTTGACTCGCCGCCCGCTGCGCGTCGTCAATCCCTTTCCGCTTCGGGCGGCGCAGGCGGTTTCGAGTGCTCGTTTTGGGAGGGGGTGGGATGGGATGGGATGGGATTCGATTGGGTCACTGGGATTGGTGGTGACTGGGGTCGGAGACTCGGAGATATGGAGGGCGCCCGGCGCGGGAGGGACGACCGGGGTGCGGCACGCACGTGGGTGGGTGGGCTGTCACTGGATATAGGTGGGTATGGGTATGGGTAGGTAGGTGGGTAGGATGAGATGGTTACGTAGGTACAATATTGTGGGATTCAGGTACGCGCAACGGGATTTGCATTAGCATTTGGCATTTCGCTTTTTTGCATTTGCAAATGGCATGACTTGGGGAGAGAGGAACGGGAAAGTAGGGCCGTGGCCGTGGGCTTGGCTTGCAGGCTGATGAGGCTCACGGCTCACGACGGGTCGCGAGTCAAGGCCTGAGCCGGCTGCGTGGCTGCTTTAGCTGCTTTGCGAATTGCTGCTCAACTGCTGCCCTGCTTGCAGATTGCCCTGCTTGCAGATGATTGCTCAACCGGGGGACGTCCGCGTCCGAGGGCGGGTGTTGCCGTCGCCGGTGCTGGGGGCTGGTGCTGGGGGCGCATGGCGCGGCTGGCTGGCCTTTGCAAAGTCAGGTCTACAATAACATGTGCCTACTACGTACATATGCCGCTGGGATTGGAGCCAAAGAGGCCCGTGGGCGGGCGCGATCGGCGCCGCCGCCTCGCCTCATGGAAAAGCAGGGAAGAATGGCAGGGCGGGCGCCGCTGCTCGCTGCCGTGTTGGGGGTAGCTGGGGGCTGCTAGAGTCGCGGGTGGGTGGGCTTATGGGTAGGGAGTGCGTTAGCTGCTAGGCTGGGGTTTAGGCGCTGTGCCTCTGCTGGTGGTGGTGGTTGTGTGGGTGTGCGGTGTGGGTGATAGAGAGGGGGTGTGATAATGCTAGGTACCTAGTGGTATGGGCTGCTGCGTGGTTAGAGAGTACGTAGTAGGTGGGTGGGTAGGTGGGTGGCCTGGTCAGGTTACTGTTACTGCATAGTGGTCTGCTACCTACTCTGTACCGTCGGCATTGTAGCGGGTGGCTCGGCAGTTGCCTGCCTAGGCGTGCGTGCTATGTATGTGTGCGTGAGTGTACGTAGTAGATAGGGAGGGTGCGGAATAGGGTCTGAATTCGTACGAGGCCATCTACCTACTACAATACGTAGTACGTGCGTGCGAGCCTACCTACTTACGTAGGACCCTCCCTACCTAGGTACAGTACACGGCCTATGTACAGTACGCACACGCACTCTCTCTCTCTCTCTCTATCTCTCTCTTTCTCTTTCTTTCTCTCTCGCGCACCTACCCACCTCCAGCACAGGCGAAGATTACAAGCCGGGTACGCGAACAAGAGGGTTACGAAGCCACAATTATAGGCCAGCGGGAGACGAGGACGCAGGAGCGTCCGCCCGCGCGCGCAAGCTGCGTCGTTCTCTTGGCGCGAGCGCGATGCGCGGCTCGCGGGCGCGCAAGGACGCTACCTACGCAATGTCGCGTTCGCTACGGCGCCGGCGCTGTGCGTGTGGCTGCGCTAGGCGGCTAAGTCTTGAATCTACATAGCCGGAGCCTAGCTTCGTTCGTGTGGGTGTGTGTGTCTATTCTTGTCTACATATTGTATACGATACATACGATAGCGCGGGCCCTGCGAGAGGAGAAGGGGGGCAGACGACAACGACGCTTTGCCCTGCGTGCACCCGTTTCGCTATGCTCCGCTTAATCCGCTTCGGTTCAGTGTCTATCCGTCCGTAATCCGTACATACGAGTACGCTGCCTGCCTGCCTGCCGCTTTGCTACGCATTGCGTTGCTGCGGGCACGGGGAGACGACGCTACTGGAGACAAGCAAGACACGCCAAGGCTGGGCGGGACAGGGCCGTGAAACAGACGTGGGGGGAAGTTCGCGGTAGCGGGTTGTGCCGCGGCTGTGGGCGAAGGTGTGGGTAAAGGCAAAGCGTATGTATGGGAACATGGATAATTTTTTCGGGCCGCGGGGAGGGTCGAGGGGCAGCGCTTCCATGCCCTGAGCCTCGGGAGAGGGAGCATCGAAACGAAACGGCAAACGAAACAACTGCTACGGAGCAAGTCGGGAGACATGTGGGGAGCGAGGACGGCTCGGGAATTGAGGGAAGGGAGGCCTCGCTAGATCATGCGGCATGATTGAGGATAAAGAGAGAGAGTGTGTGTAGTGGTGGTGTGATGATCGCCAGAAAGGAGTGCCGAGAGCGCGAGTCGGGCCTGTTGAATCTCGAGATTGATTGATTCATGATGGCGATGGGCGCGATGGATGATGGGGCCGGAGTGGAGAAAGCACCACGGCTCGTCCCGAGTCTACGCGCCACTGCCGTCCGCGAGTCGTGGACGAACCGTCGACGCATCATCATCACCTACCACGTACCCTCCGGCTTCCTCACTTCTCTCACTTCTCACTTTTTTCACAGACTGTCTCTCTTCGTGCACTGCTGACTCAACTCACGTATTCCTCATTGATCCCCCACCATGCCGACGTCGCTGCCGTGTCACCAACCTGAGCTGGCGGCGCACCGCAGGACCCTCCCTTTCCGCTCGGACTCGGCCGAGGCGAGCGTCCGCCGTCGCAATGGAAGCTTCTTCTCTCATTGCTTCTTCCCGCCACAGCGCGCGCACGTGGCGCGAGGCCTCCAACATCTCCAACACTGCGAACTTTCTTTCTTTTTCCTCTTCTTTTACTTCTTCGTCCTCCCATCTCAGCTGCCGCTACCTCTAGTCAGCTCAGCACTAACGTTCCTCTTGCTCCTTCTCCTTCCATGTACCCCGTTGCCTCGCGTCTGCCGCGTCTGCTCGTCGGCCTCAGCAGCTTCCGCTTACTCCGCTCAGCTGCTCCCGTGCAACCGCACCGCTCACCTACCCAGCAACGCCCGTCGCATCTGACCCGGCTGGCGCTATCGTTGCTGCTGCTGCCGTGCATCATCTTGCGCGCAGTGGGCGCGAGGTCCGGAAGAGCGCGCAGGCGCCGACGCCCACCGTGGTCTGGCCGCCCGTTTGCTTTTCGTGCCACAGCGCCGGGGGCGTTCGTGAGCGAGAGAGCGAGAGGGCGCGCCCGCCTCCTGCCGTGCACGCCTGCTGCTGCTGCTGCTGCTGCTGCTGCGATAACGTCGCTCGCTTCCGACCGATGCTGCGCGCTTGCCGCTACTGTCGCTCTTGCTGCTACTACTGCTGCAGATACTGCAGACGCAGACGCGTCCGAAGGCAGATTAGCGAGCAGACAGAGGGTGCCGGGTGCGATGATGTCGCTTGCACAACACGAGACTGGTGCAGGGCCTGAGACTTGCAGTAGCAGCAGCAGTAGCAGCGAGTTCGCGTGGCCGAGGAGCGAGAGGGTCCAATACACGTATGTATGTCTTAGTATGTGCGTGTGCAGACCCTTCCCAAGATACTACGAAATTTAAGGTTTCGGTCCCGTTCAGCTCCGGCAATCCGGTTATTGCTTCTGTTGCGGCTGCAGAGGGAGCCGAGTCGCGCTGTGTTGGTGCCACGCGATGGCGTGGTCGTGCCCGCTGCCCGACAGGAAACGGCTCTGCGGCTTTTTGCTCGAGGGTGGCTTGTTCGCGCCGCGCGGGATGAAGTCATCGAAGACGTTGTGCTTGCTGCTGCGTCGCATTCGAGGTTTGTAAGCTATGTGCTGTAGGAGCTACCTAGGTAACGAGGCTGGTGCTGGTCAGGGAGGTGAGCACCAGTGACGTGGGCTGCGGCAAAGTAGGCTCCCAGTGAACTAGGCGCAGATGGCACCAGGAAGAAGCTTGAATACATGAACACGACACGACATCACTTAGGCCTCGCCGCTCTATAGGCTGGAAGACGTCTTGATCCAGAACATTGACAAGAGGATGACGGTGTCTGCTCTTCGTCAATAACCATCGACCGCGCGCAAAGAAGCCGTAACTCAGCCTCGACAAAGTCATAGCTCTCGTGACATCAAGTGTTGATCATCACCATCTCTGCTCCTGGCTGTGCATCACCCGGGCAGCGTGCTGGTATTCATGAACTACGCCTATCAGTGATGATATGTATTGTGTTGTTCCCTCTAGAATTGTAAGAAGCATGTCACTACATGGCATGGAATGTTTCTAGAGACGACCGGCCACGCTACGTCCCAATAGGATCTTATGTAGGTGATGGCCTCTTCGAGGAATTCTTGGGTGCGATTGAATTAGCTGGGATGTGTATGAGGCATGAAGTGATGCTGTTGAATTGGCAATAGGTGTTTATACGTGTGGGGTCTTTGTCATTCTCTCTCGCTTTTGCGGTAGCGGTGTTTGGGTTTTGGTGTCGTGCTGTGCTCTGGAGGATTCATGTGGATGGTTGAGTAGAGCAGTAAGAACTGTGGCTGTGTTTGAGAGTATAAAAATGCTCAAGAGCTGCCCTTTATATATGTACATCTAAACTAAATTTCAAATATTGGCTTCACTGTACGTGCTAGCTATAAATTTCCACTTCTTCACAGAGAACGGGCTCGTCGTCAGAGTGCTGAACATACCACGCATAATCTCAAACATACATGCAAACCGGCGTGGTTATGGGCTTCTCGCTCGCCAAGCAGGGCTTTTTAATGATCCTGTCGTGCACGAAGATGGATTCGGTAATTGGTTTTTGATTTGTTTATTTTTTACTGTTGGTGTTGGGTATGTGGCTTTGGACTTGATGGGCGTCGTCGTCAGTGAGTGGTTATGGGCATTGTCAGTGCTCACAGAACAAACAGACTGGGTGTAGCGGTAACGCTTTGTCTGACGGTGGTGGCGGTAGCACTCTGCACAAAGGGATATCGGGACGGTGTTCAACGCGATGTCTTCTGGACAAGGACAGGTCAACGTTAAACTCAATGGTTGAAGTCTTTGTCGGAATGTTTGGATTTGGTTGGATGTGTGGTAATGCCATCTTTATATAGGTATTTATTGCCCCGGTGGTGTTCGGTACGTGGATACAAAGAGCTTGTTTAGGCTTATAGGACTGCAGATCGTCTTTCACGGCTACGTGGTCGATGACGGCGTATTCGGTGTCTGGTGGATGTGGTTTTAGAGAGTTTGGGATAAAGGGTAAGCTAAAAGGGTACTGAAAAGAAATGATCTAAAAGAAAGAGAAGTTACAAAGCAACAAACGGAGCGTGCTGTACATGGAACCGAGGAAGAGGAGGTGTGGATATCTCATCCAAGTAAAAACATAATGAATATAAAGCAAAAATAAATTAAAATACTATGGTCCCAGTTAGTACTTACGAGCAAGGCTTTCCGTTGCGAGAAGCATACAGTTCAACCTGTGAGCCATTAGACCAGGGAGGCTGGTTTTGTGATTGAATTTGTCAGAGGAATATCTACATGGGTGAAATTTCAGAGTGAATATGCGTTTGTTATAAGTAACTTAACAGTCGTGCTTTTTCGACGAATATCTTTGTAGCAGACGGGTTATCTAGAAGGTTCGGAAGGCATGTTACTTCTTCAGATAACTTGAGTTGCAACAGACTAGTCGTGGTAATGGTACCGCATCAATTAGCAGCAGTAAAATGCTGAGAATGGGGATGGGCATCAAACAATTATTCAGTGTTGTTATTGTTCTGGGAGTTATTTGTTTGGCCATTGTTAACCTGCTTGTAGTTTAACAGAGCGCTGCTGCACAACAAACACAGTTTGCGACCAAACCATGTGCCCGACCTTTTTCCGCAATTCATTTTGTCATGGTCAAACATTCGGTAGTGATTGAGCACTGCCGCCCCCACACCCCCCCCCAAAACTCACCTCCCCCCAACACTTCCCCCACCATCCACACAACAACACAACAACAACCTTAACCCTGTAGCCTGGGTCAACTCTCTCAACCATGTCGTTCGACCCCGGCAAGCCAGCCAATTCCTTCTTATCGGGATCCAACGACCAACACGAAAAGAGTAACCAACGGTCGAATGGTGAAGTAAACAATGTCCCCGTCGCAACACAGTATCCTGGTCTGCTTGCGGCTCCCAACAGCCAAAACCAACAATCAAACTATGCAAGTTCGACCCATGGACCGATCACCGGTCTTGGAATCCAACAGCAACAGCAGCAACCGATTCCTGGGTATACTCCATCCGCGACTTACTCCAACCAGTGGAGCAACGAGGCAAACCAAAGACCAGCCCCCGGGCCATTCACGGTCAACAATCCCAGCCAGGGCTCATCTTTCGTAAGTTCAGCTTACACACCTTTCTCTTACAAAGCGCCAGCAAACACAACCAACACCTCGTTCAACGGCCTTCAGCCCGGCGAAGCAAGAAAGGCACCTTCGCAATATCTCTCACACACAAACCCAACAAAGCGGCAAGCAAGCATCTCTCCTACAGTTGATAATGCAGACGCGTATGCCAACCTGAAGCGTCCCCGACAGTTCCCTGCGCCTATGGCAGCTCCACCGCCCACCACGGCTCCGTTCAACCCATTTGGGCAACATCCTTCTGCAGGATTCTCGAATCCATCGAATTCTAACCCTCGCCTTATCCCTTCGATATTCGCGTCTCGTGGACCCAACATTCCGCTGTCAGGCCCGAGTGCTTACCAGCAGTACAACTACCCGCCTTCTTCAGGCCCGAGCCCTTACAAGCAGAATAACTACTCGTCTTCTCCAGGTAATCAGAGCGCCCCGTTTGTAGGCAACCAAACAGCAGCTGGCGTGTTTAACAATACACCTGCATTGAGAAATACCCCATTATACGCTCGAGTAGAGACTAGAGTTGGTGAAGCAAAAGCCCAAGAAGTAAAAGACGGCCGAGCGGACACAACTGTCATAAGTGAAGCTGAAGGAGGGGCGCTCTTAGAAGAGGCCCTCACTACAGCAGATGGCGTTACAGAAAATGGCGCTGCATTAAAGATCCTTTGTATGGAGTTTCTTGAAAAGTTGACTGCGGCCAAAGGAGACACGACCGAATTCAGGCAGAAGTTTTACAAAATGCTGAAGGCTGCTAAAGAATCAGCCTCCCAAAAAGACTCTCAAGCAGCAAACGTCCAAGCACTAAGTGCCCAAACAGCGGCTGCCCCAGTAGCAAGCGTCCAAGTCGAAAGCAATCAAGCAAGAACACGCAGGAAACCTCGTCCACTCCCTCAAGTACAGCAGCACATCAGCGAGCACAACGTCGTAAACCTTTACCTTCATGAAATCCAAAACCCAGAACCAGTCTCGCTATTGCGTATGCCGCAAGTGATCCCACATCCGGAAAACCAGCAGCGTAGACCACCTCAACATCCCCGTCAGTTCAATCTTCTGGACGCCGTCTTCCATCAAAATGACCTGATGTTGCACATAGCCGGACTGCTGCCCATCAAGGACTTCATCAGCCTCTACTGCATAAGCAAGAGGTTTCACTTTCTCGTCAACAGCCATTACACGACGTACATGAAAGCGCTAGCGCGCGCGAACGCTCCCAACGCCATGAAAGTCTACCCAGCAGCGGCATACCAGAGCCTCTGCATCCGCGACCCGGTCCTCCGCGCCCACCCCCAAAACAAAGCCGAGCCGCGCTGGGTCCCGGGCCTACGCTGGGTGCAAATGATCGCGTACCGCGAACAGGTGGTGCACGACATACTGCTCTGCATGGCGATGGAAGGGCACCACTTCCCCCCATTCATACCGATCGTGATCATGAAGATCTGGGCGCTGCTCGACCACGGGTGGAACGGGCCACGGGTCGCGCTGGTGCACGACGAGACACTATTCCCGGACGCGATCCTCTTGGTGGGGCTGATGTTCTTCATCAAGCTCGACATGCGCTTCTCGGACCCGGTCAAGGGCAACGGCGAGACGTCAATACGCCGGCTGATGCTCGCGCAGCGCAGCCTCACGGTCTTGAACCAGGTGCTGCGCCGCCAGTGCCTGACCAGCCGCCTCGAGATGCTGCAGATGATGGTGCGCCACGACCACAAGCCGCTGATAGCTAATACTAAGAAACTGCCTATCATGGGCGTGCCGGCGGAGCTGGTTGGTGGCCTTAGCAGAGAGGGCTGGGGCACGGGCAAGAACCGCTTGCTGCGGCCTGATGAGCTCATTCTGCGTGAGTGTGTTCGCCGTAAGCTCGCCGTGCATCGCGCTTTTGCCGACTACATGGTCTGGGGCTACACGGACTATAACACGATGAAGGAGGTCGGGGTGCCGGACTTGAAGAATCTGAATCGCGCGGCGAGAAGGATATGAAATGGAATGAAACAAGGCATGTTACGTAGTCAACAGTAAAAGTCAATATCAGGTTGAGGCCAATGAAAGCGCGCCGCGCCAAAGCGGTGAGCATCGCGTGTTTACAATCCGCTCGCATCGCGCTTGTCGTATGCGCCGGAACCGCTCACCCAGCCCGCCCGGCCTCTCCTTCCTCCACAATGGCCAGCACAAAGCAGATCGAGACGTCGCTCCTAACCGAGCACTTCCGCTACACGCCTCTGGTACGTCCCGCGCATGTTTTCGCAACACCGGCACCGTCACTAACCCCGCCCAGTCCCTCATCGACCACATCATCAACGCGATCAACGAGCTGATCAGCCACGCCGTCGACGCCGTCGAACGAGGCCTGAATGACGCGCCGCCCTCGATCCTGGGCTTCGTCGCTAGAGCCGAGGCCGAAAACACCATCCCCGACACGGATGGCGACGGCAATCTGCTGTTCCCCGAAATGCGGGCTGAGATCGAGGAGGGCGTGCATCAGCTCGAGACGCTGCTCGAGTCGACGGTCGACAAGAACTTTGACAAGCTCGAGATTTACTTGCTGCGAAACGTCTTGACGGTGCCCGAGGACTTGGTGCCGTGGGTCAAGTTGGCGCATTATGAGGTATGTCGCAGTGCTTCACCAGACAAATAAACCAACACGACTAACCGCGCCCACAGAACCTCGAACTCTCCCAACCCACCACCGCCTCTGCTAAGCCCACACCCACACCCGAATCCGTCCAGGCCCTCCGCCGCAAAGTCCACGAAACCAACAAACTGCACACGGCGCTGCTGACGGAAAAAGCGCGCAACGACGCGCTGCTCACGCACCTCCGCTCGCTACTAGGCAGCGGCCCGCAGCCCAAAGCCGAGCCCGCCTCTTCTCCAGCCCCAGACGACGCTTCCGCACAGCACCAACCGTCCTTCGCCTTCCTAGCCAACACCCCCGCCGCGCAAACCCTAGGAATCTCACTGCAGGCCCAAAGCGGCAGCAACCCAGCAGCAACAGCCGCCGCCGCCGCCGCCACGCCCATCCAAACAAACACAGCCTTCACGCTCTCGCAGCTCCCAGCGCTGCGCCGGCTCCTCGAGTCCCTGCGCCCGAAAATCGCCGCCTTGTCCGCCGCCGCCGCAGCGTCGTCCGAAGGCGCAGAAGGCGCCGAAGTGCCAGAGAATGCGTCGGCGCGCGCGCGCCGCGACTACGTCGAGACGCAGACGCGGCGCCTGCTCGAGAAGCGCGGCGTCGACGTCAGGAGCGGCGAAGGTGGCGACGGCGAGGGCTTGGGCCGCCGCGTCGGCCAGGACGAGATCAGGGGCATGGAGGCTGTGGCGGAGTTGTTGGGGAAGCCGGCGGAGGAGCGGGTCGAGAGGGCTGCGGAGGCGGATCGTATGGATGTGTCGTAGATGGGTGATGAGATGAGGGAGGTGAGCTCTGCGAGACGGGCGGGGGAGCACTGGCGGTGCTTGCTAAGCGCACTACCTGCCTGCCTGGTTGCTTGTCTGTTTGTCCCCCTCAAAGACGGGACTTGAGGGAAGAGATTGTCAGTGTTGGGGCGCTGCGCTTCATCACCACCACCACCACTATAACCGCCGCCGCTGTCCGCATCACCTACCGCCACAACTCGCGCCATCACCGCCCGGCTTCCTCCGTCTTAGGACCCGTATGTGCAAGTCCGGCACGACACGACACCACCCCGCCGCGCCAAAGCAGCCAGCAGAGCCAACTGGCGCTCTTGGGCCTTTCCCCTCCCCATGCAGAGCGGGGAAGTCGAACAGTGGGCTGGGTTGATGGATGAGGAAGGACAAAAAGGGCAGCAAGGACAGTGAGCGTGGAGAATGGATAAACATGAAAGGCCGCATGCACAGCTGCAAGAACCCAGGCTTTGCAGCAATGGGAGAGAGGCACATCGGAGAAGGGAACTAATACCGACAAAGGCGAAGAAGAGGACACACGGGTAGGATAAAACTCTCAACAGCGTGACGTGAGACCTAAGTCACCATACCATACCAAGCAAGCAATTTTTAGAACCATAGACAAACAAACACACACACGCACATAAAACCAGCACAAAAACAAAGCAAAAACGACACCAGAACCCCAGCTTGCGAGCGTGCGTGCGAGTGTGCGTGCGAATGGAAGAATCTAACATTTTCAGACCTGGTATCTCGGCGTCTCCCGCATACATGCTCAAAATGCTAGCAACCCGCCCCCTCCCTCTCCTTTCCTTTCCTCTCTTCCCTTCCCTCCCTCACTCGCTGCCGCTCGCCCGGACAGAAAGAAAGAAAGAAAGAAAGAAAGAAAGAAGCACGACAGATAGACAAGAGACAGACAGACATGCAGCCCCTCCCATTTCCCGAGCTCCTTATTTAAAAAGAGAAAAAAGAAAGAATCCAGCCCAGCTAGCTAGCTAGCTACACAGCAGCCATGCATGCCATGCCATGCCCAAGCCCAGCCCAAGCCCCCCTCTCCGCGCGCGCGCATACGATCGGGAACCGTTATAGTGTTCGGTCGGAGGAAGTCATGACGAGCGCATAGGCGTAAGCGCGCGCGTGCGCGCGCGAGCGGTGATGGGGTGGAAAGGTGGTGGAGGTGGCGGGCGGGGAGAACGCCTAGATGAAAGCGCCCGTGAGGCTCTTCTTCCACTTCCAGCCGTCGTAGCCGTCGCCGCGCTCCGAAACCGCGTCCGCCGTCGAAGAGGATGGGTCCGTCTCGTTGTCGTTTTCCTTGGAACGCCCCGCGCCAACAGCCTATCCGAATTAGCAGCAGATGATTGCAAAACAAAGGGCTTCCTCGCGTGGTGGTGGTGGTAGTGGTGGTGGTGCTTTGCTGTTGAAGAAGGTGGTGCAGTGGATAATTATGTTTGTTGATTTGGTTGAACGGTTTGAAGTTTGATTGAGTTTTGGTTGGTTGTTTGCTTGTTGGTGGAAAGTGCTGGTGCTGGTGATGGAAGAAGAAATTATTCGGAGATTTCCCGGTTCAGTACCTTCTTCTTTGGCGCTTGAACGATGGAGCGTGCCGGTCGGAAGACCTGCAGCTGGTTGTCTTCCGCCGCAGCGAGCATGACCCAGGGGTCGGTCTTGTTCCAGCTGAAGTCGCAGATACTGTTGGTGAAGCCACCGTGCATGAAGAGCCTACGACGGGAAATGGAGCGATCAGCCTAAACGAGTTATACAGAAAGGATAACTGATGACTTACAGCTCTGGTGGACCGTCTTCGGCCTCTTCTTCAGTCTGTTCCTCTCCAATCCTGCTGCAGTCCCACATGAGAATGCGCCTGTCATAGCTGGAGCTAGCAAGGATTGAGTGGTCAGTAGGGTGCCACTCAAGGTTCAGAACAGCTTGCTGGTGGCCTTCAAAGCTGTGTATCTTCTTATCGAGGCAGCGCAGATCCCACATGGCGATCGACTTGTCAGCAGAACCAGTGACGACGATGGACTCCCAGGCGGGGTGGAAAGCAAGGCAATTGACCGCGTCGGTGTGGGCCTCCTGCTGGAAGAGGGCTTTCTTGTTCGTTTCCTGGCGCGTGTCAAGAATCTGCAGCGTCAAATCGTCGGAAACAGTGCCAATCCACGAGGGGTGAATAGGGTGGTGCTGGACGTCATTGACAGTGGAATTGTGATGACGGTAAATGCGAGAAGCAGTGATCGTGGGGTTTGCCTTGGAGTAGCCAGCTTTGGTATCCCTGCAAGGGTCAGCTTTCATGCCATGCCATGCCTTAGTTTATGGTCCGGACGTACCAAATGCGCACTGTTTTGTCCTCACTGCCGGTCGCGAGCTGGCCCTCGTAGTGAGGACTCCAGCTCAGACCGAACCCCTCCTCACTGTGACCCTTCAGCTCCATGTCCGGCTTGATGGTGCCGTTGGGGTCAGGCTGGGACGTGTGCTTCGTCCTGTCGAAGACCAGAACCCTTCCGTCCGTGCACATTGTGGCAATCATGTTCTCGTTCTGCGGCATGTACCTGGCCTTGTTGATCTCGCCAGGGTGGTTAATTTTCTGGATGACGTTGAACATAAAAGGCTTCTTCGCAGCACCATGGCCGCCAATCTCTCCACGCTGCTCATCGTATTCGGCTGGGTCGGGGGACTTGAGCGCCGGGATCTCAATGCTAGCAATCTGTAGATAGTTCTGAGCTTGATCGGAGGTATGGGTGCCGAAAAGAACGCGATGTTGAACCAAGTCGGTGCCAGGAACCCTGCGAAACATCAGTATGAGCGTTGCCAGTAGGCATCAATAAGCGCTTACTCTCTTTTGTCCGGTAACCACTGCGTCGTCAAAGTAGGCCACTCCAGAGCACGACTGGATACCCGTCAGCAAATTGCTGAAAAATCAGGAAAATGATGTCTTACGAATAGAGAACATCGTAAAGCCAGACGGAGTTCTTCTTCCAGATTTTGTACTCTTCATTGGTAATCTTCTGCTCGACCTGCTCCTCTTCGGCCTCGCGGCGGGGATCGACCGCATCTGTCAAGACAAATAACGTCAGCAAGCACTCGAGAAATCCTCCGATCTCTCTGTAAGAGCGCGCAGGCGCTCCCGGGGTCAATTGGCTCGGCTGATTGTTTGTTGGCGCGACAAGCGATATAGCTTGTACTGGAGCGCAAAAGGTGAAGGTCTTGACCCAAGGTGCGAGCTAGGACCGGGCACTCGAAGCAGCTCCGGTGACGGACTCGAGAAATGTCGTATGCGGTGATGGCGCGCCAGAGGCAGAGCAAGGGCCGGCCGGGAGTGGATGATTGCGGGGAGCTGTGGAGCAGAGAAGAAAAGGATATGTGAAGATGCGAATGGATTCGCATGGATCCCAGGCAGGCTCAGGCACTTACCGCTCATAGTCTCGTCCATGGTGGCGGGGAGTTGTTTGCAGTGTAGTAGTAAAGGCAAGCACGCCGTGAATCTGGGAACGCGAGCACGCGTAAAGCTAGCCAAGGCGGTGAAGCGCGGCAACCCGTCGCCGCCGATATGATGTGGACGATCGCCGTTCACCACCGACTTCCTCTCTTCGAAGACTCCGTGTCGCGCATAACGATACCCCCGTTTTCTCTCTCCCTCCCGCCTTTGCACCTTCTGCCATCCTTGTGCTTGGCAGAGCACACTCTCTCAGTCCAGTCCGTCCGGCCATTGTTTGCCATCGCCTAGCTCTACCAGCTACGTCAGCTTCATCTGCATTTCTTTGAACGCCACACCGCGGTCACAGCATCATGGGTGTCCCCAAGTTCTTCAGATGGATGTCGGAGCGGTATCCGGCCATTTCGCAGCTTATTGCTGAGAACCGGATACCCGAGTTCGATTGCCTCTATGTACGTCCCCGCCACCGTGCTGCGACCACCCGCCCTGCTGACATGCGCATCTAGCTCGACATGAACGGCATTATCCACAACTGCACTCACAATGATTCCGATTCCGCTACGCATCGCATGAGCGAGGACAAGATGTTCATTGCCATTTTCAACTACATCGAGCATCTTTTCGGGAAGATCAAGCCCAAGCAGCTGTTCTTCATGGCCATTGATGGTGTCGCGCCGCGCGCAAAGATGAACCAACAGCGTGCTCGTCGTTTTAGGACTGCACTAGACGCGGAGAATGCCAGGGAGAAGGCGATCAAGGAGGGCCTCGAGATGCCCAAGGAGCCACCTTTTGACAGCAACTGTATCACGCCTGGTACCGAGTTCATGGCCAGGCTCACCCAACATCTCAAGTATTTCATCAACAAGAAGGTCTCGGAAGATGTTGATTGGCAAGGCGTTGAGATCGTCCTGTCCGGCCACGAAGTCCCCGGTGAGGGAGAACACAAAATCATGGAATATATTCGCCAGGCCAAGTCTCAGCCCGGCTACGACCCTAACGTCCGTCACTGTCTGTACGGCCTGGATGCCGACCTTATCATGTTGGGTCTCCTCAGTCACGATCCTCACTTCTGCTTGTTGCGTGAGGAAGTTACGTTTGGGCGCCAGAACCAGAAGAAGTCTAAGGAGCTGGAGCACCAAAACTTCTACTTGATGCACCTTTGCATGGTTCGTGAGTACCTGGAGCTGGAATTCCAGGAACTCGAGCAGCCTGGAGCTTTGTCATTTCCTTTCGACATGGAACGCGTAATTGACGACTTCATCCTAATGGCTTTCTTCGTTGGAAACGATTTCCTTCCTAATCTGCCGCATTTACATATCAACGAAGGTGCACTTTCGCTTATGTTCAATGTTTACAAGGCGGTGTTGCCCAAGGCGCAGGGCTACATCAACGAGGGAGGCGTGATCAATCTTGAACGATTGGCGTTGCTTTTGGATGAACTTTCGCATGTCGAGTACCGTTTCTTCGAGTCAGAGAACCAGGATGCAAGCTGGTTCAAAGGAAAGCAGACGGGACGCGAAGACGTCATGGAACGGACTTCGCACAAGAGGCGTGGACAGCTCACAATCACGTCCCAGCAGAAGGAGATCTACAAGACGATCAAGACTTATGTCAACAACCGACCGGCCGACAATGCGCCTCTCGATCTGCCTTCTACTTTGCCAGCCGGCGACCGAAAGTTCGTCGAAGAGCTGGCGGACAGTCTCCACCTTCAATGGAAGACTGTTGAAGATGAGCAGGATGACAGGCACCTCCAGTTGTCTTTCCCTCCGAGTCTCAGGTCTGAATCTGATGATGAAGATGAGGAGGATGACGAAGCGCAGAATGCGCTTCTTCGTGTCCTTAAACGATATGAAAACGCCAAAATTGTGGACATTTCGCCGGGCGAAGCCCAGGCTGAGATGGAGAAGAAATACGAGGAGAAGTTCACGGCCTGGAAGAACGAGCATTACAAGTCAAAGCTCGGGTGGGGCCTGGAAAATGAAGAGGAGCTGAGAAAGTTGACGGAAAATTATGTGCAAGGTCTGCAATGGGTCCTATACTACTACTACCGTGGAGTGGCCTCTTGGCCGTGGTTCTACGCTTATCATTACGCGCCGATGATTTCAGGTAAGTCGATATGTTGTGCTCTGGTTTCAGCTGCTAATCGTTATTATAGACGTCAAGAAGGGATTGAAGGCCGACATGAATTTCAAGCTTGGCCAGCCTTTCCGTCCCTACCAACAGTTGATGGGTGTCCTTCCGGATCGAAGCAAGCAGATCGTGCCGACTGCGTACCACGATCTAATGACCAACCCCAACTCTCCCATCATCGACTTTTATCCCCGCGATTTCGAGCTTGATATGAACGGAAAGAAGATGGAGTGGGAAGCTGTTGTCAAGATCCCTTTCATTGACGAAAGCAGATTGCTCCCTGCCATGGAAACAGTAGAGAATAACTTGAGCGAGCAAGAGAAGGCCCGCAACCTGTTCGGCGCCTCATTGAAGTTTGCCTATCAGCCTGAGCTGGATTACGTCTACCCATCTTCACTGCCAGGCATTTTCCCCGACCTGCCTCATTGTCGCTGCGTGGAGAATATCTTCGAGTTGCCTACCATGGACGGTCTCGAAGTCTACGTCGGCCTTGTGGACGGTGTGAAAATGGGTATCGCGGCTCTGGCCGGCTTCCCTAGTCTGAAGGTTCTTCCGTTCCATGGCCAACTCGGTTTCCATGGTGTCAGTGTCTTTCAGCAAGAGAGCAGAAACGAGAGCATGGTTGTAACCTTGACCGAAACCGATGTGCGCTCGAAAGCTTCTGATGCCCAGAAGAAGCTTGGCAAAGCTGTCCACGTGGGTTACCCCTTCCTTCAGGAAGCCAAGGTCATCAAGGTGTCAGATGAACTTTTCGACTACGTCGAGCAAGATGGACAAGTCATTTCGGTTCCTCATGATCATAAGGGTATCTCCGACTGGAAGAAGAAGGCCGACCGCATTGAAGGCGTCTACAGCAAGCGTCTTGGCATGGTCATCGGCGATGTCGAAACGATGGTGCACGTCGACATGCTCAAAGGTCTCAGAAAGACTGAACAAGGCGCCACCGTCAAGGACTATGGCCATATTCTAGGCATGGAGACGGATTACGCAGCGCAAACGATCGTCGACGAGGTTATCAGCGAAGACCAGCGTTTCATCGAGAAAGAGGCAGTTCCCATGGCGGAAGAGTTCCCTGTCGGTTCCCGCGCCTTCTTCCTAGGCGACTACGCTTACGGTCGTCCCCTCGAGGTGCTGGCTCACACCGGTGAGAGAGCAGAGTGTTGGGTACTCACTCTCAATGGACATGAACAAGAGTTTGGCAAGTCCATTGTCCAGAGAGCCGAAGCTCAGCAGCAGTATCGTCCGTCGTACGCTGTGGCTAAGATGCTTCAAATCAACCCTCTTGTCCTGAGCAGGGTTACTTCTTCGCTTTCAGTCAACTCGAGTGGGCTTCGTCTTAACTTAGGTCTCAACCTGAAATTTGAGGCGAAGAAGCTCAAAGTCCTCGGCTACTCTCGCAAGGCCGGAAGTGGCTGGGAATACAGTCCGAAGGCCATCAACTTGATTGCGAATTACATGCAGAACTTCCCTGAATTCTTTGCTGTTATGCAGATGAAGCCAAAGGGTGACATCTACGAAGATACCGACTTCTACCCTGCGGAGATCGCCAAACAAAAGATGAAGGAAATTGGTGCATGGCTGAAGTCGGTCGAGACCAAGAACTTCGAGAAGGTGCCTTTGGAAGCTGAGCAGCTTGATTCGGACGTGGTCAAGGAAATTGAGCAGACAGCCGATCAAAACCTGCAAAATCTGCCTCCGCCTGTTGGCAAGAAGATCAAGGGCATCCCGCGGACCGCCCTGCTTAAGCCTTCGGATGCGGAGCAGACCATCGGCAACCAGCGCTTCTCCCTTGGCGATCGGGTCGTGTACGTGCAAGACTCTGGCCGTGTTCCTATCGGCCAGCGTGGCACAGTAGTGGGCATGACGCGCACTTCCAGGACAACTCTTCTGGACGTCGTCTTCGACACTACTTTTATGAGCGGCACCTCCCTCGGCGAACGTTGCACGCCATTCCGTGGCTCGACAGTTCCCTTCACATCGGTTCTTAACCTCACTAACCGCCAATGCGTTTTCCTCTCTGCAGCCGCCGCAGCTAAGCGCCCGCAGTCCATTGCCCAACCGCTCACGGTTCAGAACCGCGGTTACGGCATGGCCGGCGACGAACAGCTCGTCCCTGCGGGTGCACCTCCGCCACTGAGCGGTTCCTTCAGAGGCGCCTTGGCTGGCGGTCGGGGCAATGGCTTCCGCGGCCGCGGCCGCGGCGGTAGTCCTGCGCCTCGCGAGTTGAACGGCTACCAACAAGGCCAGCAACAGAACCTGCCCATCCGCAACGGGCCTCCTACTGGTCCTCGCGGCCGCGGCGGTTCCAACGGTAATTTTGTACCGCGTGGAGGCCGTGGCGGCGTCCAGAACCCTCTTAGAGCACAGAACCCTAACCAGAACCGTGGTGGTTTCACCGTCATCGACAACAGCGATCCGGCCGATGGCATTGTCAAGAACAACCCGAACTTCCGTCCGCAGAACTACAACAACGTGCCACCGCCGGCGGTTCTGGATGCAAACGCATTTGGTGGCCGTGGTAGGGGCAGAGGACGTGGAGGATTCCGTGGACGTGGCGCGAGAGGAAGGGGCGGTGCTCAGAATGGGGCCGCTCAGAACGGTACGCCACAGGCGCAGTAGATAGAATGTCGAAAGACTGATTTGTCAGGATGCTGTAGACAATGCTGCGGCTATTGACGAGACTGAGATTGGGTGGAAGTTGTGCAGATGAGCGAATTGCGCTGTCACGGCCGAACAAACTCTCATTACTGTCAATTCATATCTCAAGACCATGTTTCAGCTGGATTGTGCTTCTTGTGACGGCAATGCTTAAGTCCGGCGACTAGCGTGAGCGGGTAGAAAGCGAACACGAACGGCCACGAATAGCGGGAAGAGTGTATATCGACGGCGATCACGACCGTGCTGCATGCTCGTCCGAAACCACCGTCTGCTCTTGGCTTATTCTCGCAGGCAATCTCACGGGAGCCGCGCAATGCGGAAGTCTTACGATCCCAAGGATGCGGAGAGGGTTGATGCCAGCTCATATACGAAGGCGGCGCTGGAGCGGCTAGCTATAATAGCCCAGGCGGGCTAGTGCTCCAGCTGCGCCGTGCGGGCTCAGGATAGACCAAACATAGGATTAAGGTTGGGGGAGGAGATCAGTAGACAGTGAAAGGACGCTGGGCACGCCCACAACGGAGGAGAGCCGAGAGAAGGGGGCGCCGACAGACGGGGGCGCTTTTGGGGGGTGGAAAAGGGGGGGCAGCGGGCGGTCTTCTGTGGGAGTCGTCCCAAGCCAAGGCGTTGAATTGCAAGGCGAACAGGGCCGGGCCTATTGACCGGCGCCAGGCTCCGCGATATTATTTCCCGGCTGACGTGGATCAAGTGCGGTCCGTGCGGAGGGAGGAAGTCGAGGTGCAGGAGGGATTGGTAGTTACTCCTTACCGCGAGGGGGGACGGGACGGATGGGGAAGTTTTTGTGGAAGCGGTGTTTAGGGAAGGTTGTGGAGGCAAGGAGGAGGGTTTGTCGCGGTGCAACAGCTGTCTTGTCTCAGAAGGCGCGATCGTACGGTAAGGCTGATCCCTTGATCGGGCCGGGCGGGCAAAAGACGACGGTTGGCTCGCTTCTCACCGCCCAGCCACCGTCACCGGTTACCAAGGTAAACAACAACGTCTGGGAAAGCTGGAGCTTCATCGCGGCCCAACTTTGGCTCTTGCTCCGTCGCAGGGTGGACGGCCTCCACACGCCTTCCGTCTCTTGCATATACCCCGCCGACGAATGGCGATTCCGCTGTGACTTGCTCCCCCCATACGCGCCTACCATGCCCGTCGCGCCTGCTCTACCCACAAAGTTTCCTTGCTGGTGCAAGGCCGTCTACTCATGGGGCGGAGAGGTAACCCACCGCCCGCCTTCGTTTCGTTGCTAAGCTGAGCCTTCTTCTCCACAGACCAAACGCGACCTCGGCTTCATCGAAGGCGACCTGATCGAATGCCTGAACGCTGGCGACGGCGCGTGGTGGATGGGCCGGCTGAAGAGGGATAGACGTGCCGTCGGCCTGTTCCCCTCCAACTTCGTCCAGCTCCTCGACGAGAGTCAGTGGCCCGGCGCCAATCGCAATGTCTCGCCCATGGTCACCAACGGCGGTGGCTCCATCTCAAAGGAGCCTGCGAAGCCCGTCCCCCAAAAGACCAAAAGCACCTTCCGGAAGCCCTTTCAAGCATACTACAATGCTGGCGCTCCGAATCCCGCCGCCGCTGCGAGGGAGCGCTTAAAGTCTGGCAGCACGGGAACTGTAAACACCACCGGCACCACCAAGCACAAACCCTACTCGTCGATGAAGCATGCGCAAGCGCCGACTGGCAGCGGTAGCGGCAACAATTCGCCCTTTAGCTCGACCGAACGCCTGGCCCGTATGAACACTCCCTCGCGGACAGGATCCGGACAGCGGAGGACTCGTGCGACGTCTCCTCTGCCGCCACGAGGCGAACTCACGCACTTTCGCGCCGTTTCCCCTGCGCCGCCGCCTGCCGATTACCGCCCGCCGTCGCGCGCCATATCGCCAGCACCACCTCGCGGAGTATCCCCGGCTCCTATGCCCCAATATGGCCAGGTTCCTCGTGCCATTTCTCCCGCCCCGATGCCACAGTACGACCCGTCATATCGCGCAGTGTCTCCGGCCCCTATGCAGTATGGTCCACCTCGAGGAGCTTCTCCGGTCCCCCCGTCCCCTATGCACTATGGTGTACCACGAGGGGCTTCACCAGCTCCTCCTATGCAGTATGGACAATATGGCCAGTATGGCCAGTATGGAATGCCTCGGGGTGCATCCCCAGCCCCGCCGCCTTCTCCCGGGCCGCCTCAACAACGGTATATCGCGTATTCTCCTGCAGCCTCTCCAGTTCCAGGGCACTATGACGGTTACCGGGATTCGGCACAATTTGAACCATCGTCGCGTGGACCGTCACCAGCACCGTTCGACGAGCCGTTTGATGAAGGGGGAGCATCACCACCTCCACCTCCGCCTCCTGCACATCGCGTCCCATACAACCGGGGCAGGACGCCGTCCCCATCTCCTTATCTTGGTGACCCGTACCGTGATGGATACCACACACCCGAACCGCCTTCTCCTGCGCGTAGAGAAGGTCATAATCTCACACCTTCACCTTTGACGAACGCAATGAATGATGTAATGTCCTCACTCCAAGGAATGGGCGGACCCAGGGATCGCAGCCCCTCACCGGCGGCAAGAGCGCCTTCACCAGGCGTGTGGGCTCCTGAAGCTTTCACTCAAATTTACAACAACCCAAGGAAATCCCGAGCTCAAACGTCAATAGGCCTTAATCATGAGGAAGTAGAGATGGACCCCGAGAGTGCTCTGCGTGCACTGCGAGAGCGCCGTCAATCTTACGCGCCTCAGCCGGATGGGATGCCGCAGGCAGGTAGTTACGTTTCACGCATGGAGGATCGGCTGCGGAGGATGGCACCTAGTCCGAGGCCGCAAGACGAACTGTTTATGCCAGCAGATGAGGATGGTCCGCCACCAGCGCCACCGCCGAAAAGTACGGAGTGGCGGTCGCGGGCGCAGTCTTCGGTTGGCGCGCGGAGGCCAATAACCATGTATGAAGATACTAGGAGATCGCAAAGTCCAGTTCACGCGAATACCTACGTTTCACGACCCAAGAGCTCTTTTGGCAATCGCGAACCCGATGTTGGCAGAAAGCCCACCCTGAGACACCGTAAATCAGCGTACGAGGTTGCCAGAGAAGGGCTTGGTCGCACTTTCACCACGAAGACGAACAGCACCGAAGCGAGCAGCAGTACTAACCACACCCTCATGAGCGGCGCTTCTGCGGGAGCCTTCAGCGCAACCAGTGCAGGGAGCTTTGCCAGGCGGAAATGGGGCATTGGCGGCAGCGGCTATCGGGAACGGTCCAAGAGTGTGGTGGAGACAGCGCGCCCGGCAACAATCAGGACGGAATCGAATGAGAGCAGGCCTGAGAGCGATTTTACCGGTATCACCTACCATTCGAGCCATGCTTCTGGAGCGCAAAAGAACACTTCCAGCACCAACTTGTCCGGAAACACGCTGGACGACGGTGGCCTTCTCGGTGGCCTTTCCTCGCCCAAGCCCAAGAAAAATGGTTTCTTCAAGAAGATGATCGAGTCTGCCAAGACGGGTGCGGCGAGCGCGAGGAACACCATCTCTTCCAGTCCAAGCAGGCCAGCGTCGAGGGCGAGCAAGATCCTCCCAGAAGGTGTCAAGGCTATTTCAGGAGGGCCGGTAGTCAACGATATCTCCGCGAGAGAGACTGCGCTCGTCGCTAGCTCTAGCACCTCCTCCGTGGATTGGGTGCAAGTGCGGCGAGATGTCAACCGGTCCAACAGCCTCAGCAAGAACGAGCGCATCGAGCGGGCTGAACGGTGCGAGATGATGGACATTGCGGTGATCAACCCCATTGAGGTTCTCCGGGAGTCTGTGGAAGGCGACGAAGGGCTCGATGGCCTGCCAGTGGAAGACCCTGCCGACTTCACTTCCGGTTCCACCCTAGCGCTAGTCGACAAGAACACGCGCTTCATCCAAGGCCTGCCTGGTACCGTTATCCCTTCAAGCTTGGCCCAAGGCTACGTTTGTCGGCCCTACCGGAGCGATGTCCAGAGACTGCGCGCCATTTTCACGTGGGTCTCGGAGCGCATCTGCTGGGAGGAAGACTTTGAAGGGGAAATTGACACGCGGCGCGCCATTCATACCAAACGCGGCACAGCTGAAGAAGTTGCTGTCCTCGTCATGGAGATGTGCGCTGCCGTCGGTCTGCACGCCGATGTTGTGCGTGGCTACCTCAAGGCTCCCGGCGAGATGCTTTCACTCGAGCAGATCGCTCACCCGAACCACTACTGGAACGCCGTCATTGTCGATGGCGAGTGGCGCATGATGGACTGCTCTCTGGCTTCGCCGACGCACCCCCGCCGTTCCCATTACAGCAATGCCGGCAGCCAGGTAGCCGAAAGCGGGCTGTTCCTTGTCCGTCCGATGGAAATGTGCTATACCCACATCGCACTGCTGCCCGAGCAACAACACATTGTGCCATCCATCCCGCATGAGGTACTCATAGCCCTGCCCTGTGCTTGTGCACCTTACTTCCGGAACAAGATTGAGCTTGTCGACTTCGATACGAGCCTGCTGAACCTGGAGAACCTGGAGATGGCGCACATCCACTTCTTCGTGCCAGAGGACGTAGAGGCGGTGGCAGAGGTGGAGGCAAGCATCTTTGCCCGCGATGATGATGGCGACTTTTTCGAGACGGGCGATGTGCAGACGAAGAAGGCGCTCTGTCAGCCGGAGTGGCTAAATGGGCGTAAGAGGTACACGGTGAAGGCGGTGCTGCCGGGCGACGAGGGCGAAGCGGTACTCAAGGTGTATGCGGGCAGGAAAGGACTGATGGTAAGAACTCCCCGTGACCGAGATTTATTACCACAAAAGCTAACAACGCACTCCAGCATACAATCAAGTCCAACCCGCACCCGCTCGCTTTCGCCTTGCCGATCTGTCACTCGGGCCAAAACCCCCCCTACGATTTTCTGCGCCTGCACCCCACGCCGCACGCACAGCGACACGACCTCTACGTCGCACAGCCGCAATGCGCGCGCCTGGCCATCAACAACACGTTCGTCTTCGCGATCCGGCAGCACCCATCCTCGCTGTTGCACACACCAGGCCACTCCTACCACGCCGCGAGCACAAGCCTCAGCAGCGCATACGGCGTCTCCTCCGGGCGCGTATCCCCTGCACCCTTCGCTCGCCCCGCAAGTGCCATGTCCATGATCTCGGCCTCAGCCTCCGCAACAGGATCCTCGTATTCGAACCCATCAAACTCGTCTGGATCGTCGGGTGAGATGCTGGCGAAGGCGGGGGTTGCTGGTGTTGGAAACTTAAGCGTCAAGCCCGCGAAGCTGGCGATTCAGAGTCCGAGCGGAAAGATCATTCGGCTGATGCGCAAGACGGAGACCACTAGTGCTTGCGCGGAGGAGGGCCGTGAGGGCGGCGATGGATCCGTCTGGGAGACGATCATCAAGTGCAGTGAGAGGGGCACGTGGCGCGGGTTGGTGCTGGCGGATCGGAGTGCGAGATGGTGCGTTTTTGCGGAGTGGGAGTGTGTGTGAAGTGGTCAGTTGATGAAGGAGTGACTGAAAGGGTGAGTGAGTGGGTGAATGGGTGAGTAAAAGGCTGCTGCTGCGCGTGTTTGTGAGCGCGGATCACACATTTTCGGTTTTTCGGATTTTCTTGTGTAGAGCGGCAAGGCAAGACAAAAAAAAAAAGCTGGTTGGTTTTGGTGATTGGTTGGTTGGCGGGCTTGCATCAAAGGAAGCTGCAAACAAGCATGCATTGCATGGCATGGTAGGACGAAGGCACGCACGCACGTCCGGTCATGGGTTCTTTTTCTCTTCTTTTCCTCCTTTTCCGGTTTCATCACTCTTAATTTCTTTGGCAAGGCAGGCATGCTGCAGACTGCAGACATGCCGATGGGACGACCGTGCACGAGTCTCGTTGTTTTTCTCTTTTTTTCCTCTTTTTTCGTCATATATCTCGGATGGGTTTCCTCTCTGTCTCTCTGGCTCTCTGGGTGTGTCATCTCTCTCAGAGGCACACGCATACACGCATCAGCATCATATCACGTTGGCAAAGCATCATCGAATCATCACTTACAGTTGTTTATCTGGTTGTTTGTTTTGTTTTGGTTTGGTTTGTTGTAGCACTTAGGGTATAGGGCGAGCGCGTCTTCTGGGGGTTCGTACGTTATGTCGGTTAGCATGGGCGCTAGTGTTATCGGGAGCATATGCTTAGGCGTCTAGGTACCTATGTAGGTGGTGGGCAGGCTCGGGCTGGCAGGGAGCGCGGGGTTTGTTTGGCTATCGGCAAATTGGGCTTTTGTTTCTGGCTGGCTGAGCTGGGACGGGGCCTTTTTCTTACTCGTTCTGCTGCTTCTTGGCGGGCTTGGATGAATGTTTCGTGATGGGCTTAGGGAAGGGTATTTCCTTTGCTTTTATTTCTTAATGGCTTGTCTCGTAGGACGGTGGGTCGGCGGGCGGTGTACATCATCTTTCTTCATCTAGTAGTAGCGTGGTTGGGTCGGTGGTGATAGTGGCGAGTGCATGGTGGGAGGCCCTGGTGAAGCGGATGCGAGTGTCCGGGGCGTGAATATATGGTATCAACCTGCCTTGGTGTTGAGAACATGTTCTGGTGGTGATGGTGAAGGCCACTCGTCTTCATTCAAAACGTTGCCTCTGGGCCCGGGATAATTCGCTCACACTTTCTAGATATTTTGCCTACTCTTAAAGTATGTCAAACAAAATCTACCATACCTACGGAACACTGCTTAGGTAGTTATAATTAACTACTATGCAACGGCTACTAATCGCTAGATAGCTATATAGAATTTAAAATATACTAGGTGTAATAATACCTATAACTATACCGAGGTAGGGATATATGAATTATTAGGGTATCCTATAGAGGTACGAAAGTAAAATAAAATTGATGGGTATGATGGTATTTTCTTGAGGGTGGATAAATTATCCAAGGCCTTTCTACTACTCTTATGGTAGTTCCGAGAAGGACTATACCTATGAGGTCGAGTTTTATGTTGGACTTATGCTGGACCTATGGCTTTATAGGGCTTGTGGGAGTTGTCTTGCCGTAGTTTTAATGATGATATGGTGAGTCATGCAGCAATCAAACTAAATTGTTCCCGGAGCTGTCAGTTCAGCTCCCGAATGCTGAGGGCGTTGAGGTCTTTTGTGTTAGCTCATACACGTAGCTAATAGCTGGCATTGCTAGCCTATCACCAGTATGGACGAGAGCATATCGTGGCATGTGTCGTCAAACGTAGTAGTGTCTTGGGCAGGACTGGCATGCGTAAGTTGAGGAGAGTACGGAGACAGTTTGTGGACAAATCAATTCACTGTTCATGCAAGCGCAAGCATTGGGTTGGAAAGTGGAAATTTGCTTCACATTTCCAGAGACCTATCTCTATGTGTATAGGCTAGTCAAGTCGTGATCGTAAAGCCGTGAATGTAAGCTAGTCCGGTTGTAGTCGTAAAGTCGTGCTTGTAGGAGCCCAGTCGTAATCGTAAAGTCGTAATCATCATGTCGTCAGAGGTGCTGGACTATTTGAGTGCCTTAACGAAGGACTTCTCCAACTTAGCGTGCAGAACCGTATCATCCACTTCCTTCTTGTCAGCTTCAAGCTGCTTTTGCTTCTCAGTCGGCGCCCCCCACACGAACGTCCAGGTCCAGGGAGGATAAACAGATATGACCTCAATTCCGGCACGAACGCTACCCTTGCACTCTGAAAGGTAGGTTATCCAAGTGTGACTGTCCCTGAAGAACTTTCTGAGGCCGTGGCTTTCGATATGCTTGATGTTGAATTGCACGCACTTGAGGTTGCTGAAGCCGACAAGAGCCATGAAGACTGCGTGTCTGTAGGATTGCGTAGCTGCACTCTGACTGACGGTGCGGATACCCAGGTACTCGATCCATGGCATGATGTGAGGGTGGTGGTCACGGATGCGCATCAAGAACATGAGAAGCGTCTGTGACGTGTCGAAGATGAATCTGTTTTTGCTGTACAGAAGGGGAGCGGCCTCGTGGTAAGCTGTCTTACAGGTGGCAACGAGGTTGACACTCAGAAGCTTAAAGCTCTTATATCTCCACAGGCCGAGCTGAACCGACTGGACTTTGGTTTTCTTGTCTGTGTGGCCCTCGAAGTTAAGTTCGTCGGTGGTGAGCGCAAGATGGTAGATCTCATTTCTGAGCTCCGCAGCCAACTTGAAGAAGGGGAAGGGCTTCTGGGCTTTGTGTTTGGACTTGATAGTGCCCATCTTCAAATTAGTCAAGTTGTTTCTTTGTAAAATATATGGGTGCTGATGAGATTTCACCTTCTGGTGTCCAGAGGACTTCTTGCGAATCTTCTCCTTAGAGGAACCCTTGTGCTTCCGGACCGCCTGAGCGGTAGTGGGCTTCCTCTGAGAAGGCATGGAGAGGAGCTGGTGCAAAGGCGAGGGTGGAGGGTGGAGGGATGGGTGAGAGTGGGTGGGTGGAGAGAAGGTTAGGGGGTGGGTGCATATTTAAGGCCGCAGTATAAGGGCTACCGGACTAACGTGTTTCCCCTTTGGGATATCGGCCAATCAGATTGGAGCTAATCTTGCTCGTCTCACTCTAAGTGACAGTAGAAGGACGCACAAGGTTGAGTATAAGAATTCGAACCGCTGTACTAGCCAAATTACTTCATTGACCACTTTACAGTTTTCTAGGTGCCTGTTCGGTTGTTTGCTTCACCCTATGTGACATTTGCTAGGAAGAAATACTCGAAGATGAGACCAAGTTTTCTTTGTTCTTTATACCAAACAATACTCCTACTTCCCTTTGTCCCACGAGCATTAAACGAACAATAAAAAACCCTCAATCTTGCCACCAAGTGTACTACCTATTCGACATGCGCTGGTGTGGGAGTGGAGGGCGGTGGTGGGGCTTTTTCGGGAAAGACATGGCGATCTGTTTGGGACTTGAGGTGGGGATGGCTTGTGCAATACAAAGTGGTAGTCGAATTTATAGAATCTAGAAGATACGGGCAAAAGGGTTTGAAGGCGAGATTCGAGGTGAGGCAGTGACAATATTTCAGTGTCGCGGAGGCAAGAAGCTATCAGTTCCTACTCACTCACTGAGAGCCGATGACGCAGAGTCGCCGTGATCCCCGAAATTTCACTGCAGTATAGGTCGGTATTAGAGCAAGTAGCGCAATTAATCAAAGTCAATAAAAATTCTCATGTTTCAGACGCTGTGTTTTCACCGCGCCACTATCGTACTAGACACACCGCATGTACTAGCCATCCGTACCCATGTCTATCCCAAACACCAAAACCCAACCCCAGGCAAAAATCCGGCAACACCAAACAAGCCCTCGCAAAAAACCGAGTAAAACCCCAACCGTATACCCATTCTTATCTAAACCAAACACCTACAAAAACACCCCAAGCCCGCGCCCTAGACACCAATCCGCGCACGCTGCCTCAAAGTCCTGTGCACAAGCGCAGCACAAACCTCGCACTTGGAATCAAAGCTGCCAAAAGCGTCATAGTCCCAGAAAACACAACTCTCGGCACCAGCACCGCCATCGCAGGCCTGGTACGCGCGGACGCGTCCCTGCGGCGGGAGCAGCAGGGGGCTGCACTCGTCATCGGCGAAGTAGACGGACGAGGAGTCCGAGAACTCGTCGTAGTCAGAGACGGAGTCGTAGTCGTAGTAGTCGTGGTTGTACTCGGCGGGGCCAAGAACCCACGATCCCAGGTACTCCAAGCCGTTCGCGATGGCGCGGGCTACGCGGCCGAGAACAGTGATAGCGGCGCGAGCGGCGCGGCAGAGAAGGCCGGGCACAGCGGGGGCGGGGACGGCGGGCGTGCGAGGAGACAATACAATAACAGCGCCTCCGCGTTGCGGAAGCTGGGTGGGGATGTCGTCTGCAATCTCGACGATCATGGGGACCGGCACGTCTTCCTCTTCCTCTTCGGCTTCAACCTCTTCGTTCTCTTCATCCTCATCGTAGTCAGACTCGTCATCGCTCCAGGGCGAAAACCTGCTCACAGGCGCCAGCGGGACGTACTCTCTATCCGCGGTGACGCCAATTGGGAGGCGCATAGGGCGGGGCGCGAGGATTTCAGTGTCCGCGACAGCGACAGTGACAGCGCCATACTGTTGCATGCGCAAGCCAGTCGTGAGAGCCGAGACAGCGTCAGTAGCAGCGGCAGCGGGAGTGCGCTTCTCGAACGCGAAGGTTGTCGCAACAGTAGCAGTTGTGGGATCGCCGCAGCTGTAGTCGGGGTCAGAGAACGGGTTCGAGAGAGGGAACGAGTTCTCGGCCGCGGGGGCTGCGGGGGGAGGTCGCTCACTCGGGCTAAAGCATTCGCGAAGAACGATAGAGTCGAAGTGAAGGACCTCGGTGCCGTCGAGACGAGGGATGTGGATCGGACTGTAGATGGGGGCCTTTGGGAGAGGCGCTGGGGCAGGGCGGACGGACGGCGAAGGCAGGAGTGGGAACTTCGCCGGCAAGGCTGAGAGCGAGTGCTCAGGCGCAGCCTGCGGCTTGTAGGTGGCGGCGACAGGCAGGATGTTGGCATCTTCGTCTGCCTGCTCGGCCTCTTCGTCAGCCTCATGCGCGCCGGCGTCCTCTCCCAGCTGTCCGTAGCATGCAGTGATAGCGCTAGGCTCTGGGCTCATCAACTCGAACTGGCGAGCAACCTGGCGCTGCTTGTAGATGCCGATGGCGACGGTAGTCGAAAACTCATGCTTCTCCCTGCACGGCTTGCATTCGCAGTGCCTGGAGCCGAAGGCGTTGTTTATTGACGAGTCGCTGAGGTCGAGCTCTAGGTCTCCATCGCTGACGCGCGCCGTCGTGTGTGTAAGCTTCTTGATGCAGTCTGTCAGCAAGACGGGAGCCTTGGCTTGCTTCTGCTGGGACATACTCTCTAGTGTGGGCATCACCGCGCCGAACTCCAGTGCGAAAATGTCCGTCTCGTCAACATGGATTGCGGGAGTTGTCGCCTTCTGGGTCGAGAGGTTACTGTTGCGGGGCCAGCCGGGTGCCGCCTGCGAAAGACACTCTACAGGTAAGCGATAAAAGGGTAACATCTGCCGGAGATGGCCCTCAAGGGAGTCGCCAGCCAAGTTGGTCCTGGAAAGCATTGCTGTGGCGGTAGTAGTGTTGAGATTGAGTTCCATTGAATGCGAAGGTGACAGAGTCCATCCGGTTCTAATTATAGAGGGGTCGTGAGCCATGTTTCTAGAACAATGTTAAGTTGTAGTATAAATATGTGTATATAATAACAGACCAGTGTGTTTGAGACGTGCGGATCGAGTGTTTATATATAAGTAGATGTGTGAGGTTCCGCTCTTGACGAGAGCCGGGCAATCTGGAGTGTCGACTTACTTATTCTGTATTGTCGGACTAATCCTGAGTGGTTTGCCGAATCTGTCGAGCAGAAGTTGCGGGTGGGTTATTTATTAACCGTTTCCATGGTCGGAGGACTTTGCGATAACAATGTCATTGTAGTTTGCAGACAAAGAAACAATTTTAACATAAAGGAACAGCTAGTGCACGTGATGTGGCAGAAGGAGATGTACAATGTTAAAGTTTCATGGCAATGTCTGCAAGGAAAAGACCGTCAATTGGTAGTGGTATCCAAAATACTCCGGCCTTTCTGTCAAAATGTAGGCCCTGCTGTACCAAACGCCATCGCCAATGCATCTGCTTGCGCTCGACTACCCATGGAACATAAGAATATCTAGAAAACAGCATGTACGATGCGTGTGCTCAGAGTTTATTACTGTGGCATTGGAGTTTTGGGACGTGAATAGGGGTATTGCGAGAATTATCTGCTTGCCTAGCCGGTGCCGTTGGTCTCCCTCGGCTTGGAAGAGTCAGCGGTGGCTCCTGCCTCGACGGACTTTTCTTTGACAATGTCGGTAATGTATTTGCCGATGCCGCCAAAGCCGTCGATCTTGTTGAGCTTCGAATCGAAGAGATCCGCATCCCGCATCAACCTAGAAACGATGATTGTCAGCGGTCTCTTCAGCGAGGTGACAATCAGTTATACGTACCTGGCCTTGCCTGCACCCGTCCTGATTTGGGCATCTCGGAAAGCCTTCCCCCATTGTTCTCTGTAGCTGTCAAAGATGGGATTGATTATGGATCGAACCGAAATCTCGGGCAAATGCCTGCTGAGCGTGCGGTGGAACGTGTTGGTTTCCTTGGTTAATGTTTCCATGTGCGCGCTGACCTGCTGGTCGCTTGCAGCATCGAAATCTATCTTCTTCATGGCATTGACGTGCATAGCCAAACGACCGCTCATAATCTCCATGAGCTTGTCGTGGATGTTGGTCTGCTGGTCTTGGTAGAGACGCTTCATCTTGTCGAAATCGGCCAGTGCGGATGTAGCCGAGGGGGAGTGCCGACGGATGAATTCGCGCATGTAAGGTATCAGTGCGATTATAAAGTTCAGCGCTTGAGAGGCAAGCGCTAAGTGCTTTGTGGTGATGCTCTTCAGGCCAGCCGTTTCTTTTGCTCCAGCGCCGAGGATAAGCTGACAGGCCCTAGACTGGAACATCCGAAGGTAATCCAGCATCGCGACGGCGACCTCGCCTGTAACGCTTGGTATTACGGCAATGAGGTTTTCGAACCGGTCGATGCCGTGCAAAGCGGTCATGACACACTCGACCAGGACATACCTTTCCTCGTCGATGACAGCATTTCGAGGTGTCTTGGTCGTGCCGTTTGTCTTTTCCGTCAATGTGTCGGCTTCGGTAGCCTTCAGGTCCTCCCAAATCTCTCTGCTCTTTAACCATGCAGCAGGGTCGCTGCTCATGCCCTCGAGTATTCTTCCAAGCAGGATGTTCTCGCCTTCAGCAAAATCCTTTGCTTCCCATCTGTCGGCGTCCATTTCTTGACGCAGACTTTGAACCTCTAGTTGTCCTAAGGTGGTTACGAACAACTTAATCTGGCCATCTACGACTCCTTTGAGAGCCATGCCCGATCGGCCAGAGACAGCTTCGCATTCATCCGCGAATAAACGATTGATAAGGAAGTATCTCAAGAAACGCTGCAGCTGCAAGCGGACCGATTGCTCGCCTCTGACCTTTAAGATCTTCGTAATCTGCGCCTGCGCTGCATCAACTGCTTGGCCTAACAGACTTGACATGTCCAGTGCTTGCATGAGCTCCTCTTGCAGCTGGCTGATTCCTAATGGCGGGTCCGGCATAGGCTTGTTGAGATACCCATCAAGAGTCGAAGGTGTTGGACTGGAAGGATGGGGACTTGAAGGGTTGGGACTCTTGGGTGGTGACCGAATCCCTGGAGACAAGATATTCCCGCTGGAAACGTCCAAGAGCACCTTGACTTGAGAACTTAAGCGCCGAAGAGCCTCACCTACATCGGTGTAGATGTTGATAAGGAGCTGTTCAGCATCCTCCGGCTCCAGAGCGCGGAGGTTTCGTGCCAAGACCGAGGACTTTTCTTGCTGGCTCATTCTGCTACTCATGCGGGTAGACGAGGAAATGGTGGACTCGGCATCGTCATCTGTTGAGCTCGGCAAATGCTGACGAATCAACACCTTCATCTCACGAGTAATCGCATCTCTAAAGGCTGCGGTCGCAACAGAGGTGTGATCAGACCTGCTCAAGCCGTTCAAGGTATCCAGAAGGGTCTTCCGAAGCTTGTCATCCGTCTTCATGTAAGCCGGTAGTGCCATAGGAGGTCGGTCACCCCGCGTCCGCAGGGAAGAAGATGCCCATCGACGAAGAGTGTCCTGGTATGGCACGCTCTTGATATGACGTCGTAAATCTCCCAACAACGTCTCGAGGAAACGCGCCTGGTAGCCCATTCCAATTCGAGTTTTGAGTTGTTGCATGCCCTCTGAAAACCCGTCAAGAGCCTTGAGCTCGCGAAGATCTATGAGGTCCTGCGGCAAATATGATGGCATCCAACCCCGATCGGCGTATCCGAAGAAGGTCAAATCTCCCGAGACAAGCAGCTCCAGCATTTCCATTCGGTCCAGGGCGGCTTCGAGGTTTCCTTCATCGACTAAGTCCTCGATCTGAGCTACTCCCTCGACCACAGCTCTAAGCTGGTCCACGGCGTCGCTCAATTTCCGAAGATTTTCTCGTCTGCGCTTCATACCAACAATCTTCAACCCGCCAACTGCCATCTCTTGATCCAATTTCTGCAAATCCAACCTGAGGGCCTTGATACGCGCTACAGATTCCGCAGCCTCATTTTGCAGCTCCCGCAGAGATCCGAGAGCGGCAAAGAAGGACGTGGACGCGGTTGATATCGAGGAAACCAGATGGATTTCGACAGTGTCCATATACCAAGACAGCTTTTCTTGCAGGATGGCATTCGTCGCAAGCGCTTTTCTCCGGGTCGGCGTTGGTGCCTCAGCCGATCCATTGGCCGCCTTGGAATCATCCTTTTCCCCAATTGGCTTCTGTATGACCTCTGACCTTTCGCTGACAACATCGAAGGTGCGCGGGTTTTCCAAGCGGAAATCCTCTGAAAAGTAAACATCCGGTATCGTTGAGAGTGGTGTAATTGCGCTGGGATTCCGCTTCGACGATCCAGCACTTGAGCGCCGACGTGGCTGCGGGGAATCTAATGGAGAGAGGCCAGCCGCAGAATTCTGCCGGGAGAAAGTAGGTTTCTCTTCCTGCGCGTTGCTCAGGCGACGGTCTAAGAGTTCTGTAAAGTCATCCTTCTGGGTTGAACCTTTCCGGAACAGATGCGCCGCGGTGTTGTCGGCTTCATTTTTGGCGCGCTGAAAGGCATCATAGAGCGAGCCAACTTGAGAAAGGTATGACTTGAAGGCCGAAGGTTCAACGTGTGGGATGTTCGTGAGCGTTACGGGAGGGATGTCTCTAGTCGAAGGAGCTTTGACGGCCGACGGCGCGGAGCTGTAAGGGATAAGGCCAGTCCGGACAATTGGTGGCTGCAAAAGAGTTGAGATTGCTGGCAGAGTCAGCATGGATATTCGTCCCTCTTGCCGCAAGCCTCGCGCAGATTCCCTTCACCCACCATTTTGCCCAGTCTCTGTTACCGGAGCAATGCCTCTTTGGGACGAAGTATCCAAGGTTCCGCCGATGGAGTGAATGGAGCTTGCCGTAGAACCTCGGCGTGGTTGGAACCGAGTGCTTGCGCTTGAGTTGGGCCGCCGGTTGGGATCCTGTTGAGGGAAGGGGAACTGGAGGCGGTTCTGAGGAGCGGTCGTGGGCGATTCGAAGCTCTCGGTGGACCTCCGAGGGGAGGAAGCCCGCGATGGCATTGTCTATACGCGATAAAGGGTTGCGACGCGGAACGAGGCATAGGGAGTGCGCCGGTCTGCTGGGGTGCCTAAGCCGGGCTTCGCAGGGTCATCTCCGCATCTCGAGCTCGCGGATATCCGGGGTAGACAGGCGACGCAATGCTTCACTAGCTGGCCTTGTCATCAAGGTGGCTTCGACTCGGCGCGACACGTCCGCCGAGGTTTAGCCAGGCAGCTGAGACGTGACATTGGATGCAAACCTCCGGCCACGTTCCACGTCTCGCCAGCATAGCCATCATGCAGCAGGGAGGAACAGGAAACAGCCCTGCAGATGCAGGCGCTGTGCTTGGGACCGTGTGCTAAAACACTCAAGAGGATTTGATTGTATGGGTAGAGAGCTATGCTGGCAAAATTCGACAAGACCCCCATAGTACAACCTGCCTGTGGGTATACTCTTCCTCCAGAAACGCCATATTATCTCCATGCCTTTCCCGCGCAGTCATCAGCTGCCAGCGCCAACGCTGTTCAAGTCCAGTATCCAGAAAATATGGCTTAAACGTCGCTTTCCAAACTTGACTTTCACAAAACGCCGGGGGTAGGCGCGGACGAAAGACCGCTCAGCCTCCACAGCACTCTATCGCCAAAGGTCGGCCCTGCTTGCCCGCTTTGCACTGTCGTGGCGCGCGTGGCCCTTCATGCTGCCAGAAGTCTTCGGTCTTTCCGGCTCATCCATCGGGACCGCCAAAAATCCACCAAAACCGTTTCCAACAACCATACTCCTTCTGTTGTCTCCACCCCACTGGGGTCCAAGGTGCGCATTGAAGGCCGACAGAGGCCTCCCTCCGCTGAAGCTACCTCTACGGCCTGCTTCCTCCGCAGGCGTGTAAGAGGTGAAGATCCAATCCAACTCGTCCATTCCCTTGGTATAGATTTGCAAAGGCTGGCTCAAGCTTCTTGGAGCGCCACCCTCGCTCTGGGCATATGCCGGCATGGGCGGTGCCAGAGTGAGCGTCTCTGCAAAGTTGGGATCCCGTACGTACAGCTCCTTCAAAGAAGGCATGGAGTTGGTAAGAAGGGAGGTGATGAGGTAGCCATAGTACGATTGGTCAGGAGGCTGCAGTCCTTGGAAGGCCGTAGACGCCGACGTGATTTCGAAATGAAGAACACGCAAGGTGAGCGAGCGCAATGGCGGCCGAGCCTCCATAGGCAGAGCGGTGGTCACGGTAGCAGAAATATCCAAATTTCTTAGCCAGGGGGCTGACGACATAACAGCATGCAGGTCGGCCACGTTCACACCAGTAGATGCGAGTTTCAGAGAGCGGAGCCTCGTGGAATTCTCCCGGTGGGATAGGTAGTTGAGAAGTCCATTGGCTGTAATCGTCGGCATTTCCTGGAAGGTAAGACGCTCCACAGGAGGGAAGGGAGCAACGGCCGGAGAATCTTCAAATACGGCGTCTCCGAGCCAAGGCATCTCGCTGACCGTCAGTTCTTTGAGATTTGGCAGAATGGCGATGACTTGGCGAAGAGTCATCGGCTCGACTCTAAGACGAGAAAGCTCTAGGACCTCGAGCTGTTGCCAGAATCCCTGCAGAAGCAGCTCGAACAGCTGCTCCGAGCCCGTATCATACTTCATCTTTCGAAGACCGCGGCAGCTGGCTTGCAGCTCTTGTCTGAGGGTATGGCATGACTGGTCTCCGGTGTAGAATCCATCCGGAAGGTCCACGTAATGAAGGTTTGGCAAGACAGAGATAGTCCGGGCCAAGTCGGCCTTGTATGTTTCCCGAGTCATGTAGGGCAATTTGAGCAGCAGGACCGTCTCGGCTAGGTACTGGTTCTCTCGCACAGTCCGGGCGAGCAGCTGGAGGCGTGCAGCAGCAACGTCGACGGGCTCATGGCGCGACTTGCGGCGGCGAGTGTCGGAAAGGATGTCTTCGAGTTCGCAGTAGTGGACGGCGTCAATGCGCACGCTCCGGTAGCTGCGGGCTTTGTCACTACTTTGGGCCTGAAAGAAGCGGGTGGACTGGAGACTTACAGCAAAGGCTGGGCAGTTCTGTGCCATTTCTTGGAGACTTGGGCGCAATTGGAGAGATCGCGCAGGTCACAGAGCATGCAGCCGTCTCCGATCATGGACTTTTCGGTGACTTCATAGCTCTCGTCGGCGGTGTGGGGGCACACGGCCTTGAAGATCAGGTCGAGGACCTTGTCCGGGAGCCTGGCGGTGAAGTTGCGGGTGGGATCGATGGGAGCGGCGTAGGTGTGGTTGTTGTAGGGCCCGGCATGGCTGTGGGAGCGGCGGTGCTTCTCCTTGTCGTGGCCCTTGTGGCGGAAATGCTTGAGGAAGCCCATGACGCGACGGCGGAAGCTGCAGACAGGGCCAGGGTTAGTTGGAGGGTAGGGTGGGCTTGGAGCTGGGGCGGCGAGGATGTCGTGGTAATAAGTTGTTACGCACCGTGGTCTTGACGCAGTTTGATTCGCACTGTCCATGGCAGCAGCCGCGGGGTGTGGCGTACTTTAGGTGCGCAAGCTGGCGCGGCGGGCCGCGGCCTTTGGGGAATTGCAGGTCCACTCGGAGGCCGAGCAGCTCCGGCAGCGTCGCAAGCGGAAGTATGTAGGAGGGAGTAACAAAGAGAAGGCCGGCAGATGCAGGCGCAGTGCAGGAACGGAGCAGCTGTTTTTGTAGGGAGCGTCCCTGTGGCCAGCCGCCGGGCGCGAGACGAGCAAACGGCGCTCCGGAATGCACATCACAAGTCACTGGTGATGATGAATCGCCAGATGGGTGAAACGCCCGCGCGGCGCAGGGACAGCAACATGTACACTGCCAAAAGCAGATCGGCTTCCCCTAATTGCCCGTCCTCCCTGTACCACGCTGCGCATCGCCGTCCAATCCGCAGGCTTCGCGCCGCGCCCAACGGCCCCAGATCTTCGCCCTAATCAAACGCGCACTTGTTTCAGTGGCGGCTATTTCTGGGCGCGCGGCTTGGCCGACACGTGCTGCTCGTGATCAGAGAGAATCTCCTGGGGTGCGACGTGGTATAGAGTACGTAGTAGATTGCCGGAGCGGTTTCCTGACTGACGCGCCGACCGCCACGCGGGCTCCTCGTGCGAACTGTTTCAGCCGTATGGAATTGTCCCGGACGGGTATAAATATTACTGCCCGGCGACCCGCAAGTGACAGCCCCCTAGCTAGTCAAAACCCTCTCCACGCGCCTGTGAGAGCTTAGCAAAGCGCGCGTCACGAATCATCCCCAGCAGCCGTTGGTAACTAACCCATCTTCGGCGCCGGAACTACGCGAGTGCTGTCTTCGTCGGCCAACCCTCCTCTGCTTGCCGTGCTCCTCCTCACCTCGCCGCCCGCCCCTCGTCCATCTGCCCTCTCGACGCCATTCACTTGGCTGAACCTGCGTGGCCGCGTGTACCATCGACTGTCCCGGCACCGTGCCAGTGCTGCACCCTACCGCCGCCTGAGAAAGTTCATCGACCCTCCTTGCCATCCTTGCCATTTTTGACTCCTTTCCGCCGCACCCGGTATCAATCGCCCGACGGACGCCCATTGCCATCTCTGATCCTCACCATGGCTGCCAACCCGCCTCAGGGGAGCAACCTCGACCGCTACGTCGTCATCCACGTAGCCACCACCTGTGACGAGCATGGCGTCTACGTTACCAAAGACTCGGCAGAGGTCATTGAGCTTGGATGGATCCTGCTGGACGCCAAGTCGTGTGAAGAGGTGCGCATGCTCTGATGGCGCCTCGTCAAATTTTCGCTGACGCCCGTCCAACAGCTCCATCGCGAGAGCGTCCTCGTCAAGCCCGTGAACACGCCAATTACCCCTCTTTGCAGTAAGACCCCTCCTGTCTCTGCCACCCCGATCCCCCCATAGCTCACCCGTTCCTCCTTCACAGCTTCGCTCACCACCCTCACCTGGGAACACGTCCGCAACGCGGGCTCCTTCCGTGACGCCATCAACCGCTTCGACCAGTTTGCCAACGAGCACCTCCTCCAGAAGAACCTTGAGTTTGCCTTTGTGACGCTCGATTCGTGGGATCTCCGCGTACAGCTGCCCCGCGAGGCGAGGGACAAGGCCGTCGTTTTGCCGCCTTATCTCCAGCACTCGCGGACTTTCGATCTCCGCACCGAGTACCAGCGCTGGCAGACGCACCACCCTGAGTCGCTTCCCTTTGGCTCTAGCGCCCTCTCCAATATCTGCGCCGCTCTCGAGGTTGAGCCTGTCCAGTCTTCCGCCCCGATCAAGCACAACCTTCCTTTCCACCTTCAAGCTTTGGCGCCCGCTTCCCCTAGGCGCGCCATGGAAGAAGCTGTGACCTTGGCCAGGGTCCTCCGCGGCCTCATCCGCAAATCGCAGCCTCCCCACGAGCACCCGGACGTCCTCACCCGCCCCATGGACGCCAGGGCCGACGTTCGTGCTTTCCTTTCCGAGCGCAGCAAGGTGCTTCACATGAGTGGTCTGCCCCACGACACCACCCAGTCCGAGCTTGAGAGCTGGTTCACGCAGTTTGGCGGTCGCCCGATTGCCTTCTGGACGCTCCGCACCCCCGACCAGCACAAGCCCACGGGTTCTGGCTTTGCCATCTTCTCGTCGCACGAAGAGGTAAGTCTTGGTTTAATCGCACCACCTTCACTTCCCCCTCGGTCCCACGAATGCTTCAGAGAGAGAGAGAAATACACGAGCTAATACAGTTTTGTTCATTTAGGCTGCTGAGAGTCTCTGCATGAACGGCCGCGCCCTTAACGAGAAGGCCATCGAGGTCTCGCCTTCCTCCAGCCGCGTCCTTGACCGCGCCGCCGAAATCTTGACTCCCTTCCCTCCCAGCAAGAACCGCCCCCGCCCCGGTGACTGGACCTGCCCCTCGTGCGGTTTCTCCAACTTCCAGCGCCGTACGGCATGCTTCCGCTGCTCCTTCCCTGCCATGTCCGGTGGTCCGGCCGGTGACCCGATGGGCTACCCTGGCCCCTATGGCTACGGCCACCCCGGTATGATGGGTCCGCCCCACCACATGGGCCATGGCCACGGCATGGGAGGTCATATGCGCGGTGGCAACAGCGGTGGCGTTGTCCCCTTCCGTGCTGGCGACTGGAAGTGCGGTGCCGACGGCTGCTCTTACCACAACTTTGCGAAGAACGTCAGCTGTCTCCGCTGCGGTGCTAGCCGTGCGGGTGCGGCCGTCGTTGCCGACACGGCTTTCCCCTCGCCGATGGACACTCCGTCGAGCTATGGCATGGGCCCGCCTTCTATGGCTGGCACCCCTGGCGCTGGTCCGTTTGGCGCTGCTGGAGGCTTCGGCTCTGGCGCCGGTTTCCCTGGCCAGCAGTTTGGCGGCCCCCCGTCCACGTACGCCCTTCCTTCGGGCATTGGCGCTGCTAGCCCTTACCCTCCTATGGGCACCCAATACGCCCCCAACGGCGGCATGCACGCCTCGCCCTTTGACAGCCGCGCTGCCGAAGCTGCATTCTCCTCGGCCGGCCAGGCTCCCTCTGCCGGCGCTGGCTTCTCCAATGGCGTGCCTGACGGCTCCAGCGACCCGTTCTCCTTCCTGACTCCTAGCTTCGGGCACCTCTCCATGGGTGATGATTCCAGGCGTGGCGTTGGCAACCCTGCCAACAAATCTCCTGCGTAAACAAATTCTGGGAAGTCGTTGCGTTCATTTCTCGCACATCGGATCGATCGGCACTTACTTCGGGAAATCACTCTTCGGGCGGCAAAGCAACGACTAGCGACGGCGCGGGATGGGCATCTTGTTTTTCGGATTTATGCGGATCCTCTTTCGACCCAAAGAACGGGAATCGGCACTCGGATTGCGTGCACGGGAGCATGGCGGCAGGTTGGCACAAGGGCATAGAGCGTCTCTCTGGATGGTGTTTCGGAAGCTTCATTCAAAAGCATCGATGGCGGCACACGACGAACGGAATCATTCTACATGGCGTCAACTGTAGTCGTCATCGTTCTTTAGTAAAACGGTGCGATCTTCGGGCTTCTGGAACTCTCTTTTGCTCTTTCTTCACAGATTCTTGTCCAGTTGCTTTTCCGGCTCCTTCGGAAGTTGAAAAAAATCTGGCTTTTGCTCTTGCTTCTCGGATGTCTTTTCCTCCCAAAACTAGTTTTTTGCTCGGCATAGCGTTTAGCGGCGGTCTGGTGGAATCGGGAACATGGCTGGGGGGGTTTTACTAGGTGGTGGGGGCGTAGGTGGTGTGCAGGCTGGCTGGCTGGGTGGAAACAAGCGGGCGGTTGGTTGGCCAATTGAGATTTGACGGGGTAAATGGTCTTGTTCCTTTTTCTCGTTTATTCTCTCAGTTGAGCTGTCTTTCTCAAACGCGCGATTTCTTGCTTTGGATTTGCTT